ATCTATAAGTAGATAATAATATTATCTAAGTAGACGATTATAAACTTACTAATAAATTCTTATAGAGTATTATTTATAATTCTCTAAAATATCGAAGAGATATTAGTAAATCTAAACGATATAGCTAAGAGCTCGTACTTACTAGATCGCGTATTAAAGGCGATCTTTTCGATAGATATCTTTTCTATTTAAATCTAGTAGTATTTTTAGATAAGATCGGCCTTTAAAAGCTATTAAGCGGCTTCGATAGTATTAAGATAGTCCTAGATCCGGAATAAAGAGTAGATATTCTTAACGATAATATTATTAAGAAGACGATAGTTAATATATATTCGCTATTTATCTCTAGATTTAGATATAAAGAGTATAGAAAAACTTTATAGACTTCTTAAGAGTCGAATTAGGCTCTATTCTAGTAAAGTACGAATTTACTAATCTTATTTATCTTAATATTCTTTTAATAAAGAGTAATAGAGTAAATTAATAGACTTAATATCGTCTATATCGATTTCGTACTTAATATTCCGCTTCGTTAGAAACTTAGTAGATAGTTCTTCTTAAAATACTATTTTAAATCTTTTAAGAATACGCCTAAAATACCTATTCTTAGTTCTAGATATTAAAAAGGTTACTTTATCGCTAGAACTCTATTCTCGTATAAGATATAAGATAAAAGTCTAGTCGAATATAGATAGTTTAGAAATTATCTTCTTAGTCTTTTAAAAGCTAAGTAGATTTAATCTAGCCTCTTTAATATCTTTATAGTTAATAGTTCGAAAGAGTCGAAGAGATATCGAAGTTAATTTTCTAGTTCTATTACGTACTATTATATATAAGTAACTAAAATCCTAGAAAGCGCTATACTTCTTTAGCTAGTTAAGTCTAAGAATAATATCGTACGCGTCCTAATTTAAGATACGAAGTATTATTCGAGCTTAAAAGTTATTAATAGTTAGGTTCGTTATAATAGCTTAATTAAAGAGAGTCGTTTTACTATTAATAAGATATACTCGAAGAAATAATCTCTAGATAATTTTATAGTTTTTATCTAGTTGCTTAGCGACTCTTCTTAAGACGTAGAAGATATTAGAGTCTATATTAAGAAAGATTATAACGAGATAAGAGTTACTATACTATTCTAGCGACTCGCTAGCGATATTATATCTCTAGATATAGTCTAAGTTATAATTAAAGACTTCGGTTATATTAATAGCGACGTCTATTAGATTATCGAAAGAGAGATTAGAATTTAATAGGCTCGTATTAATAGTCTTTAAAGAGTCTATAACTTCTTTATCGTTACTAGACGCCCTACTATCTAGCGACTCTTTTCTTTTCCTTAATAGTCTTATCTTATAGACTTCTTTAGATTAGGATAATCTTTCTTTTAATAGCCGACTTCTTTATAATTAAAGTAGAGACTATTATCTTAATACTTCTAACGAAAGCTATTTAAGAATTTATATCTATTTCTATAATTACGCGAGATTTTAGTCTTAGTAGACGAGAAGAATTCTAGTCGAAGACTATTAAGGACTATCTCGATATTATTATTAGCGTTCTTACGATCTAGTTAGATAGTCCGAGAAGATTAAGAAGATTTTCTCGAGAAAAATCTTCTTAAGTAATCTTAGAGAGAGACTATTCTATATACGTTAGCTTATATCTCTCTTTTACTTTTATCTATAAAAAGGGCGTAATCTCTATAATTTTAGAGAAGTATAGTATCTAGAAGAAGTTTTATTCGGTTTCGAATAGCCGTCCTAAGCTCTTATTTAAAAATAAGTAGATATTCGGCGTCGCTAGAGCGAGAGTTAAGATATAGCTAAAGAGTTTCGATCTTCTATCGAAACTCTTATACTATTTCTATTTACTTAAGAGAGTCGAACTCGTCTCGATATTATTTCTATATCCTAACGTTACTAAATACCGTCTAGAATACTTTCTTTTATATCTTCTAGTTAGTTAGGAATAGATCGATTCCGAAACTATATTTTATATCTTAATATATAAGATTTTACTATATTAAGATATTATCTTTAAGATAGAAAGTTACTAGAGTAATACGTTTATAGTCTATTAGAGGATATTTATTAACGACTTTCTTCGTATCTAACTACCTTTTAATATAAATTAGCTAGACTCGTATCGCGTTATTATTTCGATAACTCTTATATTTTAAAGGCTTTTCGAGCCCTATTCCGCTAATATCTTAAAATAGATCTAATAATAAATACTATTATCTAGATAAGAGTCTAGATATATTTATCTAGTCTATAAATAAAAGGGTAATTCTCGATAAACTATTCGTAGACGTCGAAACGAAGATTTCGAGAGTTTTATAGTATTATAGGTAGTCGGCGAGAGCTATTATAGTTCTTTCTAGATTTCTAAGACGATTTTTTTCTAGAAGTTTATATATTCTCTATAAATTAGCTTCTTCTATAGAGATATCGATTTCTAATACTACTATTATTAGAATTAAGAAAGTATTTATATAATATTTAGTATAAAAGAGCTTTTAAATATAGTTTACGAAATACGAGTAAGAAACGAATAGAAGATAATATATAATAGAAGAAAGATAAGTAATCTTAAAAAGAATATATTCTTTATAGAAGCTTCTATCTTATTTAGCGAGAGCGCTTTATAACTAGCTCTCGATATTTAAGGCTATCCCTAGCTAAATAGTACTCTATTCCTCGAGAGACCTTATTATACGCCTTTCTTTAATCGATCTATTATTTTCTACTATTTACGATAGTATAAGTAAATCTAGATAGATCTAGATAACTATCTAGTTTCTATTAGTATAGTTTAAACGAGATTTTAATAAAGAGTTCGTTCTAGTAGTAATATCTCTTTCTCTATCGACGCGTCGAGCTCTTCGATAATATTATCGTTTATAGTATCTAGGTTAATAGAATATAATTAAGAATATTAAAGTAGCTATTACTACTATATTTTAGTTATCTCGCTAGCTATCGTTTATAGCTAAAGATATCTAAGGGTAGCGAGACTAAAATTTTTAAAGAGAAAAGTTACTATTTACTACTATAATTTATCTTTCTCGATAAGAAATTTTTATCGCTACTTATCGTTCTAAGAGTATAATTCTCGTAAATCTTTACTATAAAACTAGAAGAGATTCGTTAAGCGTAAAAGATAAGCTTCGAGCTAGAAAATTTTCTTATTAGTTAATTTCGCTATATATCGAGATAATTTCGTTTATCTTTAATCGACTTCGTATAGAAGAGTATTAGTCTTTTTAACGATCGACTACGCTTCTCTTCTTCTTAAGAGAGCGTAGAAGTTCTTACGAACTCTAGTTTAAGATAGAGAACTATCTCGTCGCCGCTACTAAATATAATTTTACGAAGGACTTATTCTATTTTAACGGGGCCTAGAGTCTCGTTAGACTATATACTTTCTAGGGGTTATACGATAGCGTACGACGCTAGTCGAGATCGAAAGACGGTTCTCGACGTCTTTATAATGCTTGGCACGTAGGGTGCCCATTTTGTCACAAATAATTCCGAGTCTGACGCGCTTCGCGCTGCGGAATCCGCGTCGCGACTGCACCCCATTTAATTAGTAGTTGTAGTAGTTGCCTAACGATTAATGTCGACTTCAAGTTTCGTATCGAACATTCAACAACACGAGGTCTCGCAGCACCCTGGCAGGGCCCAAACGATGATCCCTAGGCCTGTTCCTTCACACTGACCATATCCCTCTATTCTCCCGTCTCGCTCCTACAATGGAAGGCCCTTTTCGCAAAAGACCCCGCCTTTCTATTTTCGCTGGCCAGGAATCGCAAACCGATCTCGACTCAGACCTCGATGCCCTACGTTACAAGAATGACAGCCTCCTGAAGTCGCGATTCGAGTCAATATTTGCCAAATACTCCCAGGACTTCAGTGGCGTTGGCGACGAAATCGATATTGTACAGCAAAAGATCGTGGTCAACAATGGACATTTGGAAAGCATGGAAGGCGAAACAGATACTGGCGAAGCACCGGGCGAGGACGACAAAGGAAGATCGTTTTTGAGAGCAATGACAGAAGCGCCTGCCGGTGCAGACTTGGGGTCTGATCAAGAAGCAAATGGAGTGCTTACTAGCATTGAAGCAATAGCGGAAAATGCCGCGCTGTCCGATGACGAGGACGACGGGGACGAGGACGAGCAGGAGGACGTGCATGAGGACGAGGTCGACTGTAGTCCCAGCGAAGCCGATGAAGCGCATGCCTCTGCTCCTGTAGGCTCACGTCATCCAGATGTGCGGACTCCCGATATGTACGGCCATTCGCCTTCGGTCGTCGCACCTCGCGGGAGCTACAACAAGGCGCAGCCTGATACAAACGATTCCGATAATGACTCGTTATTCGAGGTAACAGAACAACAGCGATCAACAAGCCCCGATTCTCTCTTCGAAGTCGGAACTCGGAGTATATCATCGGGTGATCTTGCACCACCCCCATGCTCACTGAACTTGACTGGGGATCCAGAAGAAAGTGCTATTCTGGAAAAGTACGGGCCTAAAATGGGCCAAGAGGTCCTCGAACTGTTGCATAATGCGAGGAAAACAGCGGTCGAAGCCCAGGTGGAACCAGCCTGGCGCTTGCCACCAGAATTGGTGTCGCCCAAGCGACGGAGGGAATTCAACCATTCGTCCCCTATGTCAGGGAGGCCTTCGGAAAATGGCATAGCAAGCTCGGAACTTGAAGACGTCCCCGTCTCAGACCCCAGAGGCTCTTTCTGGAGATCGAGCGTAAGGAAGATTACACCGCAATTCAGACGCCCGTCGAAACGCCTTAGAAAAGTCCGACAGGAGTCGGTGGATCCCCTGCAGGGAGAAATATCTGGTGATCAAAATGGTGAAGGGGAGACTGTCACCACACCGGTCTGGAAGGAAGAGTCAGATAACGCGGCGGTGGTGTGGAAGTCGAACAGGCCCAACGCAAGGGGCAGCGATGAGCAGGTCCTTCAGATGAAGAAGGGTATCTGCTTTTATTGCTCCCGCCAGTGGAAGACTAGGGCTTCCGTCTTCAGGCACTGGACCGATTTGTTGCGCGAGGCTGAGGCAATTGGAGTATACCCTGACGACGTGCACGATATGATATATATCCGCGACTATTATCTGAATGCCCCAACAGACCCTCGCGGACCTAGGATGAGCGTTTCCAACCTCAGGAGACTCGTTGAATTGCACGAAGGAAAGGGCCTGTCATTTGACGAAATCGCTCGTTCTGGCCTTCTCCGGAGCAAGAAGAGGGGAACACAATTGAAAGAAGCTTATGTCACGTTTCGGAAAAGGCGTGAGAGCAGGGCTAAGGGCGCAGTGCGTGAATGGTCAGAAGAAGAGCTTGAAGCTTTGAATCGGCTTTGTGAAAACCCCGAAACAGAAATCGGCGTCTTTGCCCGCAATTTCGCAAATCGCACAACAACCGACGTCGTCGACAAATTAGCTGAGATATGGCTCGCAGCTTTTGGGGAGTCTGTCAACGATCCTGCACCGGGACCGCGCACCCCGGAACCTCAGAGCGAACCGGCAGACAATGAAACACCTACGACGGCTCAGCAGTATAATTCCGAGGGCACCAGGAGGTCAAGTCGGCTGGCATCTCGCTGAGCCAGTTGTATACTTTGAAAAACAGCGTAGGGAATGCTGTGAGCTCAGTTCAGTGATTTTCCTTGCAGAATATCATCGATTGTCGTCCGTGCTTCACCCCCAATGTCCCCGATTTGGGCCCAGAACTTGGAGAGGTGGCGTGCTCCGGAATCACAGAGGATCGTCACCACCCGGTGGCCGGGCCCTAGTTCTAGCGCTGTTCGCAAAGCAGCAGTGCCTATGTTATGTCAGTAAAAATGTACGAGGGCATAAGGTGGTCATGAAAGCGCTGCTCACAGTTGACGGCACTACTGCTGCCGATGAAAATACCGTCTCTTTCCACGAGCCACCTTGCCATGTTTTTGGCTTGCCCGTCCGTGACTTTCACGGCATCATCAATCAGTTCTCGCCCTTGTTCAAAGTTCAGAGTAGAGCGGGTCAGCCCAATCCCTTCGACGATTGTATCAACCTGATCCCTTCGGCGCGTGCCTTCCCTTTCAAGACTGTGGAACATGACACCGTGCTTGATTTTGTTGTAGAGCCCGCTGCCCTGCGGGTCAGCTAAGACCACTTTAATCTGCGGCAGACGTTCTTTTAGAAACATGGCCACGCCTGACAACGTTCCTCCAGTGCCGGCGCCGGCGACGAAGGCATCGACTTGCCCTTCAGTCTGAGCATAGATCTCTGGCCCCGTGCCTTCGTAGTGGGCACGCCAGTTGGCTTCTGTCTCGAACTGATTGGCAAAGTAACCCCTACCCTTTTTGTTCGGGTCGGCTGTATGCTCTCTGGCAAGGTTTCTTGCGCGGTTGACGAAGTGAGCTTGGTCGACGATGGGAGCGGGCGTCACGCGCTCAACCACGGCTCCCAGTTTCAGCAGCAGATTCGATTTCTCGAAGCTCTGGTCGCTCGGCATGCAGATATGCGCAAGGTACCCTCGGGCACGACACAGTGTGGCTAATGAGATTCCCGTCGAACCAACCGTGCCTTCATAAACCGTGTCGCCCGAGTGTGGCTCCAGAAGCCCCGCGGCTTCACCACGCTCGATCATGCTCAGCGCCACGCGATCTTTCGGACTATTGCCCGCACCATTGAGGAACTCGCATTTTGCCAGGATCGTGCAACCTGTGGCCGCAGACAAGGACCGGATCTCAATCAGCGGCGTGTTGCCGATCGTGGACTCGATGCCAACCCCAGCTGGACGGATGGCTTCACCGGGCAAGGCTGAGTCAGCCTTGCTCTGGGCATCAGGTTTTCTTCCCGATCGATGGGAGGAGCTGTAATATCGGGAGCGTATTTGCTCAAAAACCACTGCTGCAACGAGGCCCGCGGCGAATCCCACAAGGACCTCACGGTGCGTCCATTGCATAGTCATGCGATGGGAATGAAGACCTTTGAACGTATTTCTTGTCAGGGGTTTCACTTATAAAGTGTACCTATGTATTGGACAACTTTGACGAGGATATGTAGACGAGACGAACCGACTTTATGAGACACCAGCCTTTTACTTTTCCTAACGATTTGTACAAATGAAGGTAAACAGCCACCAATTGCGACATACCTTAAATGGTAGCATTACCGTTGATGGGATGATGGATCGTCGGACGTTGCAGTCGTTGGAATCGTGTAAAATGCTCCCCCGTAATTCTTGGCTGGGACGAGGCTGACACTACGGGGAAGTATGGAACTGCAAAGTGTACTATCCCAAGTGCTTCAAACCTGCAGTGTATACCTTAGGTTGGAGCGTGCAACATCTACGGACTCTGCCACGCCAGCAGTTGAATCCTTTGACTGGTGGTGTCCGGCCCAGCTGATCCCAGGCCTAGCATCGATGGACTCGCCCGCCGTGACCCGGATATTTCAGCAGCTCTTCGCCAGGCCGTCTCAAAGATGCCTCCGCATGAAAAATGGCGCCGCCGGATATACTCCTGTACGACGATTCGATCAGCGTAGGACGTATGCGCTTCGCCGAAAAGAAGATCTGCCAGATGGAGGCAGCACATGGCAGCAAAGAATTGATGCGTTCCCCAAGGACATGACGCGGCAACTTAAAGAATACCCACGAGTTACAGCACGAGACCTTCGACATCGAACGCAGCGGCCGCGGAGGGTCAAGATGCTGACAAGAGACTTCATCGAGGGTACGTATGGATGTTGGCTGTTGCTCGCATCGGACTCGGACCGGGAGAGAAAAACTGACTTCTGGGCAACAGATAGCCTGTACAATCCGAACTACGGCTACTTCTCGAAGCACGCGACGATCTTCAATGCCGGCAAGCCGTTCGACTTCCCATCAATCAAGGACGGCCAGGAGTTCAACCGCATGGTGGACCAAAGCTATATCGAGTTCGAAGATGCGCTGGATGAGGTCGAATACGACGAAGCAAGGCAACTCTGGCATACGCCGACCGAATTATTCCGTCCGTATTATGGCGAGGCGATCGCGCGGTACCTGGTGACGAATTACAAGATGACGTTGTTTCCCTACCACGATCTCATCATCTATGAAATGGGAGCGGGCAATGGGACCTTGATGCGGAATATCCTCGATTACATCTACGAATGCGAGCCCGAGGTCTACGCCCGGACGCAGTTCAAGATCATCGAGATCTCATCCTCCCTGGCCGATTTGCAAATGACCAGTCTGCAAAGGTCCCCGTACGCCGCTGAACATCTGGCTCATGTCCAGATCGTCAACCGGTCCGTATTTGACTGGCAGGAATACGTACACTCGCCGTGCTTCTTCCTCGCCCTCGAGGTCATTGACAACTTCCCCCACGATTGTATACGATATGACCCAGAAACAGAAGAGCCGCTGCAGGGCGGCGTCCTGATTGACGACGACGGCGAGTTCTTCGAGTACTACGACCGGAATCTCGACCCTCTCGCTCGGCGGTATCTCCAACTCAGAGACGTCGCCGCACGATCTCCCTTCATCACACCCATATCGCAGCCCAAAATCCTGCGTCGCCTACGACACGCGCTGCCTTTTGCGCCTAATCTCACCCAGCCCGAATATATCCCTACTCGACTTCTGGAGTTCTTCGATGTTCTGCACAAGTATTTCCCGGCCCATCGCCTGGTCCTGTCGGATTTCAACTATCTCCCCGACGCCGTGCCTGGCCTTAACGCCCCCGTGGTCCAGACCAGGTACCAGCGGCGCAATGTACAGGTCACAACTCCCTTTGTGCACCAGGGATACTTTGACATTTTCTTCCCTACCGATTTCGCCATGATGGAAGACATTTATCGTGCCATCACCGGGCGACTGACCAGGGTATCTTCGCACAGAGATTTCCTCGAGAGCTGGGCTTTTGTCGAAGACACCCAAGTCCGCAGTGGCGAAAATCCTATGTTGAGTTGGTACGAAAATGCTAGTGTCATGACAACAGTCTGAACTTGCTATTTTATGGAATAAGATATTGGAGCGAGGGTTAAGCACAGCTGTCTAAAAACGGACCAAGGTGGAGGAATCCCAGGTCCAAAGGGCCTTTTTCCGACTCTGAATATACTGGTCCGCTACCCAGCTGTCGGAGCCGTAATGGCAACCCGATTTCCACGTGTCAAAACGCCCACAGGAGTTGTTGTGCTTGCTCAGCCTTGAACTCTGAACGTCCTCCCACTTGCCGTCTTCCTTTCCCGCTCTTCAGTCTCGGGTCTTGCACGGTTCAACACTGAATTGGGGTCAGCACACAGCTCCGGGTCCTGTAAAAAAAGGGGTAGGGATGACAAACCTTGCAAGAAATCTGCTGTCCTGCGCCGCATACGCGAGTGGATATATGCCTTGGAGGCTTTGATGTGATAGTGGAAATAGTCACGAAACGTCTGAATATGAGAAATCACCTCGTCGCGCCGTTGCTGGGTCAAATGTCGCGGAAACAAAACTGTTGCAAGAGAATTAGTTTAAAGCGTGCTCAAATATGACTGGACTCGATTTGCTGGGCCAGGATACGAGAGTGAATAGCAAGGGGAAATGAAGGGCATGAGCCTTACCAAAAGTGATGAAGCCCATCTCGCCCTTTTCGCCCGTCTTCCCAACGCCCTTTAAGCCCTGCAGCTCGAGAGGAGGATCACTCCTGAACAAGACCTGCGGAGCATTCTGGATGGCGCGACGCCTGGCGTCGACGAATTCCTGCAGAAAGACCTTTGCAAAGATGCGATCGACGGCATCGGTGAACATGGTGGAGAAGATGACCGTGACGCGGTCCGAGCTGGCTTTGATGTAGATGGCTTCTTCCTCGCGGTAATGGATGGCCATGACCTCGCCTCCTTCATCGGCTCCCTGCGGCGCCGACTCGGACGTATACTTCGAGGCTTCCTGGGACAACTGGGAGAATTGTTCGTAGGCCTTTTCGAACGGCGCGGCCATCACATTGCGCTTCAGCAGACTGATTCGTCGCACCAGCTCCTCCCGCTCTTCCGGCGTAGACGGCAGGTTTTCCAGGTCCACCAGGATGCTGAAGTCGTAGCCTGCCTCCGTGGCTGTGATGTAGTTCCCATATTCTCTTTGCAACACCTCCTCAGCGCCATACTGGACGAGTTCGCGGAAGCATTTGATCGATAGGGAGATCAGGATCTGGGTCTTGGAACTAGGCGTCGAGATGTGGAATTGCACCCCGTCAAAGTCCGATACCACCTGATCGATCGATTGCGGAGTCGCGCCGGAGAACCGCTCTGTGAGAATCGACTGGATCAGCACATTCTGGTAGTCGAGAAGAAGCATGGCGGCGGGCGGAACGTTGGTGCTGCCTGCTCGGCTGGAGCAAGTAGCAGCAACCGAGTGGAATGGACAAGAGGGGAGTTGGAGGGATTTCAAAGCTGTCAATGTCCTCCCGCGATATATTCTTCTCTTTCTGCCGTTGGCCAGGTAGTATATCGCCTCGAGATCACAGCAGCCTTTGCGTAGTCGAGTTGGTAGTACAGGGAGGGAGGGACGTGGTACGTGCAGTGGTGGTTGTCGCTGGGGGCGGGCGGGCATTGGACGTCAGCCTCCAGGCACTGCACATCGAAAGGTAACAGCGACAAACATGCCAAGCGCTACAAATCTGACTAAGCAGCCATTTGCAACCGCAGAGGCGGGGCCTCGGAGTTAGCGTTAAAGTTTGTCACGTTTGCTTGCTAGAAATATGGATTTTGTCCAAAAAAGTTGCGCCGGGCTTCGCAGTCTTGGACATTTGCGACAGGAACATCTGCGCAATGGTCAAGTCATATTTGTAAGTGTCCGACAGACTATATCCTTATGTAGGCTATTCATGCTGAATGTTTACAGAAAATTTCAGCACAGCAAGACTTTCGGCCAGATCTGTACTGCCTCCGCCAATGTCGTCTGGGACTCGGCTGCCGGCCATGAAGGGTCGACAAGTAGAGGCGGCGCAGGCCGAGCCTATGTCGGTGCCAACGAGGAAGTGTTAGCGTGGGACCTCAAGACATCAGAGAAAGTAGGGTCATGGAACGTTGAGGACAACAACGCCTTGGTCACGGTGATCTGTCGAAGCGACGTGGACCCGGACGTTTTTGCGGTCGGCTACGAGGATGGCAAGATCCGGATCTGGGACTCCAGGACAGCAACTGTGATCATTACTTTCAACGGACACAAGACTGCGGTTACGCAACTCAAATTTGACCGCTCGGGCGTCCGTTTGGCGAGTGGCTCTAGAGATACCGACATCATCCTCTGGGACCTGGTTGCTGAAGTTGGCTTGTACCGCTTACGGGGTCATAAGGACCAAATCACCTCGCTCAACTTTCTCACAGCAGATGACGACGACAATTTGCTGCAAGACGGGCACGATGAAGAGCAGGACGGGAACAAGGACTCGGACAAGTTTCTCCTCTCTACCAGCAAAGATGCGCTGATCAAGGTGTGGGATCTGTCTACTCAGCACTGCATAGAGACCCATGTCACGCAAACAAATGGCGAGTGTTGGGCGTTGGGATTGACAAAAGACGGCAATGGGTGTATCACGGCTGGTAATGATGGAGAGTTGAAAGTGTGGTCGATTAACCAATCCGCTATGGTTGCGAAACTAGGAGCGAGCGATCAGGCGCAACTCAGCGTTCTTCAGGAATGTGGTGTCCTGTATCGACAAGGCCGAGACCGACCGCTAGCTATCCATTTTCACCCCAAGCGTGACTTGATTGCGGTACACGGATCTGATAAGTCCGTGGAATTGTTGAGAATCCGCTCCGAGAGCGAGGTCAGGAAAGCGCTCATTCGAAAACGCAAGAGGAGGAAGGGAAAAGGTGATAAAGAGGTTGACGGGGAGGCTGGAGCGGATGTGGCGGATGACGACCACGACTCGAACGACATATCTGCCGCCACGGCTACCGACATATTCGTCCCATATGTGATAGTTCGCACTGGTGGAAAAGTCAGATCAATAGCATGGGCCGGCGAAAAGGCCGGGAAGTCCATCCACATATTGGTGGCCACTGCGAACAACCAACTAGAACTTTTCGACGTCACGACTACGGATAAGAAGAAGTCCACCGAAGCTGCAGAATACAGTCGAACCTTGTCGGTCGATATGCCGGGGCACCGGACGGATGTACGGTGTGTTGCCTTGAGCTCCGATGACCGAATGCTTGCGACTGCCTCTCACGGGAGCTTGAAAATATGGAACGCTAGAACACAGAGCTGTTTGCGGACGCTAGAGTGTGGTTATGCTCTGTGTATGTCATTCCTCCCTGGCGACAAGATTGTCGTGGTGGGCACTCGGGAGGGTACACTCGAGGTCTTCGATATTGCGGCCTCGACCCTGCTTGACACCATTCATGCACACGAACGGGACATATGGTCCTTGCAAGTGAGCCCGGATGGCAAGTCTCTGGTCACAGGCTCGGCCGACAAAACCGCAAAGTTCTGGCAATTCAAGGTGGTGCAAGAGGAAGTTTTGGGAACGACTCGGAAGAACGCGAAGCTGACCCTCGTTCACTCCCGGACGTTGAAGGTTGCTGACGACATCCTGAGCGTGCGGTTTTCACCTGACGAGAGATTGCTGGCTGTGAGCACTCTGGACAATACGGTCAAGGTGTTCTTCGTGGACACCCTGAAACTCTTTCTGACCCTCTACGGCCACAAGCTGCCAGTGCTCAGTATGGACATCAGCTATGATAGTAAGTTGATAGTCACTTCTAGTGCTGACAAGAATGTCCGGGTATGGGGTTTGGACTTTGGTGACTGTCACAAAGCCTTTTTCGCCCACCAGGACAGTATTCTGTCCGTTCTGTTTGTGCCTAACAACAACGAGGGTAACGGCCATCACTTCTTCTCTGCATCCAAGGACCGGATAATCAAATACTACGACGCCGACAAGTTCGAGCAGATTCAAAAGCTGGACGGACACCACGGCGAGATATGGGCAATGGCAATTGCACATTCCGGGGATTTCCTTGTTAGCGCAAGCCATGACAAAAGTATCCGGTTGTGGCAGCAGACTGACGAACAGATCTTCCTCGAGGAAGAGCGGGAGAAGGAACTCGAAGAGCTGTACGAAAACACACTGTTGACATCACTCGATAACGATGACACGCAAGCAAATGGCGACGCTGATGGCGTCGAGGCGACAGCTGCAGGCAAGCAGACTGCACAAACTCTCATGGCCGGTGAAAAGATCGCTGAAGCTCTCGAGGTTGGCTTGGAAGACCTCCACCTCATGCAGCAGTATGAGGAAGCGAAGCGTACAAATCCAAAGGTGGCCATGCCACAGCGAGACGCGGTGTTTCTCGCCAACAACAATGTCTCTGCGTCGGTCTATGTACTGGGTGTGTTCCAACGAGTACCTTCAGCATCACTCCAGGACGCCCTACTTGTATTATCGTTCTCACAGCTGCCAGCATTGTTCACTTTCCTTGCCCTCTGGGCAAGCGAGGGACGGAATATCCCTCTGACATGTCGAATCTTGTTTTTCATGCTCAAGGTTCACCAGAAGCAGATCGTCAGTACACGTACCATGAGGGTGATGTTAGAGGACCTGGGACAGAAATTACGGCACACTCTGGAGCAGCAGAAACACGATCTCGGCTTCAACCTGGCTGGGCTCAGGGTACTTGGACGCAAAGTCCGCGAGCTGGGCGAAAGTGATTATGTCGATGATTTGTTGTTGGAGGATAGCCGACCGTCAAACAGCAATAGAGGTGTAAAGAGAGGGTTCGTCAACGTGGCTTAACCACGGTTGGCTTTGCTGGCATGTTGACCTTCCTTTTAAGACCGCTATTTTCGTACGATACACTACTTTGGCCTACCTTTACCACGGAGAGTTATGGTGAACTTCTGAGCGGTGGGCCCGGTGTGGTTCAGCCTCCAGCCTATTTCTTCCTAGAGCTGAGTAGTGCTTGATGGGACTGGGACCGGTGGTCAAATAGCCACCATTGCGGTGAAGCGTCCAATGGACTTCACAGTTTTCCGACGGCCCGAATTCGCACTGCAGATCGGCAGATCTGAGAAAATTCCAAATTGGGCGAGTATCATTTTATGACTAGTGGCTGAAGTCGGTTCATGGCTAGTCTCCGGGACACGGTGGGAGCTGGCTGCCTCCTCTGCCCAATTGGCCCTCTATCCAAGGGGCAATAATAACTTGGAAGACATCTCGAATGGATGAGGGAAGGGTCGTTTCGTACTAGTATTCTGTAAATTTATCGCAGGGGAACGGCGGCAGGTCTCCTCGAACAAGTTGACCGCCAGAGCTGGATCCGTTCGGCGACTCCCACCGGATACCGGATTCGTCTGCAGCTAACGTTCTGCCAGAAGCGCGGATAATGCTCGGAAACCGGACTCTTGACTGTCATCGATCCACGAACCTGACATTCCACATTCCCCTGAGGCTATGCCCTTCTCGGCGTCTCTTGCCGAGTATGATGATGATGGGGGTGTCGATATCGCGGTCCATCTTTGCTACTGGGCCGCTGCCAACAACAATAATCTGTCGCGACGTGAGCGTCATTCGGAGCTGAAGGACGCCTCCGATATCTGTCAAACAAAAATACGCGGCCCGACCGGCGAAATAGACCGTATGTCTATCGAAGCAACTCTCGAGCTGTTCCGTACTTCAGGTGACCTACGAGGTAGCTAGTCGAGCAGAGTCTTCCGTTGCCTTGAGCTCCGGCCGTGAATGAATATATGCTTACGCGTTATAGTGGTTGTTGCACGACAGGATGCTGATCATGACCGAGGTCGACTTCCTCCACGCAAGCACCTGCGTCACAGTTTCCCAGCAGAAGAAAATAAGATAGGCCTTCCTTTATCATAGAAGGAGTAATCGTGGTATACGGGTCTCATGGAGCGTATTCTCCATATTATAGTGGTGACATTGTAACTGTGGATATGGACTCGAGATCCAGGACCATGGGTAAGACACGGGAGGCTGCATCTGTCGGAATAGTCCACGAATGCTTGCAGAGGGAAAACGACTCGGAGTGGATGAAAACTGTGTCAGAGGCACGTGCTTGAGGGGCTTCTAAACCGCCTAAGGCAACACTGGATGGGACTTGAGGCTGGACATCGGATAGAGCAGAAGTCGGAATTGTTTGGGCTGAGCTTTGAATTGCTGCTCACGGGCAAAATATTAGTTGTAGGTCCAACTTGAATGGTTTTTCAAGTTGTAGGTCACCGCAGGAAGAGTTGATATTGCCAAGGCAGACAAGAAAGTTGCTATCTGTACCTAGGTAACAGCGAGTGCTGCCTGCGGCCTGCGCCCTACCACCGCTCTCCTCACACACCAACACTCTACAACTTCTAAACAGACAAGACAACTTAGCGAGACTCGAGTCCACTTCAAATCCTCCTGTGGAGCCCATTGGGACTACCGCAAAGGGTACTTGACCGGTACGTTCTTCACCAGCTGAATTCTCATTGTTTGACGTACCCGATAAGTCATCACTTTTTGTCAATATTATTGCAGGGACTCAGCCCCAAAGCCACCAAGGAGCCGTCACCTGTCCCTTCCAGGGGGCCTCTTGTCGCTTAAGCACCTCGTATTCGCCTGCTGATTCTGCAAGATGGCCCAGAGGGGTGCGAGGATTGGCTTTTCTTCGAGGCGAACATTGGTCCCCAAGTATGCGGCGCGGCCTGTTAGGTCGAAACTAGTCGTCTCAGCCTGCCTTCAATTCCGCATCAGCCCCGTGCAGTGCTGCAGCGGTGGACTGAGGCTGTCATCACGATCCCATCTGTATCTAAACGATTGGCTTCCAGTCCGGTCCACTCATCGCCGTTAGCACGGGGTGCGGACCAGTCATGACAAACTCAACTTCTTTTCAAGCGGCAGGGGCTGCAACGGTCGAAACGCTCAGGCTGCAGGTGGCTGCACTCGCAATTTTAGGCTTGAGATGTTTGACGTGAAAAAGCGAGACGGTCCACTCAGACGTCAGTCTCAAAATGGTGGTGGACTCGTATGTTGCCGTCTGCAGTGTATGTTATGACTCTGTGTTGACCACCACCAGAGCCCGGCACTGGCCCTGCAAGGGTGGTGATCTCAATGATACCCTTTTCAGCTCAACACACAGACCCCCTAATGCTCCACGCTCCAGCCTGATCCCGGCTTCCCCAAATGGCTTGGAACGCTGCAGCAGTAGACTCGACACATTATTCAAGGCGAACAACAGGCGCGAGTTTAGTCATGGACACATGCATATCGCGAAAGGCCCACGCGCACTGTGTTCTCCCGGCCTGGTAGCCCCGCCAAAAGGAAATCCGTCCTTTCGAGCAGCCCAGCGGTCAGGGTGCAGTTTGCCCTTTCTTGGAGGAGCTCGCTTATATTTCCGCTACCGAGCTGTCCTTGCGCCTCACGGAGCACGGAGGTTGCCGCATCAGGCTCGATCTGAGATGCACCCTCGGCGCAGGATGAAGTAGCGAGAAGGTTCAACGGCTCGTAAGTGGGCACATCTAGGTACGCACGAACTGCTGGGCCCCAAGCTTGCAGGGGGACAATTTGTCAAGCGCCCAACTTGGCATGCTCCTTCGTACGATCATATTCACTCTAACTAGGGTCACCCTTGTATAGAGATCGATCTAGTGGAGCTATGGCTTCTGTCTCGTCTACACGGGCCCTGCCAGTCCAACCCTACGATTCAGAGGCCAATCTGGGCTCCTGACAAGGCGAGCGGCACGAGCGTGAAGACCGTCGCGTACCCTAACTGGGCAAGCCCCTACACCTGATGGGCTGCTTGCTTCACTGAGGACCGAACGTTTGGACTCTTCTAGGAAGCGGCCTCGCGCCTCACTTCAATAACAATGCACTTTGGAGCAGGTTCATGACGAAAACAAGCGTCTTTTACTTGTCATCCACAGCAGTTTCCTCGCTCTGTGATGCAGGCAGCTAAGAATGGCGGAGGAGGCATGGGTCCATGTCGGAGTCTACCTTCTTTAAGAGACTACTATACAGGTTCAGCCGGCCCATCCGAAAAGGGACGTCCATGGCACCTGGCTGGCTTTTCCTGGCTTGATGCTAGCCCGAACTTCTAGCGTCTCTTTCCTTATTCTACCGACATACCACATCCACTTGTACGTATGTTACCACTCCTACTACTGCATATTCGTTTGGATCTTGGACTCAACCGTCCTAGGTCGCCGATCGGCGTTCTCATTCGCGGCTCTCATCAACTGGTCTTCCCCAGTCTCCACGACCCTCAAGCTGAAAGGTGTGCCGGAATCCGAACAAGGTTAAGTTTTCATTCCCGCGTGAGAGCCTTTTCTAGGCTGAACTCTCTCCATCGATCCGTCCTCCACCAAAATTCAGCTCACATCATCTTCCATAGTAGAGCTTCATATTCGCATTGTCAACTGCCGGTAATTCAACAGTCGACGAACGGCCGGGATTGTGTCAAAGTTGTCCTTCCGCTATACCTCAGGATCAACAAACAAGCTTCACTCCTGTTCCATCACGTTAGGCCTGAAGCCATCCGACCTGCGAGTCAGATCCCCGTTGTGACTTCACGCCTGGCTTCGAACCCGGTTGTTGAAGTCCCGCTCCATTCATGCAATTTCTGATACCTTAACATCTTTCAATCAAGACGAGTCACCGAAAGCAAAGAGGCACCTATTCTCCTGAGACCTTACCATCCAGCGTCAGGATAGGCTGTCATTATTGCCGATATGTCCCCAGCCAGTCGACGTGGTCCTTGGTTACCCGATGAAGATGCCGCGCTGTTGCACCTCGTCCGCACTCAAGGCCCCAACAACTGGGTGCGTATCTCCCAGCACATGCAACACCGGTCACCAAAACAATGTAGAGAACGATATCACCAGAATTTGAAACCGTCCCTCAACCATGAACCTATCTCCCCAGAGGAAGGGGAGATGATCGAGCAGCTTGTGCAGGAAATGGGCAAGCGGTGGGCGGAAATCGCGCGTCGGCTTGGTAATCGAAGTGATAATGCGGTGAAGAACTGGTGGAATGGAAGCATGAACCGACGAAAAAGAAACAACTTGCAGCAGAGCGGCGGACCTCGACCGGTGGGATATCGAAATCTGCCCATGCCGGCTTCATCATCTACACCTCAACTTTATGGCCGGGAGACACAGATTCCTCACCAAGACCTTCGGGCATATCCTTCTTTGACGCACCGGCCCCAACTACAACAAGCGAGCTATAGTTTTTCCCACACGAATACCTTTACTCGGGAACGCACCCACCCTTTACCGGCTCCAACATCGCAAACCTCGGTCCTTGGGCATTCGCAATGCCAGGAACCGGCATACCCTTCTCGCGGCCAATCCCACCATAGTTTACGCTTTCCTCCCTCAGAATCGAATTCTTACCCGTCTGTTGAGTCCGTGCCGTCGAAACGACGGCCCGAGTGGCAGTTGCCATCGTTATACCCTATCGAATCTTCCATCCATTCCCCTGCCGCGACAGACATATCACACGCCTCACTCCATCAACAAGCACCGTCTCTTGTGTCAGATAACCAGTCGAACTGCTCAATCTCGCCCAGGACTATTTCATCACCTCGCCCGAGTTTGCCTGCGCCCAAGGAGCTGATGATGCCAATGTGGCCTGGAGGCTGCGCTCGGGATCCGGCAGGTCATTATCAGGACCAAAATCTAAACATTGTCAAGCCAGAAAACATTTGTGAAGAAACCATTCGAAATGCTGCACCGCGGCCGATAATAAATGTACCATCTTCAAGCCTCCCGGGTCGTCCTTCATTATCGCATTCACAGTCACTTCCCGAACCACTGGACTCTCCATCCAGGCCAGTGAGTCAGGAGAGTACAAGATCATACAACCCTTCATACCAAACAGACACCACCAGCCCCAGAGACAGTCGGATGAAACTGTCCAGCCTGCTTGGCTGAGGTTCAGCCATGGGTCTGGGAGAAATTATGGCGAATTTTTGGAGGCAGCAATCAACAGTTTCTGGACGACCTTCCTCTGGCTATTGCCAGAGGCTGTATTATATTATTTCACCTCGCCTTGGAGGCTTCGAGACATGTACTGTTATGGACTTACGATACCCAGATTTAGCGAGCCAGGGACGAGAAGAAAGATGATTAGGAGGATGAACACATACTGCAGAGGCGTGATGGTCACACTGAGCAAAGTTTTGTATAACAGATATCTGTGAATGGCGTTGTATTGCAAAAAGGACCCGTTGCAATTCTATTTTTACGGGCATTTAGTCCGGGAAGAAGAAGGTTGAAGTCCGCAGTTTGTATTTAAACAGGTATATTGCCATACTTCGCACTCTAACATTGTGCCGTCGACTTGCTGTCATACTAGTAGTAGGCGACATTGACAAGGCACGAAAACGAGTAACGAAGGTGCTGTTGGATTCATATGCATTGCAAATTTACAACTTGAACTACTCGAACACGGTAACCCAACACCTGGGCAGGTGGCCGCCTGCATGTCTACAACACCTTCAGGGCATTGATTACAAAATAAGAGCACCTGACGGCTTTGGAAAAGGTGAAATGGTCGTCTACAGCATCCTTGTGTGCGCACCTTGGTTCGGATAAGTCGAGGCATGCAACCGTGTCCTGCCCTCCAGAACAACCCCCGCTGTGGTGGGAAGTTCTTCTCTGTCGCACAACGGACCCTTTACAGGCACGGACCTGCCAGAGACCTCTACTTACGGACCAAGAACTCTCCCAAAGCGCGAATCGCGAAGGAAGAACGGGGTTGGATAAACTCCTAACCTGCTAGTAATGAAATCTCAATAGACGCCCACCTCTGTCGCCAAGCGGCCGCAAAAGGCAGCGCCATCCATCTCGATCGATAAAACCATACTGCCAACCTCAAGAAGAAACAAAAAGCGGACAGTTTCGGCGAGAAGAGACCGACAACAGTCTGTGATTTCATTCTAGGCAGCGCAGGGGGGAGGGGCGGCAAGATGGGTCATCTCCTGGTGTGGCCTTGAGACGACGTCCTTTTCCAGCACCGCCAGTATCAGGCAGTCCAACCACGATTCTGCATTATGTAGCAGATACCCATGCTGGAGGCGAAAGGCCCGAAAGGGGAGAGCGTTCGGAAGACCAAGACAACATTTCCAACGTACGGCCAGAAGAGTGCTCGGGAGACCAGTATCCGGTCTTTGAGAGGCTGCGAAACGAGACCTGCACACCTCGCCACCGACGCCGTTGCGATTCTGGAGGAGATGATTTGGCCTTACATGCTGTATGTTCGTCAGCAGTCTTTCTCCATCGTTAGTGGCCGCTCTGTGTCACCTATGTTGTCAATTTGGGAGCTTAACTCGCATAAAAAGTCGAATCGCTTCGAACGCCGAAACCCCGAACTCGCAATGCTACCTATAGCACTACCACAGTGTATGTTGGTGTGCTCTAATGTTGGATAGTACAAGCGAAGAGCTCCACACCTGGCCCGCAGTGGGAAGATCATGTCCACCGGACCATGACAAATACATTTTACTTTAAAGGGTCATGCCGGAATTGACCAGGACGACAAGACTTGAAGACCCCCTCGCATCCACGGACTGTGGAGAGGACTGCAAGCCACGAGGACATCTGTAGGCCTCGAACAACCTTCCGCAAAACGACAATGTGTTGAGTATTGCCGAAGTGGCCGACCTTGTTCGAGTTGACGGCTTTCTAGGCTGTCGTGCACTGGCTTATACGCATCTACGACGCCATCACTTGCTAGAAAGTGAGTTCGAAATCGATTTCAGCGAGTCAGCCATCAAGATGCTATAGGTAGCAACGCAGCCGTTTACGCGACAATCAGGCTTTGCTTCAGCAATGACAGTGAAAAAAGCCTTACACAGCAGTTGATATGCAGCTGCTGTTCACCAGTACTGAGTACAGTGGCATCAGTGGTCATACTCCGGAGCAACAAGCCGCTCTTGAACGGGGCTGCCACCCATGCACTCGAGGAGTCAGGAAGAGCAAGGGGAGTCCTGCCTTCCGACAATAATGCTTACGACATGAAGTATGACTTCTGTTCAAGTCCTACAGCGCGGTCCCGGTTTGATGCCGTGACCACGACACGACTGTTTGGCGAGTCTCGGCGTAATCATGCACTTCGAGCTGCAACTCGATCCCATTATCATCCAAAGGACGAAAACAGCAACGGTTGGCCGGCATTCACCAGCGGTGACGGCGTCTTGGGGCCCTGAGTGCCATCCACAAATACTGGCCCGGTACTGTTACTAGTCAGCCATCAACACCCAACAATTTTTGCTCTACCAAGCCCGCCAACTACGGTGGAATTCCTCTCGGAAAGGTGTGGTCAGGGAAAGGCCGTTAGCTTTAGCGAACGACCCTGGATCAGCCACTGGCATCGACTCAACCCACTACTCGAAAAAGTCAAGCCTAGTGAGCCGGTTGTAGAACGGCCCTGGTTAGGGCCAGCAAGTAGCCCGGGCCCTGCGGGACTTCAGCTGGCATGGTATTGTCTACGGCCGGCTAGCAATACAGACACAGAAACCCAAACCCGAACCGGTATGGGAGGACCAACGGGCGACGGGCTGAAGCAGAGCGCGAATTCCGCGCCTCACGAACCAGCCCATCACCGCTCAAGATGGCTTGCGCTGGCGATCAGCGAGCTTAACCGACAAGGCTAAAACACCACAAACCAACGTGGCCTTCTCGTTCGAACCAATGCTGCACAGATGTCATTAATTGGTGCGACCTTTTTCATTCGCAGATCACCGATATAGCTTGAGGCTATCCAACATTCTCGTGTGAGCGATCCTCAGTGCGCGGGCCCATCAGTCCGGTCCGTCGACTCGCTGCCGTCGAGTTTTTTGCGATAAACGCTCGTGCACCTTGGTGAACATGTCACCTGTCGCCTCTCATGACCAAGCTAGCGAGTTGCTCCAAGCTACGGTCAAGTTGCGCCTGACTCGTAACGCTGCTGCCCCGGCCACCAAACACAGCCCTGTATCTTGCATACGCCTTGTTAGATCAGACCTGCCTACTCCACGCCTAATTGAGTGCGGTCCTGTCGCCTTCACTTACTACTGTCTAGGAGGTTAAACGATCCTAGTGGCCTACTTAACCAATTTTTATGCACTCCTCCCTCAACAGACCTGCCTTTACCGCCTTGATCTGCGACCCCAAGGCGCCCGGCGACCGTAATAATGGGCATGGACATCGGCGAGTCATGCTAATAATGCCCCTGCTGGTAGGAAAATCTGCATGCTGGGCCCGGGTCATGCACGATTCTGTCTGCAGCAACTCGAAGGGGGCATTCTTCAGGCCGGCCTGGTCCCCCTGCCCAGTTTGGAATCATTTTGCGCCGGGGTTTGATCGGTTTGATCTCCCCCTGACACTTGACAGCGACAGAGGAGTATACAATGCGACGCCACACGGCCACTACCAGCTGGCTACGCACTAGCATTATTGCACTGTTACTGCCAACAATTGCCTCTATTTCGAAGGGGGCAACAGTAGCGAACAAATGATTTCCCGTCAAATCCAAACTTCGGCTGCCGGCACTTTCCACCAGTACAACGGCTTTGGGGCCGGAACCTTGGTAGGAAAAAGGAGGAATCCATTTCGAGGGCTACTACGGGTCCTGCTGTCACGGATCGGCACAACAATATTAATGCCATGATTCAGGAACATTTCCGACAGTAATAACCGGGGCACAGGGGTGTCCCGCGTTTCCTACCAACCTACAGAAGGTGCGGTATCTCAGCTGGCACCGTGACCGTTTGGTTACACCAAGATTCGATCCCGCCGGTGCCGATCTCAATCTCATGTGTACTATAGTGCTGCACTACTGGAGGTGACCACACTGGAAGTGGCTTTCGCCCTTGTTTGCGACCATAGTAATTATTGGCATCTCGACGGTAGTGCACGTTCCCACAGGCTTTCATCTATCACCTGCCGTCAACGCTCTCTAACAGCGAGCGACGGACTTGTGGTCAATACACGAACGTCGCCTTGCCAGAGTCGGTCTCGGCCCTGGCATCTTTGCTGCAGAATTTACGTACAGCAGCTGTGGCCGGGCCCCAGCTGTCTCTGCAGTAGTACGCACTTTTGTGGCGTCCGTCAGATTCCCTTGCGGCCGTAAGGCCTGTGGCAGGCGGACCACACTGGTGCGCATTTTCCCTCCATGGCGCCTGTCAAAATCCTTCGGAGACCGCGGAGGCCGTCCCATAGCATAGGGTACCAGTACCTTGCCCAACCTCAGGCGGCCCCCCAGGTGGGTTTACCACTTCGTAACTGTCTCCAACAACGCCGGGAAGTGTCCTCAATCGGTTTAACCACAATTTCAAAAATGTGTCGTGTGGTGAACGGTACTTACTATACGTGTTCCAGGAGGGTCGGCTTTCCTTTCAGCGATCAGTATACAGCCTGCGAGAGATTACAAGCATGTGACATTGATTGCAATGTTTGAAGGCAAACCCTGCATGCCAAATGTGTTCAACTCCCGCAACCTTATCTCCTCATTGAAGTGATATGCACTACAGTGGCAGGTACTCACAGTCAGCTAGCAGGCCGCGTTGAGTCTGATCTGCCAGCTTGAAAACAATTAAATCCTTTTCGCTTAGAGACAATAATAATGAATGCACGAGCATGCTGTCAATGGTCATCCAGCAGCAGCAAGGTAAGAAACCAGACGAAACTCACGTCCATGCTGAGCAATTGTCTTCAAACTTCAAAACCACCCTCGGAAGCCCGTTGCTCTACATGGAGTCGGCAACTTGCAGGACATTTCGAATCAGAGTGTCCCCTTTTTTGGCTTCCGGACATGCAAGGGGGGATTTGATCACCACCGCAACTGTCAGTGTCAACCGGTCACCGTGCTATTTTTCCATCGAAGAAGGTTTGCAATCAGACATGCCTTGGTTTGATGCATTTCCCGTATTTCAGCATTGACATCCTCATCTGCCAGTCGAACTTCCAAGGGGGTTCTCGTGCCCTGAATGTGGCTGACGATCAATAATCAATATGTTGGAACTCTATTCAGACTCTGCTTCCTCGTTGGTACTGGGGTTGGCATGTGCACTGAACTATCCCAATAGATCGTGCTCCTGCTCACAGCTGAATATTATTCGAGGACACGACTTATTATTATTTGTTTGCTATTATGCTGAGGCTGCGCTTGCCCTCTGGTAAGTGTCTCGTCGTCTGGTCGTCGTCTCTGTTCCCATCCAATTACCTTTGATATTATTGTACTGTGCAAACAGTGGGTGTCCAGTACTGACTGCCCTGCCGCCTTTCCTGCAACGGAGATTCAAAAAAGCATACCGGCCCCTGTGGAAGAGAGCGGTAGGTAGCCAGCTCCCTACTGCACAGCTCTGATACTGTGTATCTCGTCGCAGCAACTAAGTTGCTTTTAAACCACCGTCGGTCTTGACTGTCACTACTATGGTACCCTTGGATGACCTTGCCTTGCCAAACCAAAGCTTGCTTCGATGATGCATCCTCTACCTTGATCTGGCACTCACCTGGGTATCAAAATTTGTACGACCCATCGCAGCGGCCACATTGTCGCAGATCACGTCTACATGGGCGGACTGCTATTACACAGTCACATTTTGCTTTTCGTCTTTGCTATTCAGCATCTCGTTGTCATCGCCGGTAAATGTACCTATACTAACAATATCCACGAACTCTTTTCCAGCTAGCTGGTGCCGGTCAAAAATAAGTGGATCAAAAAGAAGCACGCAGGTAGGTCAATGATATCAACACCAGAGAAGAGTGTTCTTCAGCACATGCAGCCCGAGCTTCATTTTCGGTTCCAGCTCTGTTTTCTTTTGTTCCTGTTCTGTGTCATGGTACAGTATCAACCTCGGCGGCCCCCTAGCCACAAAAGAACAAAGAAAATCCAAAAAAAGAAAGATAGATTCTTATCTCAGACTCGCTCGCTCGCTCGCTACTCAAGTCGTGGCACGGTCTCTTTCTTACACTTTGCAGCCACCGAGACACGCATATGATGACGCACGAACCGCAACAGCAGTTTGTTCGAGCTCAGTTACTGCAGTGTGCTGCTCATGAAGATTAATTGACAGATTGACCATTTCACAACTACGCTAGTCTCCTGTTACTCCTGTACAGTTCGGATTCAAATTCACCGGCCAGAAGGACAATACGCAGCGGCTTTACGTGCTTGCCTCTGTCTCGTTAACTTATACCTCCAATCTGCGGTCTACATCAGCTGACGAAAACGCGGGGCACACTACAAGGGATGCTTGTTCCGACTCGGAACTTGAGAGTCGGAGACGGTATATATACGCCTTAGGTATGGTTATTGTACATTATACATGTTCCTCCTTTGTTTACTATATATATTAGGCAGAACTAAGGTGACACCACCTAGAAGGCTGATGGGAGATCATGAATAATATCCTTCCTTGTACTGGAGTGACTCTGAGCTGAGATCAGTCACAATATACCTCTGCATAGGTACTGTATAGACAGAAAGTCGCAGAGAGAGCTACCACAGGTAACTGGTTCCGAGCCCTGGTACCGTGCCTCCCGATATCCAAGTACCTTACAGTAGGTACGGACATCACCTCTGTAGGTGTATATACAGTATGTACAGCCAGTACATAATAAATACTACCACCGCTTGGATATATCCATTCTGCAGCCTGCAGCCTGCTCTACTAGTATGTTATGTTACTGAGATTGATCCCCCTCTCCTCGTCCTCTTCGCATTTCTCGTCCGTACATCGTAGCATCCAGGGTCAATTGCCGAGAAAGAACATAGCATAACTCAAGAATAAGATAATTGTCATTCATCATAAAGTCGTATAGTACCTAGATAAGGTAGTAGGTACCGCTGGATAGCATCACAGAGCAATGTTTGTGTCTCTCTCTCTCTGTGTGCCGTGTATGTATCTTCAATTCATCATCGCTCGAGTCACAGTGTCAGTCTCTCCTCTCATGCACAAGACAGACAAGACAATCAGTCCAGTATTGTTTTTCGTGGTAGAAAAGAAATTTCAAAAACAAAACTAAAGAGCTGTGCTTCACCTCAACTCCTGTCTGATCAGGCTGACCTCCTTTCGGTGATGTTCGAGCCGAAGAAAGAAAACTCGTCAAAGTCTATGACACCACCTCACCCTGCTGTTGAGTTATCCCTTCCTTCTTTCACCTGCGTGCGTTGCGTAGCCAGATATCGCCTCCTTCTCCCCTTTCCCACTTCTCCCATGCCGCCCAATAGGCCAGTTCGACATCCCGGACCCAGCGCTTGGTGTCGAAGAGCCGACTGGTCCACCGCCCTTCCCAAAGCATTCGTCGAAGATCCACCAGTCGTCCTTTGCCATGCCCGACCTTTTGTCCGGCAGAGGGGGAACCTGGAGAGGATGCAGCCGTAGGCGGATATTCTAGGCCTTGAGCCAACTCAATCGCGGCATCAATGTATTCCTTCTCACTGTTGACCAGCAAGTCCCGGCGCGCCTCGTCCCCTTCCCGTCCCTCTGGAAGCGCACTGGCCACAATGCTTCCAGCCATCCGACTGCACATCTTATACTTCCATTTGCCCCAGGTGAGGATCGGAGTCCCCGACCAGATGACATCGGCGGCCGTGGTGTGGGCGTTACATTCGGGAGTGTCTAGAAACAAATCAACCACTGATGCACGCATAATATGCGTCCCCTTGGCTGCAACGTCTGTAAACACAATCCGCGACGCCACTTCCGGGCTGGCCCAATCGCGGGCATATTGAAGTAGTTTCTGCTCTCCCAGATCAGGGAACCGTAACAACCATAAAATCGCGTTGGGCACCATTTTCAAAATTTGCAGGTACATGTCGAATGTGGCCGGGTCAATCTTGTACAACTGGTTGAAGTTGCCCAGGATCACAGCGGTATCGGAGAGGGTCGGGAAGAGTTCCTTTCTCATCTTCCATCGTTTATCCTGCTCCTCTTTCCAGGCAAGCTCACGACTGATAGGGTCTCGCAAGCTTGGAGCCCCCTTCCCGACATCCGGGGCACTTTGTTTGTGGTCGACACAGAAGAAGGTATCTCGGGCGAAGATAAGGTTCTCTGCGTACATCCAATCTTCTTCATCTTCCACCAGTGAATCGGGTCGGAGCCGGTCATCAATGGTTACGTTCCGTCGCCACGGAGAAAGCGTGTCTGGAGGCACAGAGATCATGTCGGCAAAGACATAGTCGCACCACTCGGCTCCTAGAGTGCCCGCAAACCCCATAAATGACATGTGTATCGGAGCTGGTCGAGCGGCAAAGACCTCGTTGCGTGCTCCCCGGGTATATCCGTTGAGGTTGACCAGGATGTGGACATTGTCGCGGACAATCTGGTTCACCAGTTGTTCAACGCTCCATGACGAGGCATCATAAAACACTGGAGCCTCGCGTTCGATTTGTTGTCGATGAACAGAACCATCAGAAGCTGTAGTGGCGTAGCAGATTGCTTTCACTCGAGTCGGGTCGTGAAGGCCAAAGACCGATTGCATCAAATGCGCGAGAGGATGGTTATTAAAATCGGAACTAACGTAGCCAACATTCAGGCAAGGATTGGGGGGCGCAGGTGGTGGAAACACGGTAGCTGGGAGCCACGCAGAGCGAAGTGCGCACACTGATATGCGGAGGGCATTCCTTTGTGATATCTGACGGATCTGTTTTGCTGACAAAGGTGCTGTGAAAGTGTGGAACGGGAGTACAGTTGGTGCCGTAGGAGCTGACAATGAGCTCGGCAACTGTGGTCGATAATACTTCCGGACCGAATACTCTTTTCGATGCTTATACCGATCCTGGTACCAGTGCCACCCAATCTCCCGGATGGCTCGCTCAACGAGGCGGACAACGCGTGACCCTTCCCACTTTTGTCCGGACCAAGTTCGAAGTGCCTGCCGCACAAGTTCCAGTGACTGGACCCGTCGGTTGTCCGTTGATGATTGTCGGTGAAGGGTCAACTGCGCTGCCAGAGAGTCAATTATTGAAGGGGTCAAAGTCCCACAGCCCCAGGTCTCGCCGTCTTTGAGTTGCTTATCGACAATCTCCACCACCCGGTTGATCCATCCGTAGGGCCGGGATGGTGTGTGCTTCATGCCCTCGTCGTCCACATGGAGTCGATCACGTAGTCCATCACCCGCACATATTCCCCCGCGACCATGCCAACTGCAAACCGAATTCAACGCAGTGGCGAGGCCGCAGACAGCCTCTGCAAAGTCAGGGTTTGCGGCCACAGCTCGTCGGTAGTATACAATGGCGTCGGCAACTCGACCTTGATCCTTGACCGCATTGGCAAGATTGGCAAGAGCAATGTCGAAGTTGCCATCACAACTCACCGCCCGCTCGTACATCTTGATCGCGGCACCAAGTTGGCCTATGTCCTTGAGCAAACTGCCAAGGTTCGTGTACAAATGGGCGTGCTTCGGGTCGAGATTGAGGCCATAATTGTAGTACATCAGGGCCAGCTGGATTCCACTTCCCCCCGTCACCCCGGGGATTGACGCAAAATTGGCGAAAATGGGTTCGGCAAGGTGGGCCGGATGTACAGTTTGCTGGACACTTGCAAGCAGGATACCAACATTGTTGGCCGTGGATGGGCTGCGCTGGAGGGAGAGGGATAGGTAATACAAAGCAAGTATTTCTCGCGTCGAGGGAGACTTCAAACTCCCACTGTGAGTGGCATTGCACATACCATCCTGGTATATTTTCGCTAGTGAAAGAAGAGAGTTGGAGGTGGTGGCAACCGCAGCCTGGAAGGCACAGGGGACAGAAACGTGCTCTAGCCCAGGAAGGCCTCCTTCAGGAGGGAACATCAGTTTAGCGGTGACTTCGGCGTGTTCAGGGGCAAGCAGTATTGGATCTCTCCCTTCGAGTTTGAGGCTCACGTAGTCTGGGTCATCAATGTTGCCAAGGCAAGCGCGGAGAATGCCATTGATGAGCCCTTGAATGCCGCGCTTTCTCTGGCCCGTGGCGATGAGGATGGCGTCTTCGAAGGCAGATGCAGCCGCGTGATTGTTCCCTAAAGAGTACAGCATATTCCCCTTGGCATGGATGAGAGCTAACATGCGTCCATTATCAGCCCCAGAAATTGCATAGCCGCTTGATCCAAAACCGGGGGCTCGAGACTCATCGGCCCTTGGTGAGTGCTGACTGTTCAGACCGGTCTCGAACTCGTAGTGACTATTGTCATGCGAAGCCACGGTGGCGATACTTGAAGTATGGCTCCTGTTGTCGCTTTCTGCATCACTCAACTCTCCCCCAATTGATTGAAGGTCTTCATCACGGATGCGCAAGGCGCTTTCGACGTATTCAATCACACTGACGGCCTCCCTTGCACGGTGGGTAGTGCACAACAACCCAATCAGATGCTCAACTGCCTCGAAGTAACTAGGCCGTAAGCTGACCGCATCTGACCAGTACTTGAGCGCGTCTTCGCGGCGATTAAGAGCATGACATGTTGCGGCGAGGTTGGAGACTGCTTCGACATGACCAGGATCCTGCCTCAGAACTGCTCTATACCACTCCTCGGCTTTGGCATACTTGCCAAGACCATATGCAAGACAACCTGCTAGCAACATTCCGTCCACCCATGGTGTCTCGGCCTCATGACACAGCAGTTCCATTGTTTGGAGTGCCGCCACTGGATCGTAAAAAGGTGGCCGCAGATCCGGAGTCGGTATTGCTGTTTCACGAAACTGTCGTACTTGGGCCGATCTTTGTTCAGGACGGTATTGTTGAGTAGACGTATGGCTTGCTTCCGGCTGTGCTCGAAACGATGTAGTATCATGGTGGCTATAACCTTGGTTGGGTCTGAAGATGGCTGTCTGCGGTCGAGATGGGTTGTCAAGGACCGGCCGCTGACTACCAGTGCGAAATCCTAGAAGATTAGGGCGATCTTGGGCGGGCCTGAATTTAGTGCTCGGATCTTCCTGGAAATGCGAACCGGACCTCACAGGTGGTTGGGGAAATATCGCTGGCTTGGCCACTTTACTTGTCTCAGAGCGCGCCTGTGTGCTGTTACGCCGCTCTCTTGTGCCATTCCGCAAGCTTTGCAAGAGCTCTGTGTAGCTTGCATTGGCCGAAGCGAAGGCTTTATCTCTGAAAGCAATTCGGTCTGATCTGGGTCCGGGAACCAGAGGGGTTAATACTGGCTTCCCTATAGACAACGGGCTGTGCGTTGATTGAGCAGGGCCAGAGTAAGGTTGAAGGTAGGGGTGCTGTGAGTTGTGATAGGCATTCGGGGTATGATTGTACTTCGAGGATGGGGACTGAACATAATTGGTGGGTGCGGTCAAGAACTGTTCTGGACGATTTTGGACATAAGCATGGCCATGTCCCTCGGGGAACCGTCCAGCCTTCCTCAGTAAATGGTGATCTAAGACATGATGGTCCAGAGGAAATCGTTCAGCAGGCGCTCGCGGAAATACTCGACTGTCTCGGATAGATGCTGGACGGTATGGACTGTAAGTGCCGTCTGGCCAGTACGGTCCGTACAATTCTTGTCCCGCCGAGGCAGTAGGACCGAATTGAGAATGGAAAGCAGTGGGAAGGACTGTAGGCACATTGGTACCGTGTTGGACATAGTATCTTTGCGTTGTTTGGAGTGGTAGGGTCTGATTGAGCATAGAATCAAGGCCGCCTGGAAAGTCCCATGCCGGTGCGTAGGTGAACGGAGTGGAGGCTCCATAGGACTCCGACTGTTGACTATACGGCCCATCTCTTGCAAAGTCCGAAGCAGGCATGTTAGGGTTATATGATTGTGACTGGATGGGTGCAGGCCACTGCTGAGGTAGTGACGAGGTTCGCCGGTATTCAGGAGATAAGGAGAGGAGGACATGTTTGAAGGCAGGAAACTGCACACCCTTGTCGATTGCAGCCGTGTCCTGCTCAAAGAATCGGCCGTGTGGTGTTTTCCGTTGCCTCACCATCTCGTGTTCAGCATAGCTGAGGCCTCCAGATTGCCGGCGCTCATGGCCGGGCATAGGGGGCGCCGAGGGGATCGCATACTGGCGACTGGCTGTATCTATGGGTCGACGGAAATAGTTGTTGCGGTCTTGAGGAGGATCCATCGCGTTGGTCTGCCGCCGAGGCACGATGAGCATGATTCTCAATTGAGATAGACGTCTAACTCGCGGGAGTCGCTAGGTTGCTCGCGGTTGGGGTGCAAATCTCTGAGTGAATCACCCAACTTCGAACGCGACCGGATGAGGTCGCCGGGACAATTTCACGATAAAGGCAAGAAGGCAACTGGGCCTGCTCTTGTTTTCACTCCCGGCTCTCATTGTGTTCCTCCAAGTACTGTTTCTGCTGCTCGCGAGACTTGCGCAGTCATGGACGAAGCAGAAGATGTTTTTCTCTCCTTGAGCAACCAGGCCGATAGACCTGAAGTCGGGGAATTCGTGAAACAAACTTGGCTGAGACTGAGCCGGGTCCGTGCTGTCGGACAAGGGGGAATCCTCACGCCCTTGGGTGGATTGAAATTGTTTGGTCTTGTCTTGCCGGTGGACAGCGGGCGACGCAAGGAGGTGAAGGAAGATTTGACGTTCGAATGTTGCTTGCTGTTCACGTAGAACTCGAGCGAGGAGCAGTCTGCCGTGAAGGTGAAGGGCGGGTGCAGTCACTGGCAGTGGTTGAAGGATCGACCAGGATCTGTTGTGGTGGAGGCGCGGTCGACTTGAAGGGAACAACCAAGACGGTCCGCTCAATATCCGAGTCGCAGGCAGCGGCGGTGGAGTCGCGCTTCAAGTTGCGGTCTTCAACTTCTCGACAGAACTACGTAGGATACTCTCTGCTGCCACTGCAGTGCTTATCAAGGACAACTTCCAGCTGAGGATGAACGAATACGCCCTTGCATGAAAAGGGTTCCTCTGCGGTCGTGTCGGCTTCGTGAGAGCGGACAAGACATAATTTACGCCTCATGATTGCACATCCATTCATACGGTGCCAGAGCATCGTTTTTCCAACCGCGCCAACTTGAACCCATTGGCATAGGATGTGGCTTGCACCATGACACTCTAGTCGTAGGATGCCTTCCTTGGGACTCCAGACTGGCCTCAATTCGCCCTGGGGAGCGGAGCGCGTCTGCTGTCAGTCGGCACAGCTGGATGTGTCACCTCGTCGCGCCGGGCTTCATTGGCCCGTCTCAGCGGCCTGCATTGGACTACGCCGGGGCTTAGGAGGCTACCGTGGCCTGAGGCCCGCCCAGCTGCTTTGCTGAGGCGCCTTCTGTACCACCAGCGGCCTCGTTGGGCTTAGTGATGACGAAGAAGCGAGAGCAAACGGGTAGTCACAGCCTTCGCTCCAGGATCAGATGGATGATCGTGCGGTGCCCGATGCTTGGGAGGTTCCAGTCAGCTTCTTCCTCACCCCCATCGCGAACACAGCTGTCTCAAGGTGTGACAACGCAGAGAAACGCCTGTCATGCAGGCAGGAAGAAGGTGTGTTGCCATCCGTCCATCAACGGATATGCCGACAGCAACAGACATAGATCCAACGGCCTTCTTCTGTACATGTGCTGGGTTAGTGCCTGAAAACCACCGAAAGACGAGAGCCCGAGGGGGCCCTTGGGCTCTCGGTGCCCCTGTGGACACTGAGTAGCGCTATCTGGGGTACCCGGCCCCTACTAGTAATCAGGGAGTTGATGACTTCTGGAGGCCTTCCATCGTGCCGTTTGACCTGGCACCGTTGACACTTTTTCTTCAGTCGTTGGACGCAGGCTCTTCTGCTCATGTGCTATCGGGAGAGTGGTCCACCTGTCACCCAGCCTACAAGATGTCCGTCAGTTCCTAATTCTATTGGCAACAGGCTGTTTCATCTATCTAGTCGAAGTCGCAACATAGGACAGGCGCAAGGCCGCTATCAACGGGTACAGTAGCTTCGAGTTTGCGGACAGCCACAGGCGAGATGCGGGTACGTGCAGTGCTGACCGGGTGAATGGCCGGATTCTGACACCATTTCCCACGAGGCAAATATAGTTGGATGTTCTATAAGTACTAGTAGTAGCAACCAATGAGGATTCAATTGGACGTTCCGATTCAGACCGCCGGCGAGTTGCAGCGACCGACCAGCAGGAGGCGGACAGCTGAATTGCTTCCGGCCGTCGAAGGCCTACCTCTAGTCAGCATCATCTTGTTTGCTTCTGATTTTCCAGCATGCTTGAACATCTGGGGGAGCTCCATGCATATCGGAAAGCGATTTGCGCAGTTTGCAACTGTCGTCGAGGCATCAGTGCTATGTACTGTAACACATCATCAAGGCGGCGGGTTGTCCCGTTTGCACCAACAATTTTTGTTTCGAAGTTGGAACAACGCCGTATCACATCATCGGCGGGAGACAGATGAGGCTGACTGATGTATGATGTGCTGTACAAGGAGTTAGATATGTAGCCAGGTATCAAGCTCGACTCGGAGCCAAAGCCAGGTCAACCTGTATCAAACATGGAACTGGAACTTGAAGTTGCTGCACTCGTCGAAGTTCAAGTTGCAGGGAGCTCACGCGTTTGCCAAGCCTGAGTGGCCCACCGCAAATACTTGTCACTTCTCACGCGTCCACACTTTCCTCTTCCCTTCTTTTCTCCATCTACACGCGCCGGCAACAAAAAGCATTACTTAAATCGTCGGCCTCTGGCATTCACTGCTGAGGCCGGTTTCGCGCCGAGCGCAGATTAGCTACCTCTGGCTGGGCATCCGGGACTTAGGGATCATCTTGATCTCAATGGGATCTGGAGAATCACAGTCGAGGTGACAGATTAATGTTTCCCTAAATGATCAAAATAATGTAACCCATTCACTCCTCTTTTATAGACCGAATCGCTTCTCGACCTCTGCAAATATCTGCGGCGAAATCTCATCACTGCTGTTCCCTTGAACCGTGACCACGAGCTTTTCGTCCTGCGCCCGGTAGAAGTCCAGCAAACTCTGGCTCGTCTCGTCAAACTTGGCCAGACGTTTCCGCCATGTGGCTTCGCTGTCATCGTCCCTTTGCACCAGTGGTTCCCCAGTCATGTCGTCAATCCCAGCGACTTTTGGATCATTGAATCCCACGTTGTATACTCTTCCCGAAGCCAAATGTGTCCATCTATTCGCCATTCGAGAGAGGATAACCTCGACTGGAGTGACAAGCTGGAAGACCAGGTTGATGGGGAGAAGATGTGACAGAGCTCGAGCTTGGGTGGCAGTACGAGGAAACCCATCTAGAATAAAAGATGTATCGGGTGAATTCGAGACTTGAACTATTGTTTTGCCCGAGTTCTGGCCATGTTCAAGGGCGGCGATTATGTTCTCATTGGAATCGTATGTGTCTAACCACTTTCTCGTGGTTAATTCGTTGAGGATGAGGTTGAGAATCAAAGGATCGGGCACCAGACCACCACTGCGCATGTAGCTTTCTGCGTGTTGTCCTGCAGCGCTATGTCAGCAGTCTAAATCTAGGTGCGCATTGAGAGTACCGACCAAGAGCTGTCTTATTCTTGACATTGTCACGCAGAAGATCTCCGGTCGCGATCGTGCACAGTTGTGGAAACCGTTTCATAAGCCTCTCGGACTGCGTTCCTTTTCCAACCCCCGGTGCCCCAACAAGGATGATTCTCGCCGCCTTTTTCAGCTTTCGACTCGCTGTAGCAAATGTCATTGTAGGTGGTATGTTTGCGTTGCAGCTAGCCGAATGATAGTAGTAGGCAAGATGTGATCCCGAGGCGAGGACCGCCGCCAGAGCACTTGATCAAGTGCCCATATTGTTCCAACTTAGGTCTGAATCTTTAGCAATGGACAAAGAATAGGGGAGGCTCCCAGAGAGCTGACGGGCAAGGACCAGCGAGCGCTGAACAATAGAACGCAGGACACAGGTGTTACGGAGAAAAGGGAATGAGAAAGATGATCGTATATTGACTGATGCTGAAGCCGCACGTTGGGGCCGGGGAATAATAATCCTACTCCGAGTCTAGTAAGCCGGTACAATTACCACGGCACTGCAGTGGCTAACAGTACTGTAATAATCGTGGGGAGCGGAGGAACGATCTCGGCCGAGAAGAGCCGGCGGCAACACCATGGGAGCAGCGTCCCGTCACAGGCACCAGAACTCGCCAGGTGAAAAGGGTCCTGCTGTTTAGCTGGTTTCGGCTGTACGGCGTTGTGAGAGTAGACCTTGGTTCTGAAACCCTGCCCGTGATCGCATTCAAAATAAGCAGCAGATATGGGAGAGCAAAGGACGGCTTGGTACATGTCGTCTAGTAGTAGGGGACCGAAAACCACCACTGATTATGTCAGCGCAGACAATCTCAGTTGCCCAGGGAGCCGGCGTTTAGTTTTTCCTCCTCCGATCACTGCGCGTCATTCATTTACAGTCGCGACGCGTCTCAGCGCACGCGTGCCTCGAATCCGTGGTGCACTTCAAGTTCGTGTACTAGTAATACTACATACAGTTCTACAACCCTCAACGCCCTGAGACATCGAGCACAAACAATATAGTACCTATTTCGAACAAGATGCTACGCACTGAGGCTCGATTCGAGCCCAAGCGGAAGAGAATCGACCACAAGAAGACCCAATTTGCCAACGCCAGTTACAAAGACCAGGACTACCCGTACAGATTATCGTTCTACGATGTGCCACCGACACAGGAAATCAGCCTGGAGGAGTTTGAGATATGGGCAATTGATAGATTGAGAAGTATGGCCCCCCGCCGCCGCCTGGTAGTCACCACAGGACCCTATGGAATTTGGATACTGACAGAACTCAACTCATTCAGTTCTCGCGGAGATCGAGACATGCTCATTCCGCAACAAATCGCCACAAGAGACGGCGACGCATCTGGAACCACTGCTCAAAAAATATCTGCCTCTGTCCTCGAATTCCTCTGCCGCTGGCGGCGTGGTAGACGGGCGCCTTCGAAAAGAACGCCGGAAGGACCACTACTCGCACTTCATCCTACGATTAGCATTTTGCAAAACAGAAGACCTGAGGCGACGGTTTGCTCGGGCCGAGACGATGCTATTCAAGCTTCGATTCCAAGCGGACGACAGCCGCGAACGGCGAGCCTTCATTGAGAGTTTGAACCTGAGTTGGGAAGTGGTTTCAGAGGAAGAAAAACGGGAACTGGGAGAACAGCTACTAGCAGCAACACCTGGCCTCCGCCGACTCGAGGAAGAAAGCTGGTTTAAAGTCGACTGGACGCGTGTTCCCGAACTGGTCGAGCACCGCACGGTTCTAGTCAGAAAAGGAAAAGCATATGTTCCCATGCGCGAACAAACAAGCATGGTTCTGACCGAGTTCTCGAACCGATTGGAAAAAGCACTCGAATTGACCGCCCGCATCCGACCACGACTAGACGAAGACGACCGATTGACTCCGATCCTCGACCACTTCTCAAAGAACTTTGCCACTCCGGACGCCGGCTTCAGCGAGTCCGACGGTGCGCTTGCAGGCGCACCCATCACCGCCGCCAATATCGACGCCCTTTCGCAACATTTCCCACTGTGCATGAAGCATTTGCACCAGACACTACGGAAAAACAGCCACCTCAAACATTTCGGTCGTTTGCAATATACCCTTTTCCTGAAAGGAATTGGCTTGTCGCTGGAAGAATGTTTGATCTTCTGGAGACAGAGTTTCAAAAATATCACCGACGACCAATTCAACAAGGAATACCGCTACAACGTACGACACAGCTACGGTGATGTCGGGGGCGACGCCAATCGCCGCGGCCGCGGCTATGCCCCTTATTCGTGTCAGAAGATCCTGACGGAGCATCCGCCCGGAACCGGAGAAGCCCACGGCTGTCCGTACCGCCATTTCAGCATCGACAACCTCACCAGCTTACTACAGGCCACGGGCGTGCACGATCGAGATGTCCTCCGCGGCGTGAAAGAGGATGTCGAGAAGAAGCGCTACCACATCGCCTGTAATCGGGTTTTTGAGTGGGCCCACAGGGCCGAAATCAAAAAGGTCAAAGACGAAGGGATCTGGGGTCCCGCCGAACTCGAAACCATTGTTCACCCAAATACCTATTTCAAGAGATCGTATCTTCTGAAGAACCTGGGGAATCTGCCTAAGCAGGATGTCAAAATGGAGGAATAAACGAGCAGCATTGAACTGTGCATGCGTGTTATTGCCTCGGAGGAATAGGATCCTGTGTCGGGACGGGAAGGGAGGGAGAAGAATGAGAGGTTTCCGTTCCCCAGCCTTTTCCGTCTCTGTGAGGCATGTCAAGCAATGGCGATGGCGATGGCGTTGACTATGTGGCGTTGGACATGATGGATGGGTCGGTCACTTGCTTGTTACTTCTTCGACACTACAGCTGAATACGATAAAGTGTACGGGCTCTGATTCATGCCATGTGAGGTGCCTCACGCATTCATGCTATCTATGGTGGCGAACGACGGTGTTTGTGGTCAGGATCGGCATCAACGAGAACCAGGCACAGGTGCTGTACCTAATTACTGCTGCTGATTGTTCCCTCCTAAGATTCCGAGATGAAGCAGAAGAACCTGAAAGACGACTCCTGACGATAACAATGCCGAGGACACGAGACTCGTACGTAGCACAGCAGCACGCCTATATTTGTTCGCGTCGTACCCAGGTATAAAGCGTTTGTTTGTTTTTTCTATTCTGCAAAATCCCGATACTAAGGGATTCGTTTGAGATGATGGCCCGATCCCAACTCTGTTCTTCGCCTTTCGCAAGGTCGGTCTACAACGTTGAACCATCCCAGTTCCCGAGAATGTCGTCCGTCGACGTCGTCGTCGACGCTGTCGTTGGCCTTGTTACTTCCCCACAATCAGCAGCAAACTATTAGCAAGACATATATATTTACAAATCCGAGCCCTGTGATTTCGATGGACTCAGATCAGGACTCTGCCGTCTCAACGGGATTCCATTCCGGATCGATCTCAAAGCACTGGTTCAAATCCAAACCTTCAGTCTGCCAGCTTTGTACCGGCGGAGGAGGAGTTGTGCCTTGGTCACGAGCGTCGGCGATTTTCGCGGCTGTCAAGACCGCGTCCCAACCGGCACTCGCGACATGGGGAGGGAGCAGAAACTCGGGCCACGTCTCTTCTATAGGCATGTTGTAGTATCCAAAGTCGAGTCTCTCCACTGCCAGTACATTCTGGGTATCTGGGTTGACGTGCGCGATTCGCCATGGTCCAGGGACATGTATCGAGCCGAGCAACAACTTGTGGCGGGAATCATACAATTTGGGTGAAGTTTCAACATTATCGCCGTCACTGCCTTCGGACCTCGTGGTATGGGCGTCCAGCCCCATGTCGGGTTCAGGTGTGGTCGCGCCGCCCGGGGCCTTTGCAATGGCGTATTTGCCCGGTCGTGTGCCGCTGTAGTCTGAGGCCTCGGGGTTCTGCTCCACTGCCTGCTCTCTGGCGAACGTATTTACCAACTGACGTAGTTCGATTAAGTCTTCGTACTTCTCAAACTGTCTGGTTTTCAGACTGGTGATGACCCCTCGGAGTCTGTCATACATGCTGATCAGTTTCGACGGCCATTGTTGTTCCTGCTTGTGCCAGTCAATAACTTCGTCAAAATCCTTCACATCGTAAGACCTATTACCGGTTATGATCATGCACACGTGGTGCCTGACACTGCTGAGATCTTTGACGAGTTTCTCAACAGAGTCCTTGAAGACCTCTCGGTCAGCAGCTTGATCCAGCCACTTTGGGTCGGTAAGTCGTCGTTGACCCGGCGTGGCCCCTTGGTCTCTCCAGATGAAATCCTCCAAGGTCCTGGCAAGGCCGAAGTCGCCCAGATAGAAGTCTGGGAGTTTGGCGTCCTGCGTCGGGAAATTCAAGAACACATTGGAGCTGTGGGCGTCGCTGTGGGCAATGGCCGGACTACATTCCTGATGGAGGAAGAAGACAATTGACAGAAGTTCGTCAAATAGCTTCCACACCAGCGCCGGGGTTGGCCTGAACCTGACATCTGCTATTCGAATATCCAGGAACCTCGATAGTGTGCCTCCGTTGCAGTACTGAAATATCATTGAGTAACTCTGGTAGTCGGAGGTTTGGTGCTCAGATGCCGCGTATGCTTGAGTATGAATGAGTCTCGGAATGCGAGGATGGGGGCGGTACAACTTTACCTCTGCAAATGTATCGCCTGGAGACTTTGATTGAACACCCACCGTCTTCTTTCTGACACAGACGTCCTGCTCGGCAACAGAACGCACAAGAGACGCTGTTCCCTGCACACCTGCGCCTAGAACCTGGACGTGGAGGTAACCGCTTCCTTCGGGAACGAATAGTCCATATTTGACGTGCTGAGACATGCTGAATGTGGTCTGGCTGCTGATCACAATATATGTATGTATATATATAAAAGGAGAGGTGTATATTGCTGAAGCTGGGATGTCTGCTTCAGACGTGGGGGACGAAAAGTTGTTACTCGATGCATTCCTTTGCCTGGTCAAACCATAGGTATAAGTAGTTTCATACCGAAACATCCTTACAAAGGGAGACACAGTGGGACCGCGAGATTGATTGTCGAGATCTTGGTCAAGCTTCCACAATGCGGCGCATTGGAAGTCGGCCTGAAGGCTGAACCTTTTGTCGAGGAGGTCTAACCAAGCAAAAGGGGACAAGGAGGGAAACAAAGAAGTTGGAGACATGACAAAGAGACAGGCACCATAAACTTCAGAAAGAACAAGTGTAGTACCGAACAAAGGCAATGAGATGGCAAACCCAGACTTGTTCATAGACAGTCCAAGTGTCCTGTTTGGGTCTTTTGAAGGTGATGCACTTCCTAGCCACAGTAAACAGGCCAGAGAGCTTGATACATGGTTGAGCCAGGCAACGGACATCAGGATCTGAGATGCTGGTAACACTACCACAATAAAGCTGTTTGATGTACACGTAGGCCAGCCATGGATGGCACATAGTCGGTTTCCAAAGCTTACAATCCACACATAAGCATGCCGAGAGCGTGGAATAAAAATAGACTACCTCGGTGAGTGATCAGTCTCCAGCAGGTCAAAGTCCGGATCAAGGCTGCCTTGTGGCCTGGTAGCACCCAGACCAATTTCAACCGTCTCCTCGTCGTCGAAGATTTGTGTGGGGATACGGGCTCTCTTGCTTTTTCGCTTCTTAGTACTACTAATAATATGGCTGACGCTGTTATCCAGAACTTCGCCCGACACTTGGCCCAAAGTGTTGACCTGGGGAGCCATGGTGGTCTCTCGATAGATCACAGATCGCTCGCCCTGGACTTGATCGGAGCAGCCAGTTATGTTCAATTTCCGGGATTGGATATCAGTGCCAAATACCCAAGCGTCTGAACCAGATACGGCGTTGGCCCAGCCAGGAGTTGATGTACGCCATGGTGTGGTCTGAGACGAAGATGCAAGATTACCTTCTCTCAACAAGCAGATTGCCACTCTGCGGTCGGAATGGAATGGTTGATAGGGAGCGTTGGTTTCGATTTCAGCAAAAGCCAGTGGGTGTGGCGTTTTCGCAGGTCCATCTCTACCAGCGCGAAACCTCCAGAAGGCCGATAGTGAATTACTCTCTTCGTTGGGCAGTCCTGTGTCGGAGAGTAGGTCTGCGGTCTTGGGGAGTTTGCAAGCAACAGCTTTCCGCGCATCAAACACTGATACCGTATCTTTTTGCCGGGTCTCTCTGGGTTTGGTCATGCGGACGTGGTAGTTTCGGATACTGGCCGAATCGAGAACAGACAAAACAGACTTGCCATCCCGTTCCTGCCAACAAAGCATGTCTGCTCGGACTGCAGTTTTCAGAGAAAGCCTGCTCTGATTTGCATGTCGGAGGCTGGTCACAGTCTCAGTAGCAGCGCCGAGTGACTTACTAAGCCCTGCGGCGACTGCTCTGCCACTCTTGATCCCTGTAGCAGATGCAAGCCCAAACCCAGAAGCACCAATACTGCTAAGTCCTCCGTTGATACTGGGTGCTCTTCCTCTTAGGTTTGCAAGCATTGGCTGTGTTTTTGCTGCAAGACTCATCGCTGAAGCAAGGAAGCCGCCGGGTGGCACAGCTTCATGCTCAATCGTCACGTTTGGTTGATTGGCAGGAGCAGACGTGGGTCGGTGTTCTTTGGGGCGTGGCGGTGGCCATTGAAATGCAGTTCGAGGCAAATCAAAGATGTGCACCGTTCTGTTCTTGGTGAGGAGAGCAAAACGAGGGCCTGTTGGTCCGTCCCACGCGAGGTCAACAATGGTAGAAGGGCTCAGGCGTTCATATCTCGCGATCTGTCGGACACGTCCAGTCTCTGATGCTGAGAGAGCGGCCGAACTCCTTAGATACTTGAGCTGCATCAAATCCCAAACGTAGTGGACATCACCTTTGCAACTGGCCGTAAATAGGCATAAACCATTGGGCATGAAGGAAAGGAAGCTGCAGCCTCCTGGTGGCTTAAACGTGGCTAACGGGGTGAAATCGACACCCTTTTTGCTATGATTTTCCTGCAAGAGACGTAAGTCGAGGACTGTGATCACTTCGGGATCCTTCGAAGCGTCCTGTTGGTCAGGCCCATGTGTCGGCGGAAATTGCGCGAAGTTGGGACGAGGAGAATACATAGGAGGACTCGACGGAGCAACGGCAGGTGACTGCTGATTGTTCGTTGTGTCTTTTTTCCAGTAGTTGTGCCACGTCTGGAAACCCTTCTCACTTATCCATTTCGCGCTTCTTACCGCTTCCTGCGCAAAACCTTTCGCGACTTTGCCGAGGAAAGTGTCTGCATCAGGGGATTCCACTTCACAACTGACGACGGGCTTGGGGGGAGCAGTCCCTGAAGTGATCGTCGAGTTCTTGGTGTGAATAACTGACCTTCCCAGAATGGCCCCAACCGATCGCCGAGAGGAGGCACTGGCAGGACAGAATGCCAGCCAACGGCCGCTCAAGCTAAGAATGGGGGCGTCATCGCTCTCTTGAGCACGCCCGAGATCGGCCGGCGAGATCTCTGGCTCAGAGGAAGGTTCATAAGACGAGTCTCGCCTCTGGATTTGTGGTTGAAGCGTGGTCCAGTACTTGCCCAAGCACACGAATGCACCGGCCTCTTGACATTTCCTAACAGAGAAGACAAAAACCTCGCCGCTGCTGCCACAAGACACAACCATGAAATTCCCACTCGCATGCAGTTTCAAGGTGGCAATGGGACCAGAGTTAGGGAAGCCGCCTGGGAAAGGGGGTAGCGGAGCTGGTACTCGCAGTAGCTCTGCGATATGGCAGGCTTTGCGTAGTGAGTACACGATCACCTTGGTCTCGAGAACAGCTTCCTGGCCGTCATGAACACTGAGGCCATCGGGTGTGGAGGTATCAAATCCAACATTGCTTGGACCGTGAACAGTGATGGCGACTAACGGGCGGTATCCGGCGAATGGGTCCTCGTCCGCACTCCAAGTTAAAAAGCAAGCGTCTAATATGGTGCCTTCCACACCTCTCAGACTGCCTATGTGGTCCACCTTCTCGCCGTTATAACTGAGGATGTCCAGATTACCATCGCCCATCATGAACACTGCTCGACTACGCTCATGTCCAACTCCTGGAATGGAGCTAAACTTCACTGTGGACGGCTGCGAAAGGTGCATGTGCGCCGTGGCCTTGGCCAAGCCCAGGTCAACATCGTGAGGGCCGTAGAAGTGCTGCTGTGGAAGGTGAGGCAACGCTGGAGGCGAACCGTAGGGACTCATGCCATATGCATATGGAGACGTCGACATTCTCGAATGACTCGGCATGGCAGGCATGGCAGGCATGCCCCCACCGTAGCTGATCGGTCTTGCCTTTCGGGACGGGGGCGAGACAGGCGGGCTTCTCGCTTGGAAGCCTCCTCGAGCACTGAAGCCAGGTTCGTAGGACGGCGCAGGGGGAGCATTCAGGCCTGAATATGGCTCATCTGTCGGGCTCTTGCCATAGCTGGTTTGGCGAGGCCAGGCATCGGCCGGTAGAGCATAGTCGTCTGAGACCTTTCGAGTAGAGTTCAGATCGTTCAAGGTATTCAAGGTGTCATCTCTCCCATGCCTGGTAAACCCTTGATTCAGTTCAAGTTGTCCGAGAAGCGACCGGGGCTGTGGTGGTGAAGCCGATGGGTGTTCATCCATCTGCTTTGCAACTGCCGTCTTATCGGCATTGTCAAAGTCGTGGAGCCGTTTGGCAACCGCATTCTTTGTCTTCCTCTTCCCAGCTCTCGAGGGTCTTTCTTGTTCAGCCACTGCGGATTGGTCTTCGGGAGTAGTTGCGTCCAGATAGGAGTGTGTCTTCCTTGTCTCGGCGGAATCTGCTTTGTGGTATGCTGGCATTCAAAGACTTGGTGCTCGAGGGCGAGGGCACAACAGATCACGCCCCCTCAGCAACGGTGAAGATGTTGCGCGGGGCGGTCAGGATCGAGGGCCACAGAGGGACACTCGGAGACGCTTTGGTACGTACCCCTTAGGCCGGCGGCGCGGGGTTCTTTGACGCGTCGTTGGAGTGGCTTGTAGAGACAACCGTTGATCGGAGTGGGTTTGGCCAGGGTCGCAGCACTCGCCGGGCGATAGAGAGTATCTAGGCAGACGCTGCTATGTTTGCCGAGTGTATATGTTTGAATGTGAGCAGTCAATGGGAAGAGTGAAAGTAGTCGTCTTCCTCGGTGCTGGATGCTGGTACTGGAGATTGATCATGGGAAGCATTGAGGACAGGAGGCTGCGGCCTGGTTCGGGGGGTGCTTACTTAACTGGTGGCTGATACCTGGTACTGGTACATGGACACTGGCAGCGTCGCCCGGGGCGGCACGCTTAGGCGTCTTCGCGTTGGACTGGCTGGCCGTCCGTCACTATCCGACTACTAGCACGTACTACGGCGAAGTCCCCAGGCGCCAGACTCCTTAGAGTGACAGCCTCTAACGCTGGGAGCGGCAGCTGCTGGGTGCCCGTTGACGATGGTGGCTGGTGCTCTCTTGTCACTTGACCTCCCGGCGCCCGTTTGCGGTTCGTCATGTTATCTTGCCCAAACACCGCCATCACAGGAACATGTCCGTCGGCGGCGGAGACTCGATGACATGCATCGGACGAACACTGCATTGCAAGGGTCGCAAGGCCGGCAGACGCGCCTTACTCCTACCCATACCTACTAGCTCATTGTAGGGAGGTAGTAACGAAGTCCTTCTGGACGCACGACGCTCATTCTCCCTACGGCTCTCCGAGATAACGCTGCTACCCTTCTTCCAGTTCCGGAGCAGTATATATGGTCTTGATAATTGCTTCTATGTGTCACAACTTAAACTATCCGAGATTTGTCCGTTGCACATATCAGCCGTTATTGCGAAGGTCTCGGTATGCACCGCGAAACAGAACCGAGTGCTGTGGCCGTTGCTTGAATATACCTAACAACGGGCGCCCTTGGCGGCCGTGCATGCGTTCTCTTCTATTTTATACCCTTGTCTTTTGTTGATACACAGTTGGCAGGATATCTGACATAGAGCCCCTGGGATTTTTCTTCCAGCTACTTTCAATCCCTGTGGTTCGATCTAAAAGAACCTCTCAGACAGGGCGTCCGTGCCGGGGAAGCGGCTGGGTGAAATCGTTTCACCACAAATGTTTCGGATGCCTCGAAGACCATGCAAGCCTTTGTGTTCATAATGTAGGAGATTCTGTACAGACATATGGCGACAGGACCGGTCCAGCAGTTGCAGCACTTGCAATGCTCCAGCGCGTCCATTTCCAAGAAATAAACATCACGGCTGCGCTCCCTCTTCAAGTTACTTCGACTTGCTCGCGGCGGCCGCTGCTCTTGCCTTCGCTGCTCTTTTTCTGTTGCTCCTGATCATGACCATTGCCAGGAAAGTTCCGACGATGGCAGATGCAAAAAGCGTGAGGATGACTGGGATTCGAATGGCCCAGACGCGAGGGGGAAAGAGACCTTGCAAAGGGTGATCATCGTCGACGAACGGCTGGGACAAACTTAGCATGACTCCAATGCAGAACAGACGGGGATCGCACCATAAACAAGGTCCAGACAGTATAGTAGAGAAAAACGGTCGTTGCCGCTATGAGCATCGCCATGCCGACGAGTTTGTCCAACTGCATGTAGACATTAGCATTCTGAGATCTCGGCTCAGCAGGCTGCGGTGCTCATACCATTTCTGCAACGTGCTGTGACACTTTCTGATTCAATTCTCTTTGCACAAGCAACAGGTTCCTGGTCGAAAATTGTGGTTGAGGCCGTGAACTTGAATGGTGGACGCGCTTCACGTTGGTGCGAATCCGCAACAAGACGGACGGCGCGCCGCAGTTTGTTTCCCCGGAGTCTGCGCTGCCAGCCGCAGGCAAACGCTGGCTTGGCAATTGAAGCGTTGTGAACGTGCGACTTACCCTGACCCCGCCCCGCCGCTTTTATAGACACTCACTAGGTGCCTCCCACCTCACCTTGCTTACTCCGTGGAACCCTGATTTTACTGGTCATCGTTCCTAGGTACTACAAGCCAAGCAGCATACGGTCATTCGGCGGACATGAGTGCTGGTGTTTCGTGCAGACGCACCTTGATGGGACTTGGTGTTGAGGTACAGTACAGCCTAGTGAGCTTGTGACTTATGAGCCCAACCAGCCCGAAATGAAAATTGACTGCCCCTCAAAGTGGTATGTTACCTGAGGTAGCCATGCCTCTATTCCTACGTTGGTCACATTGGTATTTATACTTATTTGCTCTATGCACGGCAATAGATCTTCCAGGTTTGCGACCCTTCTATAGCTGGAGTCACTCATGACGATATTCAGAGACGTTTCTGTCCTAACTTACGCCGCCAGGATGTCTGGGAACGCAATGTACCTTCAGAGTGCTATTCCGAGTCAGTACATGATCAACCACATGTTTCTACCGCCCAAACTCCCTTGTCAGGATGACTCTACGAAGTAAGTCACTCTGAGGTCCGTCGCTGGGGTAATTTTACTCTTCATATAGCTTCGCTAGCCTCGTCTTGCTGTCTGCATTCCACTCTACCTCTCTTTCAAGGTAGTTTTGATAGCGCAGTCTGCATTCATAGCGCTGCAGTTAGACATTCGTTTGCTGATGTTTGCCCATTTCATGCCTTCATTGCGAAGTCGGATGAGAGTTTCGTCATCTTCTGGCGACCACGAACGCTTCTTAGTGGGCGACGATGCCTCTTTCCCTCTTCATTGTATAGTATCGACTTGATGTCCATCGTGAAGAAGGACGGATACCGCAGGTAGATACTGAACGAATCTACCAGGTAACCGAGGATCCCTCGCCGGGTTTATCTGCTTCATAGCCGGTAGTGGTACCGTCGGAGCGTCGGAAACTGCATCGATCAGCTCCTTTTCTGGGCTCGGTGATGTTGGCTAACGGTGTTGGGTGAGGCCATTGGGAAGGTAACCACCCTCGCAAGTCTCTCGTCACCAATGGAGAAGGGTGATCTTGGAGAAATCCAGAATGCCCTCGCGCAGCTGATTGATGTCTTCCCTTGATCGGCGTCTCATCCGCCCGGAACACGTGGAGGTCCGCTGATGACTTCTTCTCCTCGCAAAAGGAGTGCATGCTGCAAACAAGTCTGCGAAAATACCCTTGCTCCCTTCCCACGCGATCTTTCTGCGCCATGAACTTGCTCGAGTCTTGGTTCCCTGCAACTTTGGAAGCTGGCCTCCTAGCTAGCTGCCCATTGAATCAATCGATTTCTGTGGCCAACTCCAGGGCCAGCGAAAGTTCGAGGCTCGTCTGGAATGCTCCTTTAGTCCAGCATTTCTCAATGATTGATCCAAGCCAAATGCCTTGCGTTCTGGGGAGGTCCTCCCTCCGCGGCCACGCTGCCTTCGCCGGCCCTGGGGGTTGATCCTTGAAGAGATCGAAGTCACACTTTTCTCCAGTGATAATCTCGTACATGACAGCGGCCAATTGTCCCATGTCAGTGTAGATCGAGTACCCATTGTCATCTATCTGTCGCATGTCGCACTCGGGTTCCATGACGGAAGATTCTGAAAAGTCGGAGAATTTGATAGATACGTCTCTCGCCACGAGGAAGTTCCGAGTATGAATGTCTGCCACAATGACCCGGTGATGGTGTATTTCAGAGAGACCGCGAGCCATCTTCCGAAACCAAGAAAGCTGTACCGCTGGTGAGACTTGGCGTTCGTGGAGATAATCCCGTAAGTTTCCATTCTCCATCCACTCCATTTCGATTCCCGGACCAGAAACATCTAGACATTGGACCACCTGGGAGCAGTGCTTGAGACGGCGGAAAACCTCCTTCTCTCGCTGAACACTATCGTCGTGATCGTCTTCCAGGCCGTAGATGTAGGATCTTGGTAGCTTCACGGCAATTCCCTCTCGTAGAACGACTACTCCGGAGCCACCGTCTCCGATTATGGGACAGACGATTCCATTCAATTCGAACATGACGAGACCAATCGCCAGAGGAGCCAGCGAGGCGACGTACAATGAATCCGACCAAGACGATAACGATCAGGAGTAACGGAATGGGGAATAGGGAATATATTGGTAACTTGTCGTCGCTGAGCTCGGTGCCGCCCCTGGTAGAGAGTTCGTCTGGCAAATCCTCCGGCGCAACACAGCGACCAATGTGCTCTCTTTCAGTGGCCCTGCAAGCCTCAACTCCAGCCAGCGAATCTTTCTTCATCTCCTACATGCAGTCTCTCGGCGCCAAGATATCAGAAACCTGTATGATCAGCGAAGGTCCTTCACAAACACGGAAACGGATCACTTCGCGGGACTTCCACGTGAGAAGGTGGACCATACCCTTCTAAGCCCTCACACTGACTTGTGGAGTTTGGCTGGCGGAGCCCCCAGATGCACCTCCGGTACCATCACGCTGTCGTCGCGATGGCTCATTTGAGCCCTTCTTCTGGGCTCTATGCTTGGGACAGTCCGTCTTGCGTTTCGTTGAACTCGCCTGGGAGGTTGGCCGAGGCTGATCGCAGTCACGGTTCCTGGCGATGGCTGCTGGGCACCGTTGAATGAAGTCATGGTCAGGATCATGGGTACTGCAAGGTCCCGTCCCACCAGTGCAGTCTGGAAATCGTGCAGGAGTCTTGCGTCTCTGAAAACACATGGTTGGAGACTTGAAATCTCAGAAGCTATGTTACAATTGAGGAGAAGCAGACATTCAGATCGGCAGACCGTTGGCATGTTATAGTTTTCATGATTGTCTTGCGGCGACAAGATCCAGCATCGCTTGCGAACTTCTTCATCGCCAACTTGTAGTCATGCAGACTTCGACAACAATACCAGGTACCTTTTGCACCGCCCTTTGGACTCGTCGCGTGCATTGTCCGGAATCGATCATCAGCATCCCTCCTGCAGGCAGCCATTAGCTCACGTGATACAAGACAGGCATCAAACAAGACAGGCATCAAACACTGGCACTTGGAACGCGGCGACAACGCCAAGACCCCTCATCTCGGGACTTCTGCCTACCTATGTGCAGGACAAACTTGAACGCCATCACACTCATCAGAGTATGGAAGAGAAAAGAAAAAGAAAATGTTTACAAAACACTTCACCCCTCTTGAATCAGATCCAGTCATATTCTCGGAGTTGCTCCACCGCCTAGGTATTGAGGAGAAGCTAGAATTCGTCGATGTCTACTCCTTCGAGGATGAGACCCTCCTATTCCTTCCCCGCCCCATTCTGGCTCTCATAGTGATCTTTCCCGATATTGACGGCGCCAAACCTGACATCGTGGGCTTCGGGGAAACAAGACTCACCAGTGAGGAGCTAAGCAAAGTCGTATGGGCGAAGCAGACCATCAATAATGCATGTGGATTCTACGCCATCCTGCATGCAGCCTGCAATGGTTCTGCCCGAAACTTCATCAGTTGAGTATTATGCAGTCAACCAATGCTAGCGCCTAACAGATCAGTCAGAGAGCGGATCAGTGTTTGAATTCATACTAAAAGCCTCTGGAGAATCCGACCCGGGACTGGCCCAAATGATCGAAACTTCCGAGCAAATCGAGGCCGAGTATACCAAGGCGGCCTTGAAAGGGTCCACGACACCCGGTGCTCCCACCGATGACGTGGAATGTCACTACGTATGTTTCACAAAGGCTTCAGAATCTCGGTTGTGGCTTTTGGACGGCGATAGAGATGGCCCGCTGGCTTGCGATGAAGATTGTGGAGTGAGCGTGGACGTGCTGGACCACCCGAATCGAGAGATTATTCAACGCTTCCTCAACGAACACGGCAAAGCAACCTCGAACAATTTGGCCATGATGGCATTAGTACAAGCTTAGTTACAGAGACAGCGCTGAAAGAACATCGAATCTCCCGATAGATCAACTGCATTTTCTCCCGTCCTTGTCGTTGCACAGTAGTCGATCATCGCCACGTCCTGTAACTTTCTAACCGCAAAGTAGTTGTTCCACGAAGCTGCAACATGAAAAGGCGTCCAACCTTCGTGATCCCGGGAATTGGGATCGGCACCAGCCTCCACGAGAAGCTTGATGATACCCAGCGAACTCTGTCCACCGTTCGTCTTGTTCGAGCCCGCAAGCGCAAGGTGAAGGAGAGGAAGATCACCCTGGCGCGATCGTCGTGACTGCCTCGGGTCAGCCCCGTGTTCGATCAGCAAGCTTGCAGCTTCCGTCCAGCCGTACTCGGCAGCCCAAGCCAGGGCTGATCTTCCCCGCGAGTCCTGCACGTCAATGTCCAACGAACCTCGAGGCATACTGTTGAGATATGCTTCCAGACTGCAACATACATCAATCTGCAGCAGCACTTTGTGGAGTTGGGAGAACCCTCGGGTATCAACATACTCTCGCCATAATACATTTGTGTCCACTTTCAAAAGCATGGCGGCTCGGCATATCCAGTCGAGAATATGGCCACTCCTTCCATTCATCGCTCTTGTCACAAGAAGGCCATCAATCAACGTCTCAACGGCGGAGCTGAGAATCGTTCCGGGTTAACGTTCAGTCATCCAGGGAGTACTCCAAAAACATACTTGCCAATTTCGTCTTGGTCATCCCACGCGGCCCCGAGTTCCACCAAAGCCTGACACATGTGAAGCGCCGTTTCCAGACCTAGGTTCTTGAGGCAGTAGTACACAGCATACTGGAATGTGTCAACCCCTCTCTGCGGTAGAATAGAAAAGATCATACATAGGTGGTGCCAAGACCGTATGGATCAACGTCACAGGCTGACGCTTCTTTGGCTCGAATGAGACTTGTGGCTTTGACTGCATCGCCCTCGTAGATAATTGTGAACAGTGGCCAAGTGTACGCCCTTTCATGTCGGAGTTTTGTCTGGTTGATGAACTCGATCTCAGGACTGAGTTCGGAAGTCTGGTGTCGATGCGTTATGATGTTCGTTGACCTTCGATCTATGGCTGAACATTGGGGTAAATATGAGCGTTGCAAAGTTCCAGGAGCAGCGAAAAGCGAAGCACTCACGGTCACTTAAAATGCTGATGTCACCATCTGATCCATCAATGGTGGATTCCCGGTCCCCTTGATGTTGTGGCTGGGCTTGAGAGGGGAGAAGTAACCCGAGCACTTGGTCGTCCTCGAAGCCCAGAAGCTTTGCCATTTCAAACTCTGGGTTGAAGGTACACACAGACGTCGCAATATCTTTGTAGATCTCGAGCGCCTCTAACTTGCTGATGACCGTACTCAGGAAAATTTCGCGACGTTCTTCGGGAAGATCACGAAGGGGACGGTACCAACTTTGTGATCCTAGCAACATTAGCAATGTCCGGCTGAGAGAAGTGCGGCTCACCTGCTAAGGGATGGAATAGCACATATGCGCGTCTGCCCCACGAGGGCAAGATTCCGTCAACAACAGCGCATACGAGAGAGGCGCGGCCATATCGCTCTCGGCGAATCCGTGCAGTGCTTTTCCCCAGAAAATCGCAGTTACCAGACAAGGTGGGAAGACGTGGACCACAATGAAAGATGGAGCCCAATAAAAACCCAAGCGTTTCTTCATGGCTCCTGATTTCGGGAGTTTTTACCAGATCCTCGAGCCTCCCAACAAAGTCAGGGATGCTCTCGTTATTTCGCAGCGGCAGCTGCCACCCTAGCTCTTCGACATGACGAACCCGAGGGAGATTGTGTCGACGCTTTACCTTTTGGCCTGGTCGTCTTGCTTCGAGATCATCAGAGAGATATTTTATGAAGGCAGACGCTAGGTCCTCGATAGTCTTTTGTCGTACTGGAAAAACCTCTGGGAGGGCGAGACTTCTGATTTTGGCCAGACTTCTTTCCGAACAAGCCGGCGTAAGGGACACAGTTTCTAGCCCTAGGCGGTCAATGAGTGCTTTTGCTGCCCTCCGACATGAGGCGTCGTCTGGGAGCGGTGGAATGATCGTACACGAACACCTCGGGCTCGAATCAGCTTGGTACACCTGAGACATCGAAAAAGAAACTGACCATTCGTCACGTAGATCATAAACAAGCGGGGGGCATAAAGCCTTCAGCGCGCGGGAAGTGCATTCTTTGATTGAGTCCAAAGAGTCTTCGGATTCTGGGCAACAAAGGAAACACTGTATTGTAACTCCAAAGAAGGTGTGGCCTGGAAAGCGAAGATACTGAAAGGCGCTGATCATGGGTTTAAGAGTTAGTGTATGAGAGTCAACATCAACCTTCAAGACAAGGGATTGGTATGAGGCTACTTCAAAGATTTCTTCTATTTGAGCCATACTTTGATGTCACCGCGTGGTGTGAAAGAGATGGAAAGAGGTTTGAAGTGGCAGCCTGGAATAATAACAGCTTGTACTACTTGCCAAGTCGATTGAAGCGACCAGAGGGTTGTCCCATGGGACAACCCCCTGGTCACTCGCTCGAGAGATTACTTGTCAATCAGCTTCCTATTGGGATTCCCGCTGAACGTCGGCGCCCCACACATCTCGATGGCTGGTTTAGGCGATCCAGGGTCCATTCCAACGTGCCGCTTGTTCTATCAACTTCAGCGACGAGGATAAACTATCTCTGGTACACTTGGCTAACCTATTGGTCAAGCACAGCTGGATGGGGGTGGCCTTCGGCGGCGAGCAAAACGTAAGTGAACGAGCGAGGAGACTCGGCTGTTCGAAGATCTGATACATTTGGCGGAGGAGGATGGATTGCAAGACTTGTGCTAGATGCTCGTCCACCTCTTTAGGAGCTGAACACTTAAGTGGTTTCAATGAGGCACGGAAGCTTCTGTTTACCCGTCAGCACTTCCCAGCCCCATAATGGAGAGGGCTCAGCATAGACAATGCATACTCTGCTCCCGTTTGACTACACCAGCGTCAAGGATAAACTACCTAGGTATGCTCAGCTCAACATTCCAAGGGATGCGCACACCTAACCTGTCCAGGTGAAGGCTCGCGACCAAGCCGAACTGGAGTCAACAATCAAGAACCCCAGAGTTTCACATTGTCTTGATGTGATGGTCGATCCCTCGTATCTTTCGTCCTAACTAGACGGGATGCGTTCTTCCCACGGCCTAGAATTGACAAAGGATGCGCCTACTATATTCAAGGGAATTTAGGCTTAAATTGCGGAAATTCCCCATTATGTTTGTCTTGTATCAGATACTGTCAACTACTCCTCATCGCTGTTTGATTTCATGATGACGACGAACATCAAAGTGGTTGTCCTCGGGGCGGAGGCAGTGGGTAAAACAACACTCATTCATCAGGTGACAGTAAGTCAGGCGTTGACTGAGCTGGCGTTGACCAAGGATACAGTTCCTCCTCCAAGAATCTGTTGACGACCCGAAACATACAACCAATATGGACATCTACCGGGTCAATGTTCCCATGCATCAAAAAGTGGTCAACGTGTCGGTTATCGACGCAGGTGACAAGATACCCAAGGATTTCAACGATGTTGACGCGGTCCTTATGGCATTCAGCACGGTATCCCAAGATTCCTTCGCAAAGATTAAGTTATGGTCCAGCTTAATGCATTCATTCCGCGAACAGGAGAAACCCATGGCCTTGGTGGGGACTAAAATGGACCTCGATCCGCAGCTGGTCTCGTATGAGGATGGCTTTACCCTAAGTCAAGAAGTGGGAGCTTGTTACTTTCACCTTTCGACCAGCAATTATGGCAAGGTTCGAGATGTATTCAACTTTCTTCTTCAGCGACGTCTTCTCCCTGAAATGCAGCCACCAATGCTCGCACAGAGGCAGAGTCAAGGTACAACCCAACAGACATCAATCTTGAACATACGAGGCTGGCTCTGGCCATTTTTCCCGACCTGTGGGTGGCCGCGGAAGACTGAGAGTAAAGCATGGTACTCTTAAGAATGCAAAGCTCAGCCTGTTCTCCACTACTTTCTCCCCTCTGTGAAGAAGTGTCCGCTGTCTCCCAAAACCATATTCATTAGTCACTGCACTGTGTTCACAACGATCTTCCACAGAATCCTTTGTGTGGATAGCGGCATCTTCCCACCACTTCGACGAATTGAAGCAAAGGAAGTTCTTGAAAATGGCGCAGAACGTGCGAGCGCGTTATTCGCGGGTCTGTGCCACAGAGGCCTGACCAAGCAAGGGGACCATGGACGCTACTTCTGTGCCAACTTGAATTTACCTGGTCTCCAAATCCCAGCACTCTCCCACGGCTGTCGATATGGCGGGAGAGGGCGATGCTGCTGAGTGTGTGTAACCTTCTCTCTTCAAAGAACTGGATATCACGATTTTCGTCCTATCCTCGATGGCTACTTAAGCAACTGTGATCCTCTCCGTCCGCGTCGTGCTACCAGGACAACGTTCGTTGTTGACCAGAAGATCGTGTCTGTTGATCCTCCTCGCTGTACCCTTCTTAGCCTGACGCTCACCACAATGCCAGACCTGAAATATCGTCTGTCAGTTCACTGGGGCAACGAGAGAATGGAATCTATCGAGGAGCGAGAGAAAGTCCTCAATTGCGACCGAGGTTCTCACAAGATCGAATGCTCGTGTCGCATCCCGATCCTGCCTCAAAGGGTCGTCTTGTAACGGCTCTTGTCCATCCACCTTTGAATGGATTCTACATAGCCCGTGTGCATCACTTTCCACTGAAGGGTCAGTTTCAGGAAATCCAGGCACTAGTACGAGGTGACCAAACCCCTGACAGTCAATCTTGTTCTCTGCCATGACTTGACTTACGAGGTCGACAAGTCTGACGGTGGACAAACTGCCAAAGACGCATGCTTTGAACTCCTCCATCTGGTCAATTGCCCACCCCCAAGGGGTGTCACGGCAATTGGCACACAGCACCACTACTACCTCAAACATCAACACTCGGCCGCTACTCCAGAATGTTGCCCAGCGCCACGGACCGCTAAGCCTCTTGAACAAAGCCGGGATTTTTGCTCGTTTGGATTCGCCGGACCTGGATTGGCCTCTTCGTGAACGTGTGAGTCAGGAAATCAACAACAGCCTTCTCGCGAGCCGGGTGAGATCGCACCCGTGACTCACCCTCCAGTTACAACATCTCTGGGCAATCTTTCGTTAGTGCAACACTACCTAGGTAGGTAGTACATAAGTGGAATAACGCATACACAAGTTCCACCTTTCCCAGTTAGCACTAGCGTATTACATATTTCTTGCGTTTTAGTGTGGCAGCTGTTGTCGAAATAAGTACCGTACTGTCATCTTGCTCGATCTGACTAAGCGGGCAGCCGGTTCGGGAAAGTCTAGCGAGAGCGCACTAACGAAGGATACCCCCCGGCATCGTTGTAGTCCCAGAGGGTGAGCGGCGAGCAACCCTTGGCACTAGACAATTTTCCGACGACATCAACTCGACCTTGAACCTGTTGCCTGTGCCACCTCACTACTCTGGCGCGTCTTTTGTCTTTCTCTCCAGCACCGCTCCGCCAGTTCATCGGCACAGGGAACGGCTACCAAGCGATGAAGGACAAACACTGATATTACCACGTTCTGCTGTTGATCGTCCACCAGCGCAACCATCGACCATGGCGGACGCCATGATGCTTTCTTCTGCCGTTCGATTACCCACCCCGCCTCCCGGCACGTCGTATTCTCCAGGGCCTTCGGGCACCAGAAAGAGGTCGCCACCGTCCCGTTCACCTTCACCTAGGCGCCGAAGGCCGGCGCCCGTCGAGGAGGATCAGTCGCGCCGAAATGGGGACGCAGATGCAGCACGGGAAGTAGACGAACGGGAGCGCCAACTGCTCGAGAGGTTCAAGCCTCGAGAAGGCGACGAGATTAGGCGGAAGCCCATGACCGCGGAGGAAAAGCAAGCTGCCGCGAAAGCCGAATATGAAAAGCTTCTTAATATGCGATCTGGAGGCACATATATCCCGCCGGCCAAGCTCAGAGCTTTGCAGTCGCAGATTACGGACAAATCGAGCAAGGAATATCAGCGCATGGCATGGGAGGCTCTGAAGAAGTCTATTAATGGCCTCATCAATAAAGTCAACGTCTCGAATATCAAGCACATTGTACCGGAGCTCTTCGGGGAGAACCTGGTTCGGGGTCGAGGCTTGTTTTGCAGGAGCATCATGAAGGCTCAGGCAGCATCGCTGCCTTTCACCCCTATTTATGCCGCCACGGTTGCCGTTGTCAATACGAAACTGCCGCAGGTTGGAGAGCTGCTTTTAAATCGCCTTGTTGTCCAGTTCCGGAAAGCATTCAAAAGAAACGACAAAGCTGTCTGCCTCTCATCAACCACCTTTATAGCGCACTTATGCAATCAGCAGGTCGCCCATGAGACAGTGGTGGCTCAGATCCTGTTGTTGCTTCTTCATAAGCCAACGGATGACTCGGTGGAAATCGCTGTCGGTTTGACCAGGGAGGTCGGACAACATCTGGAAGAGATGAGCCCTCCAATTGCACTGGCCGTCTTCGACCAATTCCGCAGTATTCTACACGAGGCCGACATTGACAAGCGTGTCCAGTACATGATTGAAGTGTTGTTTCAAGTGAGGAAGGACAGATACAAAGACAACCCTGCGATCCGCGAGGAGCTCGACCTGGTGGAGGAGGAAGATCAGATCACACATCAGGTTGATCTGGACGACGAGATTGACGTGCAAGATTCATTAAATATCTTCAAGTACGATCCGGAGTTTGAAGAGCATGAGGAAGCGTATCGAAAACTCAAGGCTGAAATTCTGGGCGAGGATAGCGATGCGGAGGAATACGAGAGTGGTTCGGAGGACACTTCGGACGACGAAGAGGCTGAAGAAGAGCGTGCCATGGAAATAAAGGATCAGACCAATACCGACTTGGTGAACCTGCGACGAACCATCTATTTGACCATCATGTCAAGTCTCGACTTCGAGGAGGCAGCTCACAAGCTGATGAAAGTCCAACTCCCTTCCGGCCAGGAACCCGAACTCCCGTCTATGATCATCGAATGCTGCTCGCAAGAAAAGACTTATTCCAAGTTCTTTGGTCTCCTGGGCGAAAGGTTCGCCAAACTGAACCGGCTTTGGACCGACCTTTTTGAGCAAGCGTTTGCCAAATACTACGACACCATCCACCGATACGAGACGAATCGGTTACGGAATATTGCTCGTTTCTTTGCACACCTATTGAGTACCGATGCCATCGGCTGGCACGTCTTCTCGGTCGTCCATCTCAACGAAGAGGAAACGACCTCGAGCAGCCGTATCTTCATCAAGATCCTGTTTCAGGACCTGGCCGAGGCGATGGGCATGGCGAAACTTCAAGAAAGAATGAAGGATGACATCCTGCGCCCCAGCTTTTCTGGCATCTTCCCCACAGACAATCCCCGAAACACCCGCTTCTCGATCAACTACTTCACCAGCATTGGTATGGGAGCGCTTACTGAAGAGATGCGTGAACATCTCAAGAACCTACCCAAACCAGACCCACCTGCGCTTCCGGCACGCAAAAACGACGTGTCCGACTCGGAAAGTGTCAGTTCATATTCTAGCTACTCCAGCTACACCACAAGCCGGTCATATTCGTCCTCCAGGAGTCCTTCTCGCGAGCGACCCAGCAGACGACGCACCAGGGCCAGCCGATCGGCAAGTGCCGATAGCAGAAGCAGAGGCCGAGGCAGTGGAAGAGGGAGAAGTTATACTCCTTCTGTCTCACGCTCGCCATCACCGCCTCGGCGAGGCGGCACTGCTGCCAGACGAGACCGAGACCGCAGTTACAGCGCTTCGATTTCCAGATCCCGATCTGCGCCCCGTCGGACCCGAAAGAGGTCTCCATCCTACTCTGCCTCACCTAGTCCTCCTAGACGCAACGGCACCGCAGCCCGTGGTCGCGCCAGGACGCGCTCTCGATCATACAGCTATTCGGACGTATCGCGCTCTCGCTCTCCTCCACCTAGACGTGCCGCCGCACCCCGAGGACGTAAAGTCTATTCCAGTTCTCGATCCCTTTCAACCTCTCGCTCTCGGTCGCGTTCTCCTCCTTCTCCTCGACAAAACAAGGTCTCCTCTCTTTCAAGGTCGAGATCGAGATCGCGATCGCCTCCACCTCGCCGTGCAGCAGCAGCTGCTCCTAAAGGTCGAGACCTCAGCCGCTCAGTGTCACGGTCGCCTTCTCCTCTTCCCCCGCGTGGCCGTGGTCGACACAGCGGAAGTAGAAGCAGAAGCCCAAAACGAAGAAGCTATAGCCCTCCACCGCGACAGAGACTGCCTCCCCCTACTACTACTACCAGGACAAGACGCCGCAATTCATCGAGCGGTGCCAGTAGTGACCGCTCACGATCGAGGTCGAGGTCTCGATCACCACCACCACGAGCCAGACGACATAGTCGACCGCCATCCGTCACAGGTGATCAAAGGCCCCGCCGACCACGGTCACCGAGCCCCGTTTCTGCTCGTCGACGACCGGAGGACCGAGACCGACGACGCAGTCCTAGTCCCCGGGCCTCGCGTGACTGGAAAGATAAAGATAGGCCAGAGCCGTCTGGTCCCAGCTCCGCCAGACCCAGGGCCGCCGACTTTGCGTGATGATGATTCGCGCCGAGGACTGCTTGACGGTCGGATGATTGACTTTGTTCAACCTGGTCATTTTTTGCGTGTCGTACCAGTACGGGGAGGCAGAAGGTCATATTCCTGAGGACAAGGAAAGGGGATACGGAGGACAATAGGTTTTAACATAGCATGCTAGTAGGATAGCGTAGCACAATGTGTTTCTATTTACTACCTACTCGTGTAATGGATTGATTACATACCCACCAATTCTGCTGTTTATTTGAGACTTGCAACGAGATGGATGGTTAATGGTCACCTAGAAAGGCGCTCTTACAGTAACTACCTAGTAGGTAAGGTAACCTCAGCACTAGGACGAAAGTATCGTACCGCATACTGCAGTGGCCAAAGAGGGCAGGACGTGTAGGTACCTCATGGAGCAAGGGCATTTTGAGCCAGTTTTTACTCCATTGCTCTGTCCTCGTCTTGTCTCGTCTACCGTTCCATCATGTCTCATTCCAGTTCGGCCACTTTTGTCTAACGGGCCTTCCCTTGGCTTGGGAGTTAGTGATTGAAGAATGTGGTGCACATGTCTTTTGACGTAGTGCAGTCCAATGCACTGCATCAATCGAATCAGTCACACAGACACTGCATCTGCCATTTCTGATGCATTGGACATCCATGGGACATCCAACCTTCACCATCCGCGCTGATTTCATACGAGGCCAAATCATATGTGCTCCTGGGCTGTAGAACTTGGTGCCAGGCCAGACATTCCGGGCGCTGGTACCTAGTAGGGTCACCGATACCACAAAAAGCGCTGCAGCTGTTCAGTTGCACCAATAACCAAGACACGCTGCACCACAATGCGGACGTCCGATTTCACCTAGTAGTGAGTGCCCATCGACTTGAGCTGAAACAGAGCCCCTGAAACGACACTATTTCTTTGTGTGATTCCGAAACTGGGATGGCCACCGCGGGGGCAAGCCCCGGAAGTTTGAAGTTCGGAGTGGTATCCAATTCGAGTGCCCAAACGTCAGGTTCAAATCCACCTCATCAGACTGTTTTGTCGTCATAAGCGAATTTCACATCTTTCAACCGGCGACCAGAATGGCCACCGCCCCATCCATTGGGCCCACGCACGCCCATGCTCTTACAGAATTGCTCGTCACCCTTGGGCCGCTCGTTCTTGGTGTTGCCGGTCAACATGCTCTGGATACTCATGCACACGCTCTCGACGCTCTGTACAGGCGACCAGCCTGCAGTGCCGAGGAGGTCGAGGCATATAATTCCGTTGCTGTAGATATGAGGGTGGATAGGGATCGGGCGTCCAGGGAAGGGGGCTGGCGAGGCTTCCTGTTGGGTCTGTGATTGCGCGGAGGTAGAACTGGGATTGGCGTCGGTAGAAGTTGTTGATGGCGGAACGTAGATGAATGAGACTTCTGGTGGTTCTACGAGAATAAGAGCCGTGTTAGTAAGGCTATCACAGGCAAATAGATAGTGCTCCATTCACTGGTCTTTCGGTGTGCTCGCCCCGTTGGCGTTGGGGTCCATCGGGATGGTTTGTGCTTGTTAAGGAAGCCCTTTCCTTTTGCTCGTACTCTGTTTAGGGAGATGCAGGTATGTACTCACCAATAGGATAATTGTCGGAGAAGATGAAACTCAGCCTGAACACCTGATTGAGGTATAACGGGTTGTCGTCCAAAACTCGTATGTCAACCTGCCATTCTTGGAAGTCGTCCGCCTTTACCAGCTCGATGCCTGGAGGAAGCTTTTGCTTTGCCTAGAGAAGCGCCGAAGCAGTGCCATGTTAGACCCTTGCCCAGGAACGAGTCCTCAGTATCCAACTTGAGCGGGGCAAGATTGGCCAGGCAATAAATGTATGTGTGCATATTTTCTATCGAAGATATCGCATGCGGTACGCGAAGTCTGCTCTCTAAATGCAGGAGGGAATAGGTGGGCGAGATAGGTACCTTCTGTAGTTCCTGTATCACACAAGCCATGAGCGTCAGTAAGCGCAAAATGAGTGACTATCCTGGAAACACCATCACATACCTTTCCCAGTCTTTTGGAGGCAAACATTGTAAGTATCTGAGGATTAGGTATTGACCTCGTTGGCGACCAGAGATTGTTGGCTGATCAATGCACAGGGCAAGTCGCACTTCGAACGCTGCCCGTGGTAGTACCAAGCTAGACGGGCCGTGCAGGATCTGGCTCGTCTGCGGACGTGCTTGTGGGAGTAAGAGCAGTGAAAGATATAGACTGTTCTAGTTACACAGATGAGCACAATGCAAAACAAATGCTGGCGCGGGTGAAGTGAAGCGGATGGTGAGTGAGTTCACATTCATATGCAGTGTAGTTGTACTACCATGCAGTCATGGATACTGGACTCGGAGGTGACGGCGATAACCTGCAGGTGCCAATTCAAGTTCAACCTGAAGTTGGAGATTAAACGATGAATGACATGCAGTCGCCGGGTTGCGGGGCATCATTGATCCGATTTCTCCAAGGCTGCAGCCATCGCACCCGCGCTTTTGTGTACACCTACTGCGAATAATGACTGGCAGATACAATGTACTTGTGACTGCCCGAGGCGTTTGCAGCCTACAAAGACTCAGATGCAGACACCCATATCATATATTCGAGGTGTGCACGACGATATCAGCGAACAGACAGCGGGAGTTCGTGTATCCAACTTGAACCTTAGGCTTTCCTGATCCAGTAGGACATCGGGCAATAATAATAGCATCTCATCGCCCAGTAGGCAGCCGCAAGAAGGAACGTCGCATTGCGATCCTTGCCGGTGCTGGCCTTCTTATAGAAAACCTAGGCCCTATGCTCTACTAGTAGGTGATGACCTTGTAGTAGAGGCAGGCACTGACTCGGAGGGGGCTAAATAAACTTGAAGGCCGGCTTTTCAGGGGCCGGGCGAGTTGAGCCTATCTGACCTGTCGAACCAATCGGACGGTTCCATTTTCAGATAAGCATTCGATACCCGCTGCTGCAAGCGTTGCTAACGTTGCCAGTGAAGAATAAGGGTACGAGGTCAAGTCCCGAAATAATGGCACTGCATGAGAATGTGGCCGGTTTTTCTGCTGATAGTGTTGCCAAATAAGGGCAGCTGTTTTACTGATAGCGGCAACGGCCGCAATCCATTGAGCGTAAACAGGATCATCTAGTGATTGTGGGAGACATGAAAGTCAGGCTCACTGCCTAGTGGTGCTGTATCTGCCTACTACTAGTAGGTAGTCACGTTCCCAGACACGCCCACCTGAGCTTCATAACAGAACCATCGATTCTCCGCAAGGTAGTACAGTAGTCTGCAGTACTAGAGTGTGCCGATAGCAGCAAAACGTGGTCGAGGTCTGGAGTCTGTCAGAACTTGAAGGAGGAACGCGGCGTTTGAAGTAGAAGCGGTTAGCGCGGTCACGTTGCCGTCACGTGTGGACGAAGTCGGTCAAAGCTTGCCAAAGACAGCTGCCAGTTGGAATCACCACCACCTCCACTGCTACTCTATTGTACAATGGAGGTTCTCGCGTAGAGATGTACATGCGCCAGAGTCTAGGCTGTCAATGAGCTGCGAATGTCGATGGTGAGACAATCTTCCTCCCTGGAAAGAGTGAAACTCGTGATGTACGAGCTCGCGGAACTTTGACCTCTTTATACCCATCTGGAACAACCTGAGCTTGTGGTCGTCATCGACAGGCTGAAGGCACGTCTCGCCGTTACGATCATCAGGTCAAAAATTGCAGGCAGCGGTCATGAGCTGTCTGGAGCTGTCGAGTTCGCAGGTTGAAGGCTGCTTAAGATTGAATCCCCAGTGCAGCAGACCGAAAACGGCTTTGACGCGATCAGAAGAGGTGGTGACGCGCTGTCATCTGTCAGATGAGATGCGCAGCCGCGTTACTTGCTGATAACGATTCTTTGGGTCTCTCCGCCACAGAGCCTCACACAGACCTCATGCTGACCCTCGACCATGGCCAGCCTGCCCAACATCCAATCATACAGGTTTAGAGTGTGCACATCCAAATCTCAACTTCTTCTCTCTTGACGTTTGCTCACGTACCCCAAGAGCCACAATCGGCGCTTGCAAATTCCAAGTGACAGTCTACCTCTCCCCACGGACTATCCCCTGCTCCCATCCCCTATCCTGCACTGACGAACTATGGATTTCGCTTCAAAAGCCTTGATCTTCCCAATCTTCTTTATCGATTGTTTCCAACAACAATCTCCAAGCACAACAACAACACAACAACACAGATCCCCCGTTGGCCGTGAGATCCGACTCCACCAAGACGGATTCGAGCCATACAACGTCCAGCCCCGGTGACCATGGCTTCAATGGACCAACAATTCGACCGCTCCGGATTCTCGTTGTTTCCCATGCCGCCTACGCCTCCAAACCGGCCTCGAGCTAGAGCAGTACGGCAGGACCACCAACGGACGGCTGGCGAAGATCTGAATAGTGCTCGGTCTCACCAAAGGCACTCGGACGGCCCATCGTTGAAGCCAGCTCCGCTGAGATTTCGAAAGAAGCGGCCAACGTCGATCCAACCGCCTGTGCCGACTACAAGCAAATATGTGCCTGAGAATGACTATGCCTCAGTCGCGCCATCAAGCCCAACGATACCATGGCCTCAGCTAGTCCTAGACGAGCATGAGGAACAGTGGCCGCTTCAACCGCCTTCCTGTTCCCTCGCTCCCAGCCAACGGACCTCCTCCTGCAGGAGCAGTCAGTTCTTAGGCCCAGAGGGAGAGCTGGACCGGAAGAAGCTGTCTGTTTACCTCAGTGGGGTACTCGATACGTCGTTTAGGGTCGACGTGGACTCGGTCGACGACACACCCCTTCCATTGGATCACGCCGAACGCGTATCGTACGCGTCCAACGACTGGCGAGCTTCGTATCAGTCCGATCCATTTTCCACTGCGAACATTGCTGATTGCCAATGTCCTCCCGGGGTCGTCATATGCCGATGCTGTTCGTCCCCCGAGTTTGAGCATTTCCGACGTGGTCATGGCGGCCACAAGCCCAAACCAAGCATCAGCTCCACGACCTGCTTCCTTGCAGTGCCGAGAGCACGGTTCCGCTCCACCCTGGTCGACGTTGAGGAGGTGGACACACCCTCCTCTCCGCCACCGTTGATGTACGACTCTGAAGATAGTGAGGAACTCGATTGGTCGCTCCCAAATTCGCCAACATTTGAGGATCGCCGACAACATTACCAGCAAACCCCGACTCCTGCTCCAAGACCAAGGGAGCCACACACCGCACGGCCTCCCGTCCCCTCCTTTTCGTTGCCATTTTCACGTGGCAGGCAGATCCGGCCAAAGTTCCACGATGACCGAAACTCCATGCCATGGGAACAGCCGTCGCCTTCTTCGACCATACCCACGCTGGCTAGCATTTCGACGGTCTCCACCTTTACATTTGATTTTGGGGACGAGGACGACCAAACCGAGTATGACCCGTTCGACGACCACAGCGATGTGAGCGAGATCAGAACTTGGGAGCCAATACAGAAAGCTAAACCAGTCTTGGTTCATTGCAAGGGCCCATCGCCCATTTCTATCAAATATGGTCATGACTATCATTACAAAACCCGCGACGCCGGATATTATTCATCCACCGACACCTTCGGGTATGCCACACTATCTGTATCATAAACATGTCTCATCACGATGTTCAAAATTCGTCGACCCGATCACGACGCGATGCTCCTTGAAGCGACCTGCCGAATGATCGCCCATTGTGGCCTTTTTGTTTTTTTTTTTTTCGAGTTTCGGACTTCAATATCCCCTGCGCAGGTATGGGCTGGGCTTTCTTGGGGGGCATTCAGTGTTGGTGGCGTATGTATGTATGTACATTATGGGCAGGCAGATGGAAGTCTCTTGATTTGAAGCGTGGCGCTCTGCCCTGGAAAATCCCATGTTCAGGTCTTTTTCTCTTCGGACTCTTTCTTCGGTTTGGGCACTGGCTTCTTGGTGGCCGTGGTCGTGGTCGTTGTTTCCTTGCGCTTAGTTTCGGCTTTGTCCACATCAGTCAATGCGGGCCTGGAACAAGTTTACCCATTAGCTTGATATTTCAATCGAGATCATAGCGCTCACATACGCTTTGCCCCATGGGTCCTCGTACAACTCTTCGTCCTTCTCCGCCTTATCAATGAGTTTTTGAAGTGGAGGCGGCAGGCTGCCGCTAGAAGAGGATCTTCTCTTGCCAGTGGTGTTCTCCACCAAATGCTCCAGGTTCTCCAGAATACTGCTCATCACTGTTCGTTTTGTGTGTTGTGGGTTATGTGATTGTGTAAAGGTTGTATTGAGCCTTCAAGTTGTTTGAATGTTTGTCTTCTGCTTTGTTTACTGTACTTCCTACACTTCAGGATAGTAGCGGGGCGTATGGACATTGATATACCTCTCAGACCCGATCATGTGCGTGTCCCAGCTCACCTGGAGAAGCCTGTGCCAGTGACGGGGTACACATCATACCCTCCACCAGATAGTATGTTGAGTATATCATGAGTCCGGGGATCGGGATGCTTCGGCGCAAACTCGGCGGGTTTATGGAACGGCACTGGCCAGTAGCAGACGACGCAGTTTACATAAGCATCGTCCGCTGAATTCCCCGACTTCGAAGTTGAGTCGGACTTGAGGCATTTCTATGGCTTTCTCATTCGTCCTCCATCAACCACAGTCCTCGCTTCATATTGCTCATACTGCTGCTAGTACTGCTGGGGGGAATCATCTCATGCCGCTCCTGACGCCGGTTACTGCGCACCCTCACACAGCAGCCAAGCGTCATATTCCAGGTTCAAGCTGCAGGCTTATCAAGCTTGACACTTGCGGGAAAATCATCCTCTGGATCGTTCTGGCCGATCCATTATGGCGATTTCTGATCGGCACTGCGTCTTGTCACGGCCTATCCGCCTGAGATGCGGTATCCTGCACGGATGTTAAGGTCTATCCATTTCCCCGAGATCACGATCTGCCAGCCCATGATCTGACGTGGCAGATGCGGCCAGAACTCCTTGTCTTGTCGGCGAAGCCTGCGAACTGCTTTCTGTCTTGGATAATGACATCGGTCGCCGACCCATAGTTCGTCCGTCCCCGGGTTGACACGCCTAAAGCTGGGACACACCTCGTGGAAGAGCAAGGTGTTCAACCTGGCGGAGGAGCAGACAGCGCGTCTTGAAGAGCTCGGGCATTTGGCCATTTTTGAGCACATCTCTCGAGAACCCTGTGAGCAAGGACCCCATGCTGGAGGCCCGTCTCACTCGAGCTATCTTTAAAAAAGAAGGTCGCAGCCTTGTACGCCCAGTGAGAAGTGAAAACATTCAATACCATGTCGTCGGACGCATATGTCTCCAACAATTGCGAAGCCGACTCAACATCAGGTTGAATCAAAAAGCGCGTCTCATGCAAGGCTGCAACGAGTAGTGGTGAATGCGTTGTATCGACATTCGATGTCAACCCTTCCATACCAAGGTGATCCAAAGCAGTGCCACTGCGAAACCTGGACTGTGCGACGTACATGGTGCAAAGAAGCTGACTTGCGACAGAGGTGTCGAAATATGCCGCCTCCTCCTAGAAGATGGTTAGTCTGGCATGAGCCGCCAAATTCGTCATACTCACCGGCTCCATAAGTCCCGAAGGTCTGTCTAAAACGGTCGCGACCTGGTTGCCGAGGGAAAATATCGACGTTCGCAGACGCCGCAATGCTGGGGTGGTGGTGTCCTCCACTTCCCGAGCGCTCAGCTCTACTTCCAGCCGATGTGCGAATGCGATCTGCTGTCCCAAGTTTCCGTTTTGTGCATCGAAGGTGCTCCGTAAGGCCAACAGCGAGACAGCCTGGAGGGCTTCCAGATTCAGCTCGGCTGTGATCCTTTCCACGTGGACTAGAGCTTGCCGATAGAAGACATCCGACAGGAGAAGAAGCTGACAATCGTTACCGGGCAAGCAGTGGCACGCAATGGAGTAGACCATATGCAGCACGAAAGACTCTGACGGGGCCAATGCTGAAAGCGAATCTGGAGGTTCTTCCAGGTACGGCAGGACTCCGTCGATGATCGGGTAGAGGCCGTGAACCGTCTCGCAATATCTGTTTACCAGATATCGATGCATTTCATGACCTACAGGTCCCTGCCGTAGGTTCGGTAAAGCAGGACACACAGTTTTGGTCCGGATATCTGAGGACTTTGTTGCGATGCGGCCGACCTGCGTTGCAAGGGGCGCCCCTTGGCCCAGGTACCTGTACGCTCCACGTACCGGGACGAAGTGATGCTCTGGTACGGCCCCGGATGTTGATCCTGATGACGACGAGAAGATCCGCGCATTGGCAGCTTCGAGAGCCTTGACATGGTCCACCAGTGAAGATATATATCTGCAGGGACACTTCCATGAGCATTCGCAACACACAGCAACATAATTCAATTCTCTGGGTCTTACGTTCGTGGTAGTAGTTCCTTGGAAACATGATCAAAGAAGATGCATTCGGCTCCGACCCTGCTGCAATTGAGGCATGCTGGAAGTCGCGTATCGCACCGCCTTTTGCTTCTACGGCATCGTCTGCAAGCAGGCAGCAGTTGAAGAACGGCATCCAAGTCGACGACATTAGGTTCATCAGCTGCTCTAGGATTGTCCGCCGGGCCAACCTCATCAGCCTGAGCAATAGTCGCCAGCATAGTTTTGACTCAACATTTATCACCTTTACCACGGGGATACCTGTACAGAACAAGCCAGATACGTCCCGTCTGGAGATCTTCTGAGAAGGCTTTATGGCCCATGCCTGGCCACTACGCTGGGACTCCCCACCAATTGATAATAGGAAAAGACTCGACCATCCGGTCAGGCGCTACTAGAGTGGAGATAGAAGCCCAACCCAGTCAAAGCTGCTCAGGTCTTCGGCCCAATATTAATAAATGAGCTAACTCCACGGTCCACCCTGGGGCGACAGATAAGGTACGATAACTGTCCCCCAAAGAAACTTTGGGCCCGTCTCGCTTGGTGATCTCTCACAGGGAATAGCGGCATGGCCATCGTTACAAATTATGTAACCACCCGGGATGCGAGCGTGCGACGGCCTTTTGCAGTGGTCCCCTGAATGCACAGACTCCTCCCCCGGAATCATTTCAACGTTCAAAGGCCTCGTGCGATCTCCACTGACACTGAAGGCCTTTGTGCTTCGAGCAATGTCGGATGCCACAATTCCAATTGAAAATGAAGTCAAATCAAAGAGTTCGGAGACGAGTGGTAGCATGTGCCAGATGCCGACGGAGGAAGATCATGGTAGGTGTTTGAGACAAAAGCATCAAGAAACGCAAGAGAAGATACTGACCAAAGTCTTTCCCATATCCAGTGCGATGCGCAAGCACCATCATGCACCATGTGTCTCGAAGCTGGCGTCCCTTGCGTTGCTCTTGACTCGGCCACCAACTCGTTTGCGCCACGCAGCATTGCACGATATCTCGAGGCACGAATCGCGGCTCTGGAGCGCCAGCCCGGCAGTGATACAGCTCCATCATCGACTAGCAACAGCGTGGCCACGGGTCAACCCACAGCCGTATCCAATTCTACAACCGTATACCCTACGACATCAGCCATTCCAGTGATCGGAAATGCCTTGCACGACATCACCCCGTCTTTTCTCGGCCTCATCGAGAACCTTGCGCTTCCTGGATGTGCGGCAGCGCCAACCCAGATCCCCTCAGCGAAGAGGTCTCTCGGCCTGACTGATCTGGACGAAAATCATCCTCGGTCGATCTTGAATCAACCGCCATCGCATCTATCGCTTATGTCTGTGCCGACTTCGGTGGCAGAATTCTTGTTCGACATTTAAATCAACAGAATTATCCATCAGTACCCGATATATCATTCTACCGACATCCTAAGGTCTTTTCATCTCATATTTCGCAAAGATTCTGCCGGAACAACAACGGCGGATCCACAGGTTGAGGTTCGAGACATCTACATCGTGAGCTTGGTTATGGCAATCTCACTGTCGACAGCAGCGCGCAGCAAGCAGGCGCGTGCCCAGGCACTCGCAACTGGGCTTTTCAGAACCGCAATGCTGCATGTGTCGGAGGTCATGTCTAACGATCTGGCTGGTCTACAAGCTCTGCTCTTGCTGATCCAGTACACCTTCTTGAATCCCAGCGTTGCGAATCTGTGGCTGCTGACCGGGTTATCAAGCGAGGCATGTATCGAGCTGGGTCTACACCAAGAACTTCCCGCCACTGCAGGCGCCGATGTCCTCGAGAGGGACATGCGTCGACGCATATTCTGGTGCGCCTGGGAAATGGAAGTGGCAGTCTGTGCTGGCTTTCATCGACCGGTCCGGACGAAAAACAAATACGTCAATGTGTCTTTCCCGTCGGAGTTCGGCGACCATGCCATCTCAAGGAGCCATGTTGACACCACAGGTCCACGCCTTAAAATTGTACCCTGTCGAATTTGGAGATTTCGCAAGATCGAGTCCGACATCATGTCTGTGCTTTACGATGACGAACCCATCCCGGAGGATTGCGCGTCTCTGGAAGAATGGTTTACCAGAACCGAAACTGCAATTCGGACTTGGATGGAAGAGGCACATTCGTCAGCCGCCTTGAACCAAGATCCGTCTTTGAAGTCACAATGGGACGAAATGGAGTTGTACGCCGATATTGCATACCAGTACACCCTCGTCCTCCTCTTTCGGCCCTGTCCAAGAGTCAAGATGCCAAGTCGGGAGAATCTCATGAAAGGCTTCCACGCTGCTGTGCAGGCAGCCACAGGATACTGGGAGCAAGCTAATTCTGAGTTCGGCTATATGAAGTATGTTTTTCACCCTTGTCACCATACGTTCTCGGCCGCAATCGTCTTTCTGCAAGCGTTGCAGTACTGCAGGCCCGAGATTGCCGACCTGCACACTCTCGAGGAGGTTGAAGAATTTATGATGTGCTTCTCTCGCTTCTTCTCGACTATCTCTGAACGATGGCCTGCAGCGACTAGATGTCTACACGAATACGAGAGGCTTCTGGGCCCGGTCAAAAAGGAATACTCTGAGTTCCTTGAGCAGCGGTCACGACTTTTGGACGAGCAGCTCTCCATGAACGCTTACTCAGTGGACGGCTACCTTGGACACAATGGTTTGGATGACATTGACTCTTTCGCATTTTGGGAGGTTTCGAATCCTTTTATCGACTTTACTGGGGACGATCTCATCGACAACTACACATATCCACCGTATGACTGGAACGCCGAATTTGGATTTGGAATGGAGTCCATGGACTCAACCCTTCCAAGCTAAAGGGCGTGGCTGGGGTCAACAACCTTTTCAGCAGCTGAGCCGCCGCCTTTGATTGAGTACCTGCAGAATTTAAAATCGGAATGATTCGGATTCATTGACAGTGTATCCTGAAATTAAAGCCAAAGATGAGGCGGCTGGCAGACTCGCACTTTCCGAAACTGTCCTACTTCGTACGATACTACCTTCAGGGTTGGTTCCGGACGTCAAGCCCGCAATTGGCTTTGTCTGAGAAGCCATGACAGTTGAACAGCGCTCCTGCTAGAGCAAGGAAAACTTATTAGTGCAGGAAAAGATTTTTCCACAAACGTTGCCTGTGTATTCCACAATGTGCCAACCTGCTCATCACCCCCAACGGCTACTAGTACGGTCTAATTGTACGCATGACTGCGTGATATACTATAGCTAAGATACCGGATGGTGGCTATTTCAAGCCTTTTCGCTGCCAATTGTCACCGTCTGGTCTTCAACCGACTGTTTTCCCTCCACCGTGACAGCTTCGGGGTGTTCCTCCAAAACGTGCTTCGGGATGACAACATCATCTTCACCATTGAAATACTCTGTCTCGCGGATGTGGTAGAGGGCAAGATAGGCAAATATGAGGACGCCGGCGGTATAAAATGCGAAGATGACGGCGGCCTCCTTCATGTATGGGACCTCGGTCGAGTCAACCCCGAAACAAATGGCTTCTCCTGCACCCAGGAAGCCTCGGAACACGCCCTGGTAAAATTTCAGCTCCAAATTCTTTGGTCGGTGTGGTTTGGGGAGTACTTACGGCATAGTTGGCGGACTTGCGAGGCGAGTTGGTCAGCGTCCCGAGGAAGTATAGAATGATATACTGCCACAGGGAGCTGAAGACCCAATTCATAATGAAGAGGAAGAAGATTGCAACGAATCCATCGTCGGTCCAATCCATCGGTCTGGCCGGAGGGTTGGAACGATCATAGTGACGGACGCGGATGATTTCCCACACCCACGCTCCAATCAGAGGGATTCCGACGACTGCAAGGCCAATAAATGCTCGAGTTTGTCGCTTCCCTGTAGCTTTGGTCAGCACAGTTCAAGTGGCAACACGATAAGCCTGTTACTGACATTTTTTGTGATCAAGGATTGCCTGGAGAGCCCATCCAGCTGGGATCTGGATGACGACGGCGAGGAAGGACAGCAAACACCTGGTCCGGAGATTGTTGTGATATGCGTTGACGGAGCCACCATAGACCAGGAAACATTCTGCTGGAAGGAATCCAGGGACCTTGTGGACTTGTCAGCTCTTGAGCAGGTAGGGAATGGGTTCCTGTTGTAGGACTGACCATAATCAGCAGCTTCCAGTCCTTGAAGATTTCCAGGTTTGACTTTAGCTCTTCGACAAAAGTGCGAGCCTGAACCAAGCCCACTTGAGTCCCATCATCGCGAGTGATCTTAGATGGTGGCATTAGCGCAAACGCGCCTATCATTCCTAAACCCATCATGACGATGAAAACGATGTATACGGGGGCAGGGACACCAGCTGCCTCTGTCTGTTAATATCATGGTCAGTATTCCATTTTTCGCCAACGGTTGAGACAGAATTTACCGAGTCTTTGTTGATGATAAGAGGTATAATGCCTCCAACAACCGCACCCACAGCCTGCAGATTGATTGACATGGTGATGAACTTTCCACGATCCTGCTCTTCAGAATAAGACATGGCGATGTAACCCATGGTCACGAATATGAGGCCGGCAGATATCTAGAAACGATGTTCAGCCCTCTAATTTCGAGAGATTTATTGATCTTCACTCACACCAATACAAACTCCTGCAAAGATGGGGAACCCTTCCTTCCCAGTCTGGTCGAAATACCAGAGCGAACCAACATAAATAACATAACCCAAAACCCCCAAAGAGGCCGTGATCGCAGGTCCAATCTTGTTCAGGACAGAGCCTCCAAAGGATGCAGAGAAAAACCAAACCGTACAGAGAGTCGCATTGACCACTTGTACGGTGCTTGCAGAGTTTGGTCGGCCTCCTCCTGCTCCCAGCAGGTTGAGGGCAACATAGAGCCCAGCCGTGAGACCGACGAGGATGCCGATGATGACACTTTTTAGAGGTTAGCAGTGTATTCCACAATAGTCTTGTCGTTGTTGTGGCCACACTTACTTTTGCCAGTAAGGCGAATGCAGCCTCAATGGAGGCGCCCCTGGGATTTTCACAGCCATAGCGACAGCACAATCGGTAGTCCAACACAAAACTTGTTGGGAAACACGAGGAAAAGAAGAAAACTGTCGACGGTCGGTTGAAAGCAAGTCTTCACCCTTGAATAAAATCCTTGCAAATATATCGATATATATGCTTTCAGATTCGAAACTGGCACGGTCGTTCACCTGGCAGTCTCCGCATCAGGCACATCGATCTAGGCAGCCAGCACCGCGGGTAGAAATGAACTCCATTATCTGAATGGCCTTGGCTACTGCCACATCTCACGACCCCGGAAAGCCGGGGAGGCATTTTGGGCTTCGCTATGTGGACACGCGGTTGTCCGTCGCTGTGGTCCTGCGCCTACATCCGTCGCGCAGCGCCGACAGCTGTTGGAAAATTCACGGCAGGGCTTTATCACTAGTAGACCCAAAACAGGTCGGCAGATGACTGTCTTAACCAATCAGAGGGCGTGTCGTTCAGGGGCTCCAGCCTCGGGCTTATCTCTGTTCCCCAGAATGGAGCCTTCTCCAACCAACAAAACCATTCGACTTGTCATCAGGCATCCACTCTGACGGTTTGCTTGGTTGGACCCTACTATCGTTATCCACCATAAACACGGGGAAAGAAGTAAACGGAATGGTTTCTGCAGGTCACTACTACTGTGGATAATCTGGGTATCACGGGGCCTCGCCTCGCCTCGCTACCGCCTGCACTGCGCTATCTACGGTATCTATCAACCGTGCCGAGATTGCCACGTTGCTGAGGTGAAGTTCAGCCCTGTCAACAAGTCATGGCTCAGCTATCTTGACTGAAGCGAGAGAACGAGCGCGTTCATCCTTCGCGACACCGATCAGATGACCGTGACCGCCGGGTCAGCGAAGACGAAACCTACAGAGCAAGGTGGCTCCTGCTATAGACAAAGTTGGTCGAAATCAAATCCACTCCAGCCTATTCCACCGTGGGTGTTTTTGGTTTGAGCCGCCATGGCCTGCTGAAGCAACTGACAGCAAGATTGTCAAAATACCCGGGACATCAATGACAATGACAATAGATTTCAGAGTATTTCGTGGGTCAACGCTGAAGCTCAAAGAAGATACAGTACTGGACGTCCGAGATAAGATGCATCTCTGGAATCAAAGCTACCTACAAGTCGTCTGACCAAATATCTGTTATCAGACTCAGAGATTCAGTATCGGTTCCTGGACTCCGTCGGCAGCTCCTTTGTCTTGCTTGTCTCCGTCTGAGAAGGAAAGGTACGGCACCACTGTGTCAAAGTCCATTCGAAACGCCAGTGCACCGAACCTAGTTACAACCGAACGAACGGATCGGCGAGCAAAACTTGAACTGGACAGTCTGGACGTTGACGTGGACGGACTCGATGACTCGGCCACTCCAGACTTTTACACGGGGGTCTCGGTTCTGTTTGACAGGTCACTGAAATGTTTCCTCTTCCCACGAGTTCCGTATAAAAAGTGGCCTGAGAAACTTGAACTCGGTGGTCCCGAAGAAGCCTACCTTGGCATGACAGGCGCGCTTTGATACCGGACTCGGCACGAGATGCGGTGTGGTAACCCAATCCCCGGGAGTCTTTCGTCTACTGTACTACACGATTGGCTCTCTCCTTTTCCCCTGGAATACAGCATCGAACGCACCACTTTCAACATCAGCAGCAGCAGCAGCGTTTGCCGCCGACCAGCACGGACGGTGAGGTTGCTCTGGCCTTTGATAGCTCATTTCTGTCTTTAGGCCCCCAGTCTGGTTCACTGGCGGGCCCATACCAGTACTTTATCCACGTGGAAATGTCATATTCCTGGTGATGAGCTACAGAACATATTGTATCTGCCTTCCACTCAGGCCAGGAATACCTAGGTTCATTATCGGTATCGGGATTATGCGGTCCCCAGCCGAGTCCACCGTACCGTCTATTGACTCACTCCTGTCGCAGGATGAACGTACATTGTACAGTAAGTGCATAAAATTGTGATATGCAAACCCACGCTCAGTTACTAGGATGGGACAATTCGTGGCATATTGTGTCTATGCACTTTTTATCGCTCTCTTTTGGCTGGAGCCGATTGTTCTATATATTGCAGTGGACTGGTAAATGATATCTCCCCCTGGTATACCAGTACCCTGGCTGCCAGTGCCAGCCTATCTCACTCCCTACATGATTAGCCCTTCTTCTTGTCTTCTTGTCGTGGTCATTGTACCTAGTCATTAATTTGTGGTAGGAAAAACTGGCGCAGGTACGTTGCATAAATATACATCTATACACACATATGTTACACACAGCCTTAGGAACATGTGTTTTGTTTTCCGTTGCCAAGTCGCGGACAAGAAATGAATTTGCTTCTCGCTCTGTCTAGCAGTCTACCTGGTATTAGTTAATTCTGTTTCATCTGATTCCAGCAGTGCCAAAGAGCAAAGATACTGTGCCAGGTGCATCCTTTTCCCAGCGGGTGTTTTCAACTTTTCACAATTGTCCGACTCTCCGTCAACTCTATTCCATTGCTTTACGACACTACACATGCTCTAGTATTCACTGTCCAAGCCATCCGGCGCAAAGGCATCGCCCCCCCGGAATACAAGTACCCTCAGATCGAGATGAACCTGCTCAGCTCTTCTGATATGTACAGAAACTGTAGCACACAAACCAACAGCAGCTGAACAGCCCTGCTACCCCTGCCGTGCTCACATGGTGATTCTGAGCCTGGTCCTTCGTTTCTCCATAACACTGACACACTGTTCGAGATGCTCGTACTCCACTCCTTCTCCTCCCTCTTTGTTTCTTCCCATCTCACTCACTCCCCCTTCCCACCCTTGACCTCGACACCTCCCAACCTCCCCTCCTTAAACTCCCTCACCATCGTCTCCATCGTAACCCACTCGACCCCCTCATGCCCATTAATCCACTCAATCAACCTCTCATGCATCAACACAACCTGCGGCTTCCCACTAACCTGCGGATGAATACTCATCGGAAACACAAACGTCTCATACTCGCGATACAAATACGTAAACTGATCCTTCCACAACTGCTCAATGCTCCGCGTATCCACAAACCCATGCGTCGACGCCTGTTTCAGCGACAACTGGAACGGCGGCCAGTCATCCAGATGCCAATTCGCGGGGACTTCCACAACTTTCGATGGTTTCAAAGCAGTCATGGGCGACATCCAGTGTTGCGCATCCTTAGTCGTGTCGGTTTCAATCCATTGTTCGGAACCGTCGGGCGCATAGTACAGTTGACTGTCGTGGTGCATGAACGAGTGGTCGTATTCGATGCCGAATTCTTCGAGTAGGCGGATCGTTTCCTTGGAGGTCGACCAGGCGGGGGCGGTCCAGCCTTTGGGTTTTTTACCGAGAAACCCGGTCAACACGTCGATGGATTTGGATAGAACGTCGCGTTGTTGTTGTTCGGACAGGGTCGAGACGAATTCGTGCGTGTAGCCGTGGAGACCACTAGAGGCCAAAGATTTAGAGAGGAAGGAAGGAACGGATAAAGGGCTCGAGGCAGGCCGCAGAACAAACACGCTCCGCTCGAGGCAAGCCTCTCACTTACATTTCGTGTCCCGCATCCCTCACTTTGGCAATTTGCTCGGGAAAACTCTCGACCGAATGAGCCGGCACGAACCATGTCGTTTTCAGGCCGTATTTGTCCCATAATTTCAACAGGCGGTCGATGCCGACTGTGGCCCCGAAGATGCCGCGGGATACGTCTGTTGGGTTGGCGGGGGTGCCGTCCTTGGTGTTGATCCTAGGATACCAAGGTTAGTATTGACAATCGATAATTTGGGTGTATGTCTTCATGTCTTTGCAGCATTTTGAATTTTCCCAGCCTTGAACGGAAATGGTGGATTGTGAACTTTTGAAACTTGACGTTCCGTTGGGTTTGAGGCTTTTTTTCACCCTGAATAAGGTATCTAGATGGATCTCCTAATGGAACATGGATGGATATTTTTTCTTTGTTCACTTACCAACCACTCACGGCGTCCACGTCGATGCCGTAGCCGACAAGCACGCGTTTGACCATGTTGATACTGATATGGTATTTGTTTGATGACCGATCACTGAGACTCTGGTAGGAAATTGGTCCTGGACTGGCAGTGGTATGATGAGATGCACTGGGTGACAGGCAGTGCAAGTACTTTCTTTTTTCTCGAAAAACCCCCGATGTGATCCAATTGATCTCAGTGAGTTGTACACTTGGACACGGAACTTGAAGTAAGAAAATGGTGATCGGCCTAGTGGCCCAGCTGAACTTTGACTCTTGACCTGCCACCAACGACAAGTTTCTTTCTTTCCAAGTGTTGAACAACGATAAGATAACTTCCTTTTTCAATCACGCGCACAAAAAAGGTCCGAAGCCGAAATTGATTTTCCCATCTCCTAGGTATCTCGGCTTGTCACTGCACCGCGTTTGGCTGGCACCTTCGTCGTTGGTCTCCCCGCATGGAGTGGATAAAATGGGTCGTGGGCGGAAATGGGCGCACATCGCGACGGACGAGGGCGACGCGGTTGATCTGGGCGAAAAACACCACCCGCAACTTGCAACCTGGGTTGCTTTCACCCCACAGAACAGAAAAAGGGGATACTAGTAGATGGATATGGGCGCCCCGGCCGTCGATAACGTAACGTGCGCTCGTGACACGCGCTCGAGAACTTCTTGTAATAATCGACCGACGGGGCGACCTCCGAATTCGGGGGTCGCTGGAAGGGGATTTTAGGAAATGAACGATAAGCTACAAAAATACAACAGCGTTGTTCTCATTAGCTAGCTACCTTACCTACGGTACGTATTTATTGTTACATAAGGCCGAGAAATCAAAGTCAGAAACAGAAACAAAAACAATAACAGTGACGGTACTTCAACTGGCCCACCCAACCGAAAACAAAAGACCTCCAACATCTACATCAACATCAAACATGGCACAAGGTACCAAGAGCTGGGATTGGGGTGGGTTTAGCACGGAACATGGGAACCTCATCACTTGGTTAGAAAGCAACCCGACCAGGTGAGGTGAGAGGCTGCCATTGAAGTGTAGAGAATCCCCATACCCATGCCGATACCCATACCCGTACCACCAAAACCGAATGTCATAACAGCCATAAGCAAAAGCAACTCATGAGGTCTTCCTTGCCTGGATCCAGACCACCAGCCACAAACCTCAACCCTCTCTGCCATCATTGACGAGAAACCAAGTGAGCATTCGCAGGGTGGCTGCCTCCTTTCTCTGACAAGACAAATGTGTTTGGCACATCATCCAAATCTTGCAAGGTCCATGGTCCACTATTTGGCTTTGCCTACGTTACCCATCAAGATAGTAACAGCCTCATCCCAGCCACGCTCGTTGACAATGTCCATCACAGTACGGCCAGACTCGTCCTTGACCTGAAGGTCGACGCCACCGCCTTGCTCGACCAACAACTTCAAGACTTTGGCGTCACCGTTGTCGACCGCCTGCAGGACGGCACTCCATTCCCGATACATGAGGTTGATGTCAGCGCCGCGGGCGAGCAACATCTCGATGATTTCGGTGTCGTTTCCGCGACACCGGCGGATGGCCTTGATGATAGGCAGATGCTCTCCGGGAGCATTGACGTCGGCGCCGGCCTCGTCGAGCAGGAAACGCACAATGTCTTTGCGATCTTCGCGGATGGCCGTCGTGAGAGGCGAAAAGACACCACCAGTTTTGTCTTCGACACTAACGCCCGCCTTGAGGAGCAGCTTGATGCTTTCCAGCTGGTTCGCCATCACGGCCTGCTCCATGACTCCCTTGACGGAGCGCGGGTTGGACACATGGGGCAGTAATTTCTTGAGGATTTCGGGCCGTTTGACGGCCATGCAGATGGGCCATTCCTGACCGCGAACGCTTGGGTCGGCGCCTCGTGAGAGCAAAATGTCGACCATCTCGCCACGGTCGTCGCGGATCGCCGTCGTCAGTGGCGTATTACCTTCCGGGCTGCGGTCGTTGGGGTTGACTCCCTGGCTCAACAGGTACATGAGGGCTTCTTTGTTGTTGTGCGCCACCGCTTTCTCAAGTATGCCTTTGGGCTTGTGGAGGTCCGCCCCTGCGGCGATGAGCTGAGGCAGAAGCTGGGTCCGGTAGTGGGAGACACATTTCCAAGCAGGATACTCGGAGGCCATGACGTTGGGGTCTGCCCCATTGGCGAGCAGCAACGACACGAGCTCGGCGCGGTTGTCACGGATTGCCGTGCAAAGAGGCGTGTAGATGCCGTCCTTTTTGGCGTTGGGGTCGACGCCCGCTTTGAGCAGGATGTTGACCGACTCGACGTTGTTGATGCTCGTGGCAAGCTCCAACACGCCTGGACATTTCTTGGTGTCGGCACCCCGCGACAACAGCAATTGCAGAGCCTTGGGTTGGTATGTCGACGGCCACAAGGGATGTTTGGGTCCCGGCAGATTGGGATCGGCTCCATGGTCGAGCAGGAGTGTCATGAGGTCAACCCTCTTTTCCTGGATGGCCGTGAATAGTGGCGTCTGGCCTTCGCTGTTCTTGCCGTTGGGATCACTTCCGTAGTTCAACATCAGCTCCAGCAGCTTCTTGGGGGTGGTCTTGTTGATGGCCTGCACGAGTAGGGTGTTGCCGTTGGGCATCATCAGGTTCGCGTCGCCGCCGTATGTCAGACACAGTTGCACAAACTCGGCGCGATCCTCGATGACCGACATGCCAAGCGGCGAGATGTGCTCTGGTCCTGCAGGCAGATTTGGGTCGGCGCCATACTTCAAAAGCAATTTGGCCACTTCAAGCGATCCCATCTCGGTGGCCGTGTAGAGCGGTGTCAGCATATGGCGGTCTACAGCATTGGGATCCGCGCCGAAGAGCAACAGCAGACGGACGCTCTCCGGGTCCCGATGGAGCACGGCTTCTCGCAGAACATTCACTTCCACTCCGCTATCAGGCGGAACACCACAGTCGAGCAACTGCTCGACCATTTTATGTTTTCTTTGCTGTACGGCCGTAAGCAGTGCTGCTTTCAGCGGGGCCGAGTTGGCGCCAGTGTTCTGCTTGGGAGTCCACCGAGGGACAGTGGTAGGATCGGCCTTGATGCGGACGACCTTGGTCGAAAGCTTGTCGTTTAATTCGATTTCGTGTATCATGTCCTCAATCTGGGTCATGGAATCGGCTGTCTTGATTGACCCATGGTCCGACAGCAGGATCTCTGTTGCTGAGCTGTGTTCATGAATGGGCATGCTGATTTCTCGTGTTGCCGATGTCGCGGTCAGCTTGCTCGACCTCGTACTGGGCACATGCTTGAAGCTATGTCGGTCCAATGTCCCCGCGAAGGCGCTGGGCAGGTCTTCTTGTCGAGGAAAGAGGGTGTAATTCGATCCCTTTTCGACACTGGCAATGGGCGGGAGTGGCGGCAGTGTATCAGGGATTTCGGGGGCAGCCATAACCGCACGAGTGGGCGTTGTTTCCGCAGGCGGCTCTGCTGGAAGGGGTGTGAGCACCGAGTTCGAGTTCGGCTTCTTGTCACTCAAGCGCTCCAGGACGGCTGCCAGTCCCGTGTATCCGATCCCCATGGACGCCTCCGCCTTGTCATCACCGAGAGACCACCGAAACACAAGGGCGCTCATTCGCAAGGTCTCGCGGCTCTTGGCCAGGGAATCTCGAATCTTGTCAATGTCCGTGTCGGCAAACATCATGTGCCATCCTTTGCGGAGCTTGCTGAGGCCTCGCTTGTTCTCATATTCGAGGAACTTGGTCAGCATTTGGTTCAACACAATGAAGTCGTCGTTGGTCTGGCGGAACTTCTTGTCGAGTTCTTGAGTCATGTCGATGGGAAACTGGTTGTGTGAGTGCGACACCTCGCTGAGACCGGCTTGGATGGAGAACAAGATGCGACTGAGGTCGAGAAACTCGATCGCAAGCTCACGGAAGCCATGCGGGTGATGCTTGACAGTCATGTACTCGACCATCCTCACCGACACCGTGTTCCCCATGGTGGTCGCCCGGGTACAGGCATCAAGTAAGGACTCCTTCTTCTTGGGCGCCATGATGGAGATGGATTGTGGTGCAAGCTGGACAGTACCGTCCGCCTGGCAAGGTAGGCGTTTGGTTGTAAGACCAGGAGGAGACACAGAACACTGGAGGGACAGTCGAATAAATCAGACTCGAGCCCGACCAGGGGAGGGGAACCAAGCATACCGTTGGGGGCCCCCTCCCAGATCCATTCTCCTCGAGACTCGGCTCGTCAGGAACAGACCAGCGCCGCGCCAAAGTTGTATTTCCAATAATAACGAAGAATAAGGACACCGACGCCAGGGACCTGGGAACTTGTGTCGAGCATTGCCAACCAGACCAATGTTCAGCAGGGCCATCCTTTCCCGCGTGGTAGTACAAACAACGGTGCGGTACCATATGGGTCCCCAGCCGTTCGCTCGACCGAGCCAAGCGGCCTCGCTCCTCTCGGGGAATGTTGCCATAAGGTTCTTGCTTTTCCACGCGTGCGCTGTCATTCTGTTAGTCCTGACAGCAAAGTCAGGGTAATGGTAATCGACATTGCATGGGCTTGCATGACATGATCTAGCTTCAAGGCTCTGGTTCCTGGCATAGTCGAGTCGCCTTTTCTCTCACTATTGCACTCTCACTGGCGGAAATGTGTTGGAAACTAACGGCCTTCGTTTGAACCTCATCTCAGACTTACCACTAGAAGAACGAACTAGTCAGTTGTTTTCAGTCCAGGTGTCATCATTCCAAGCCAGCCACTCAGCCAGGCCGGGCCAGCTTCCAGGCACGAATGCTCTTGGGGCTCCGCTTTGGGCTTGACGTGAAGTTCCCATTTAGCGTCAAGTCCTGTTCCCAAATGCATATCCTGGGTGTGAATGTGGGCCAGCTGTGACGATCCGCCAGACATGCCAGAACCAAATTCCCAAAGTCTTCGCGTGCTCTTTAGGCTTGTGGAACCTTACCAACTCGAATCGGCAGTGAGCCGGCCCCTGGCGCCACGCTACGAGCCAGTCTTTCCCCTGACGCTGAGGCTAATCAAGAGCGAGCTTCAAAATTCTTCAGGACCAGGTTTGGGGGGGCCAAGGTTGCTGCAAGTGCGGCTGAGTAGTTCTGTAGCCAGCTGGCATGCATTTGTCAATGGTCTGTTTGGTCCACTGATCGGAGAAAACCCCAAATATGACAGCTGCCATGGCTTTCAGCTGTGCACTGAGAATGTCGAATTCTCGAATCCCACTACGTGTGAGCTTGAGCTTCTTCAGATCGTCGAATGTTCTGCACTGTATCTCACACAGATCGGATCCAGTGCCTGCGAAGCGAACCTGGATCTCGGTCTGTCCATCCCAAGGGAAAACCGCTGTGGGAGAAAAAGGTCTGCCAATTGTTTAGTAGTAGTGGGATATTTCCCCATAACCCGATGTGCGACAATACCACCACTGAACTAATTAGATCGCTCGCTAGAAGGATGGACCTCCTAGACCTGCTTTTGGAGACTTCCCCCGTGCGTCCGGCAGCAGTCTGCAAGAAAATGGAGGATCTGATTCGACAAGCCAACATCGCTCGCTCCCAGCTGCAGCTTTTGGGAAGCTACTCGATGGAGACCGAGACGGCCCAGCAAGGCATATCCAAAGGCCAGGTCTTTGTTGCTGCCGCTGCTGCTTTCAGGCTGGACCACGCCGAGATAAGCCCCAAGTAGGGCCGACATCGAGAAAATTGCGGCCCATCACCCACATGGAGAAGTGATTCGAAGTTGAGGTTCCACAAGTCACAGATAATAGTTGGGGCTCTTGCATGTCTGAGGGAAAGGGAAAAGGTCGAGTCCAAGTTTCTGCGTGCCCATGCCTGGCCCACCGTGTCTGGAACCTTGCAGCTTCCTGAAGGTCTGGCAACAGAATGATAATATGCGAGCGCATTGGTTTAGCCATAGACGATTGTGATATTGGCACGTAATTACTAGTAATGAGTGTTTGAATTGTGTCAAAGCACAGGTCGTCCGAGATACTGCTTGACAATGACACCTCCTTCCTCCACAAGAATCAGTACAGCGAGCCACGACATCATCATACTCCTCAATAACATCCATGAACACCCTCCTACAATGTAGACGTGTCTCCATTTTGAGTGATAGCATAGTAGAGCTGGCACTTGTTCAGTACAGGGGTTCGGGTCTCGCCGATCTTACACTACTAGTTGCTTCCTGTCCCCTCTTATAGCACAAATCTCTTCATGAACCATGTGCTTGTCATGGCCCTGGAGCCACTGCCCCAGTAGCAAAATGGGTCCTTTTCGATCCTCACTGCCCAAGGTAGGCAAAGGTCATGCCGACGGTCATGAATGTGGCCAGTCTCCCAGGCCCGGCGACTCCGGCCTCCTGCAAAGGTCTAGAGAGGTATAGTAGTATCATCAGTGATTCAGTGTTTTACCAGTACTGTCCCAGAGCAGTGCAATGGAAATCTATCGTTATACAACACCAAAGAGGAGTGGGCTTGGACGGGCCCAAGGTCTGGGTCCACGGCAGCGTGATGATCTCAACTCGACCCTCATTTACGTACTTTGGGAAGATTTTCTTATCACTGTAGGAGCCAACCTCTTGTTGATCACAGAGGCACGTCTAGGCCTTCCTGACTCTGAATATGAGCTGAAATACCTCGTTCTGCCCGGTCGCCCACCCCGGCACATTTGCAAAAACAAAACAAGTAGCCACAACTTGAACGTCAATTAAGCAAAAAACAATCAACAGCCAGGATTCCCAAATGGTCACCCACTTTAGTACTAACTAGCCGGCAACAAGCTTAAGTGCAGCTGAGCGGACGGGAAGCTCTGTTCTCTTGTTCCTATGGTCGATTGCGAAGTAAAATGCTGGTGGTTGTAAATATGTACAACCAAAACTTGGGCGGCGCCGTTCCCCATCCGAGATTTGACCATACCAGGTATTTTGGTCACTATCAGTGCAGCGTGGAATTCACCTGCAGTGCTGTAACAGAAAGCCCACAACTGGCAAGGAACAATTTAATAAACGTTCTTGAATGGTTTTGTTTGCGCTCTCTAAGCCCTGTTGTACAAATAAATGCCTCCCTGAGCCCTGCAAGTTGAAGACTAGGAGGCCATTATTCTAACCACTTAGGTAGCCACAGAAGACACACTTGGTTTGCCACAATCGACCATCCGTATCGCTTGCTGTACATGTCTTCGATACCGACCTCCCACGCAGTGTTCGTACATACCTGGTACCTCACCATTCTCGCGCCATGGCAGCCATCACACAGCCAAAACGGCCGCAAACATCTGTCTTCAAGGTTGAAAAGTCTCGAATCCGTCTAGGCGTCGATAATGTCATCTTGCCACGCTTCCACGCCACGAATCACCTCCTCGGCCTCGATACCCACCACCTCCGCCTCTGGGTCGGTTTCCAGCCAGACGCTCCTGTCCTCTTTTGCCGAATCCGAACTCGGGGCCCTTGTCAACCCACTCCTCTCTGCCCTTGTACAGTTCAAACGTGTATCGTTTCATGCCTTCGTCGCCACTGCGGCCCATGTGGGCATATCCCACCCGGAGATCGCGGAACATATCGAGCCTTTCGGTGGCAACAGATTCAGGCACGGGCTTGTAGTATAGTTTCGGCTTTGTGGTCGTGTACTGGAACAGCTCGTCTAGGGCCTTGAAGCCTTGTCCATTGAGATCCGGGTTCTTGGGTCCGGTTGGTGGCTGGCGGACTGGCCGGTCTTGGTCTCGGTCTCGGTCCCGACCTCGATAACGTTCATCCACGAGAGGAACAAATGCCGCGCGGTCGGGATGGACTCCTGCGGGGAGCGAGTCTGACCCTGACCTGGGTATGTCTCTGGACAGGCGAGAGCTGCGGCTGGGCTGTAGCGGAGGTTGAGGTCGGCTGGAGTTGACTTCCTGGAAGATTGCTTCGTTTCCATCGTCGCCTTCTTCGTACACAACCTCGAACCGACGTCCGCCACCTCCTCGTCCGCCAAACCCGCCACCGGTCTCTTGATCGATCCAGGATTGGACTTTGTCGTCGGGAACAAAGTCGACGAAAAGCGGCTCGCGCATGGCTTCGTCGGGATACCGGGTGTCATGCATGGCAGACCGAACCCGGGCGGCAGCCGCGACAGAGGTGAAGGATACAAAGGCATGGGTGCGAATGCTATCTAGATAGAACAGAGTGACTGGGTCGGAGTCATCGGCGGAGGATCGTGACTTTGCTATGGAGGCGATGTGGCTGCGCAATGAAGGGATGTGGAGTGGTCGCTTGAAGTTCCGGATGTATAGGCTTGATGTTGCAGGGTGGATGGCAGGCGGAATATCTCTCTCTTCCGAGGCACTTCTGGATCTGTGAGACGAGACAGAATGTTTTCTGGGCGAGGCTTCAATTGCCTCATGATTGTTTTTCAGCAGCTGCTGAGCCTGTTCAGGGATCACAGTCATATCATCGCCAGCCTGCTCAACAATAACCTCTGCTGGCGCCCCGTTTGCCGTTTCTCCACGGGTCTCTTGGGCAACCTCGGTCTCTTTCTTCATTTCCTGCAATGCAGAGACTTGCTCAGCAGTCAAGTCCTCCTCATTCGTGCTCAACCGGGCCTTCTTGCGCGCAACTTCTTCAGATGATGGAACAGGCGTCGCACTTCGTTTCCGTCGTCTTCGCTCGTCTTCTGTCAATTCGTTGGAGGGGGCCGGCTCAGGTGACTCTTGGCCAGATTGTGCCACGTTGGGTTGTACTGTAGAGTCCTCAGTCTGGTCGGCCTGTTCAGCAATAATAGCAGACTCTTTCGCAGGAGGCTCGTCTGCCGTATTATCGGGGCGTGCGTTCTCCTGTAGGTCTTGCATGATCTCGTCTCTGTCTGCGCCGTTGGGCTGGTTTGTATCTTGGCCATCTGGAACTGGCAGAGCATCCTTTGCAGCTGCAGCCTCAGTCGACTGTTGCTCCTCTGATTCACTCTTCGGCCTCTTCTCCTCGACATCTTCGGCTTGCGCGTCTTCCTTTTGCAACTCTTGCGGCTTTTCAGCCTCTAGAGTTGCTGAAGATGCAGTTAGAGCAGTGTCGGCTGAGGATGCGGCAACCGTTTGGGGCTCTGTGTCTCCAGGCTTCGTGCTCTCGATGTTGCTAGGTTCCTCATGCTTTTCTTCCCCATCCGCAGTTTCATCCACCTTTGAGTCATCATTGTCGTTGTTACTATTCTCTGCCTCATACTCTGTAAGTTTGTCGACATAGTGTTGCTTCAACTTGAGACCCGTAAGAGGGATTCCGCGCGCTTTACATTCATCTTTGAGGTCTGTGACCTTGAGTTTGCTCCAGTCCGTCATTTTGGCAGAATGAGTCTAGCAGGAATTTTGTGTACAGCGAGAGGTCGAACAGACAAGGTAGGGCATTGTCTGGGTTACGCGACGTGGTGAAAGCTTTATGGCAGGCGTTGCGGTGCGCTGAAGACGAGAGTAGTTGTACTGTCCATTCTACCAAATTGCGACGCGACGAAACTCGGAATGCAAGTGACGGGAAACACACATGACGTAGTGTGATTTCACGGAGGACTTGTCCTATTTCAACGGGGCCTAGGGCCTCGTCAGACTATATACTTTCTAGGGGTTATACGATAGCGTACGACACTAGTCGAGACCGAAAGACGGTCCTCGACGTCTTTATAATACTTAGCGCGTAGAGTACCTATTTTATTATATCCTCCTCTATCTAGACCGTCGAATAGCCTTATTCGTCGTCGAAGAACGTCGAGTACCTTTATTAGCCTTATAGTAGAGAATAAAATAGTATTTCTATATTCTAAATACTTCGTTTTCTAAGTAGTTCTATCGTTAGAATAAATATCTATAGTATCTATATCTTTAATACCGATCGAGATATATAGAGCGAGTATATATCTCTTATCTTTAGCTATAGAGATAGTATATACGCCCGGAATAGTAAAGCTAAATAAATCGAGAGTAAATTAAGATCGTTAAGATAGTAAATAAAGAGAGCCTATACGCGTAATAGTACTCGTCGTTACTCTTCGAAGCTAATTCGGGGTTAATCCGACGGGGTTTTAAGAAGTATAAGTAGGCGTCTTTTACTTCTTTTCTTCTTACTTTCTTTTATACCTCTTTCTAGTTATTTATACTTCTAAGTCCTAAGTTTTTTATCGATTAAAGCTAAATATTCTATAACTACTATTATAGTTATTATACTATCTAGATAAGTTAGAACGCCGACTAGACTATAAGTTCTAAATATTTCGTACTATCGACGAGTTAAGAAGATAATTAAAGATCTACTAGTAACTAAGACGGCGAAGATAGCTTCTTTCGTAAATATATCGTATTATATCGAAAGATATAGTTACTAATTCGTTTTTAAATCGATAATAATATTTATAGCGTTAAGCCTAGCGATATAGTAGTTAATTTTATTATCTAGGCGAAATAGTACTAGAAGTAGTCCTTTTACCCCGATAATAGCTTATTAGTTTAGCTATATAGCTATATTTCTTAGAGACTTGTCGAATTTTATAGTTAGAGAGATATTACTAATATATACGTTAGAAATACTTTTATAGAGTATATAGTAGATATCGTAAATAATTTACGTTACGAAATATATCTTCGTATAGTTAAACTAGATTCTTATCGAGAGTCGATATTCCTAGAGTACGTTTCGATATCTATCTCGAATTCGCCTACTTCTATAAATATAGTATATCTTTTCGGCGGAAAATATATAACTTATACTATTCGCGGAGTCGATTATTCTTTATCTAGTAATCGAGATATAAATAGCGAAGCTTCTAGTCGTTATCGGTCTACTACGTCGGTATTAATATCTATTTAAACGCGTAGTATTAAGAAACGTCGTACTCGATTTCCTAAAATATAGAAAGAAGATCTAGTAAAAGGTATAAAAGAGGTGCGTTTTAGTAAGAAAATAAGTAGTCTATACGTAGTCGATAAAGCTAGAGAGACGGATAGTTGTATAGCTATCGAGATTAAAGGTTTAGAGAATAGATTCGACTTCGTATTACCGTTATAGACGAATATAGAAGATCGACGTCGAAAGATATTAATCGCTATCTAGAAGATAACGTAGTAGACTTTAGATCTATACTATATACTAAAAACTATTAAAGTTATTTATAGAATCGGTAAATCTAATATATATATAGAATAATATTCTCTACTAACGTCGACTCGATAAAGTCGTCGTTCTATAATATCTATATTTTTAGTAAGAATAGAAGTCGTCGAGACTAGTCCGAAGTCGAAAGAATATAACTATATAGCTAACGAGCTACTACTAAGGTACCGTTAGTATACTATCGATTCTTCTCTCGAGCTATTATTATAGACGCGAAGTTCGCCTAGGCGTATATTAGAAATACGTCGTTATACTAAAGAGGCTATATAATATATATCTACGCCTCCTAAGCTAGTATACGACTCTAAGCGTAGTTAGATTATAATATAGTAACGATTCGTACTAGTCTCGTCTTCTATAGATTTATCGATATAATCTATATAAGGCTATATATCGACTTACTCGATACTAGAACGTCTATCTTTTTATTATTTAGCGTACGGATAGTCTACTACTTTTACTTATTTTATATATAATATTTATCTACTATCTATCTATATATAGTAATCGAGCCCTACTTCTAATTTAGGCCTTTCGAGATATTCTTACTATAAAACGATAATATCGATAGAAGTACTACTACTAGAACCGGCTCTAACGATATTATAGTAAGAAGACCGCGAAGTATTACTATTTTCTTATACTACTACGGTAGTAGACGATACTCTACGAATAGTCTATTTTATAAATAAATCTTCTAGTATGATATAACGAGTAGAGGAGCGCGAGCGAGGTTCTTCTACGCCTACTATATAAGGCGATTTACTATAATTTATTAGTTATTTTTAGGTTTTTTTAATATATCTAGAGCGCTTCGTAGGACGTCCCGATAATATATAGCTAAGGGTTAAGACCTAGTCTACGCTCTAGTTTCTATAGGTTATCTATAGAGAATACTATTATTATTAGATTATTTAGTCTCGTACTATCTTTGGCCTAGAATTAGATCTTAGTAAGCGTCCTTCGATATATCGTCGACGAGAAACTAAAGACTTAGCTATATTATAGTTAGTATTTTAGACTACTAACGAAGATAATAAATTATCTCGTCTCCGTTTCTTACGAGATTTCGAGTACTCTTAAGGAACGAGATTCCCTTCGAGTATCGAAAGAGTTATTCTAGTAGAATTAGAAAATATTATAGATATACTTTCTATAGTATTAATAGATATCGAGAAGAAGAATATAGATATATTCTAATCTATAAGGTTCTATAGTCTTATATCTTTAGATTAATTTAATCTACTAACGACGTATAGCTCTTTCTTACTTAAGATAGTTTTAGCTAACTTATTATAGTTATTCTCTATATAATTTATATAGAATAGATCTACTATATTATCTATATACCCTACGATATCGATAGAATAGATCTCGATATCTATCGATATAGATTCGAGTAGCTTAGTATAGAATAGAATAGAGGTATCTCGTATAACGACGTCTTAGTACGGTCCGATAGAATTACTCTAATTCCTTAGAGTCTTTTATCTATTCTAAATATAGTTCTCTATTCTTTTCTAGAATATTAAAAAAGTTTCGAGAGGGCTAAAAGTCTCTTCGTTCCCTATTCTTCGCGTATCGAGAGAATTAGACGATAATAGTCTATTACTACTCTTCTATTTTTATCTATTTTAGGCGTATAGAGGAATAAACTCTATTCTAACTATTTTATTCGATATCCTTAAAGTACTAATATCTTTATTACTCTTCTTAGCGACGAGATATTACTTATTTAAAGACGGAGTAATCTACTCTAGAGAATTAGAAGCGAGAGCTACTTCGATTATAGTTTATCTCTCGTAGGCCGTCGTAGCCTTCTCTATTGGCGTCGCGCCGTAGAATATTAGCTTCTATCCTCTATTTCGCCGATATCTATTTATTAGCGTTACTTTAGCTCTATAGTTCTCTTCTATCTTACTTAAACTATCTTCTAGTTATTCTTATAATATCTATTATTACTTCGATATTATCGATAGCTTATAGTATATCGAAGGATTAGATTCGTTACTAAGTATTTAAAGTACTTTATTCGAAGACTTCGTTATATTATCTTTAACTATTTAGAGCCGTATTTACTATACTCTAGTAAACGATCGGATCGTCTATTCGTCTAAATCTATCGAGTAGTATTATATTAGATAGCTTCTATAGACGAGTAGATATAAGATCTTCTAGTCTATTATTTCTAATACGTAAATACTAAACTATAACTTCTTTAGAATATAAAAGAGTTCGAAGTAGTTAGGTTCGAATTTCTACTTCGAGATATTATTTAGAAGAACGAAATCTTCTTCTTTAAATAAAAGATATAGTATTTCTAAACGTATTAACTATAGTTTTCGGAAGTAGAGCTCTCTCTTTATAAGTAATTTATTTACTTCGTAACGTATAGTATATAGCTATTCTAGTCTTAAGGTAAAATCGATATTAAGATTTAATAGATCGAATTCTCGTTAATTACCTATTAATTAAAGTTTAAGACCGTAGATAAACTTATATAGACTTATTCTAGTTACTATATAGAATTTAATACGAATTACGAATAACGTCGATAGAAGGTATTCGTTCTATAAAAGGATTTATTATCTAATAAGTTACTTCGTAAGAATTTCGCCTAGTATTCTATTAAATCTTTCTATTTTTCTATTAGTCTAGAGATAATAAGATATTATAATACGATACTTTATCTTAACGCGATCGAGATAGTACTCGATAATCTTCGAGATTAAGTTAGCGCTATTATTTAATAATAATTTCTAAAATACTCTATACTAGTAGTAGATTTCGAATAGAAAGTCGATAACTACTTTATTTGTAGCGTTCTTTATAGTCTTTACTATCGACTAGTCTATAGAGAAATTAATAGTCGTTAGAATCTAATAATTTCCGTAGAGCGTAGTTAATAGGGAGCTAACGAAGTCGATTATCTACTTTTCGAAGAGTCGGGAGATTTATTTAATCTACGAATATAGTTCTTTCTAGTTCTTCTTCTATCTCTAGACTAACTAGTATTAATTATAAGTTCGAGCGTATATAAGAATATTCTTTATTATAGATAGCTACTATTCGCGTACCTTAACGATACTTTCTATAGCGGCTACGCTATAGTATTCGTAGTACTTATAATAGTACTCGATAAAGTCTTAATAAAGCGACGTAGGAATAAAGAGAGCGAAGTAATTATTAATCTTTCGAAATAAACGGTCTTCTTCTACGAAGTATTAATCTAGATTCTTAATACGCGCTAGCTACTTCTTTTAAGCTAGATTTAAGTCGAATTTATTCTTTATAGTTAATCGAGCTATAATAGTAGTCTTCTATTCTATATCGTCGTCTAGATATACGGTTTATTAGATATTTAAAGATACTTCTACGTCGCTAGAGATCTATACTTTATTAGTAGAGCTCTCTTCTAGGAAATCGAGTCGTCTAGAGATAGTATCGAAAATAACGACTTCGGAACTCTTACGGTATCGAATATCTAAGTCGAATTTAGAAAATTCGTCGATCTAGCGTATAAGGCGCTTCGAAGGTATTCGAGTAGTATTTAGATACTTTAGACTTTTATAATCGATTACGACGATCGTTTTATATCTATTCTAGAGGTATATAATCTAGGTTCGAAGAGCGTACTTAATAGCGAGAAGTTCCTTTTTATATATAGAGTAGTTTAACTTAGCTCTATTAAGTTTTCGCCCGTCGTAGACGACTAGATACTACTTTCTATTAGATTCTTCTTATAGAAGAATATAATCTAAAGTCTACTCGAAATAGTCTATTTCTATATAGAAAGGCTTCGATTCGTCGACTTATTATAAAACTAGTTTAGTAGCGAGAGTCTTCTTAAGTATCTAGAAGACGTACTCGTATCTCGTATTCTATTAAATAGGTCGGAACTTCCTTTTTTAGAGTTCGATATCTACTTTAATTAATAAGTCGAATAGAGATATAGTAATCTTTATAAAGTCTTTAATAAATCTTCTATAGTATAAAGCTAAATCTAAAAACTAGTATACTTTATATACGTTTCGAGACTAAGATTATTCGAGAATAGTCTATATCTTTATAGATGTAGATCGATATTTTCTATTATTTACTATATATTTATAGAATTTAAGCTATTAGATACTAATAATATACTTCGATAGCTTCGTATATAGTTTATAATTATATAATACTCGAAATACTAGTTCGAGATAGCGTTCGTAATCTTCTTTAGTCTACGAGTAGATAACGATATTATTTAAGTAGATAATTATAAACTTACTAATAAATTCTTATAGAGCGTTATTTATAATTCTCTAGAACGTCGAAGAAATATTAGTAAGTTCGAATAGTATAGCTAAGAACTTATACTTATTCGATCGCGTATTAAAGGCGATTTTTTCGATAGATATCTTTTCTATCTAGATCTAGTAATATTCTTAAATAAGATCGATCTTCGAGAGCTAGCGAGCGACTTCGATAATATTAAGATAGTTCTAGATTCGGAGTAAAGAGTAGATATTCTTAATAGTAATATTATTAAGAAGACGATAGTTAATATATATACGCTATTTATCTCTAGATTTAGATATAAAGAGTATAGAGAAGCTCTATAGACTTTCTAAGAGCTGAATTAGATCTTATTCTAGTAAGATATAAATTTATCTATTTTATTTATCTTAATATTCTTTCGATAAAGAGTAGTAGAATAAATTAATAAACTTAATATCGCCTATATCGATTTCGTATTTAACGTTCTACTTCGTTAGGAATTTAGTAGATAGTTTTTCTCGAAATACTATTTTAAATCTTTTAAGAATACGTCTAAAACGCCTATTCTTAATTCTAGATATTAAAGAGATTACTTTATCGCTAGGACTCTATTCTCGTATAAGATATAAGATAGAAGTCTAGTTAGGTATAGATAGTTTAGAAATCGTCTTCTAAGTCTTTTAAAAGCTAAGTAGATTTAATTTAACTTCTTCGATATCTTTATAGTTAATAGTTCGAAAGAGTCGAAGAGATATCGAAGTTAATTTTCTAGTATCGTTACGTATCGTTATATATAAGTAGCTAAAATTCTAAGAAGCGCTATATTTCTTTAGCTAGTCGAGTCTAAGAATAACGTCGTATATATCCTAATCTAGAATACGGAGTATTATTCGAGCTCGAAAGTTATTAATAGTTAGGCCTATTATAATAGTCTAATTAAAGAGAGTCGTCTCGCTATTAATAAGACGTACTTAAAAAGGTATATTCTAGATAATTTTATAGTTTTTATCTAGCCGTTTAGTAACTCTTCTTAAGATATAAAAGACGTTAGAGCTAGTATTAAGAAGAATTATAACGAAATAAGAGTTACTATACTACCCTAGCGACTTACTAGTAATATTATATCTCTAGATACGGTTTAAGTTATAGTCGAAGACTTTAGTTATATTAATAGTAATATCTATTAGATTATCGAAAGAGAGATTAGGGTCTAATAAACTCGTATCGATAGTCTTCGAAGAGTCTATAATTTCTTTATCGTCGCTAGACGTTCTACTATCTAGCGACTCTTCTCTTTTCTCTAATAGTCTTATCTTATAGACTTCTTCGAATTAGAGTAATCTCTTTTTTAATAGCTAGCTTCTTTATAACTAAAGTAGAGACTATCGTCTTAATATTTCTAACGAAAGCTACTTAAGAATTCTCGTCCGTTACTACGATTATACGAGGTTTTAGTCTAGATAGTCGAGAAGAGTTCTAGTTAAAGATCGTTAAGAGCTATCTCGATATTACTATTAACGTCTTTTCGATCTAGTTAAGCGGCTCGAGGGAGATAAGAAGGCTTTCTCGAGAAAAATCTCCTTAAGCGATCTCGAAGAGAGGCTATCTAATATATATTAGCTTATATCTCTCGTTCGCTTTTATTCGCGAAGAGAACGTAGTCTCTATAGTTTTAGAGAAATATAGTATTTAAAAGAAGTTCTATTCGATTTTAAATAGCTATTCTAAGTTCTTATTTAAAAACGAGTAAATACTTAATATCGTTAGAACGAGGGTCGAGATATAGTCTAAGAGTTTCGATCTTCTATCGAAATTCTTATACTATTTCTATTTACTTAAGAAAATCGAATTTATCTCGACGTTACTTCTACGTCCTAATATCGCCGAACGCCGTCTAGAATACTTTCTTCTATATCTTCTAGTTAGTTAGGAGTAGATCGGTTCCGAGACTATATTTTATATCTTAGTATATAAGGTTCTATTATACTAAGATATTATCTTTAAGATAAAAAGTTACTAGAGCGATACGTTCGCGGCTCGTTAAAGAACGTTTATTAATAACTTTCTTCGCGTCTAACTATCTTTTAATATAGATTAGCTAGACTTGTATCGCGTCGTTATTTCGATAACCCTTATATTTTAGAGGCTTTTCGAGCCCTATTCCGCTAATATCTTAGAATAAATCTAACGATAGATACTACTATCTAGATAAGAGTTTAGGTACGTTTATCTAGTCTATAAATAAGAGGGTAATTCTCGATAGACTATTTATAGACGTTAAAGCGAAGATTTTAGAAGTTCTATAGTATCGTAGGTAGTCGATAAGGGTCGCTATAGTTCTTTCTAGATTTCTAAGACGATCCTCTTCTAAGAGTTTATATATTCTCTATAGATTAGCTTCTTCTATAGAAATATCGATTTCTAATACTACTATTACTAGAGTTAAGGAAATATTTATACGATATTTAGTATAGAAGAGCTTTCGAGCGTAGTTTACGAAATATAAGTAAGAAACGAGTAGAAGATAATATACGATAAAAGAAAGATAAGTAATCTTAAAAAGGATATATTCTTTATAGAAGCTTTTATTTTATTTAGCGAGAGCGCTTTATAACTAGCTCTCGATATTCGAGACCGTCTCTAGCTAAATAGTACTCTAATCTCTCGAGAGGCCTTACTATATACCTTTCTTCTATCGATTTATTATTTTCTATCGCCTACGATAGTACGAATAGATCTAGATAAATCTAGATAACTATCTAGTCTCTACTAGTATAGTTTAAACGAAGTTCTAATAAAGAGTTCGTTCTAATAGTAATATTTCTTTTTCTCTCGATATATTAAGCTCTTCGACGATATTATCGTTTATAATATCTAGATCGATAGAACGTAATCGAGGACGTCGAAGTAGTCGTTACTACTATATCTTAATTATATCGCTAGCTATTATTTATAGCTAAGGGTATCTAAGGGTAGCGAGATTAAAATTTTCGAGGGAAAAGTTACTATTTACTACTACTATTTATCTTTCTCGATAAGAAATTTTTATCGCTACTCGTCGTTCTAAGAATATAATTCTCGTAAGTCTTCGCTACGGAACTAGAAAAGATTCGTCGGGCGTAGAAGATAGGCTTCGAGCTAGAAAATTTCCTTATCGATTAGTTTCGCTATATATCGAGGCGATTTCGTTTATCTTTAATCGACTTCGTATAGAAGAGTATCGGTCTTCTCGGCGATCGACTACGCTTCTCTTCTTCTCGAGAGAGTATAGAAGTTCTTACGAACTCTAGTTTAAGGTAGAGAACTATCTCGTCGTCGCTACTAAATATAATTTTACGAAGGACTTATTCTATTTTAATAGGGCCTAGGGCCTTGTTAGACTATATACTTTCTAGAGGTTATACGATAGTGTACGACGCTAGTTAAGATCGAAAGACGGTTCTCGACGTCTTTATAATGCTTGGCGCGTAGGGTGCCCATTTTGTCACATCAGCCTTGGCGGTCAGTCATGTGATGAGGCCTACAGCCTTGTCACGTGCAGCTTCGCTTCTTCGCTTCTTCGGCACAAGGCTCCCACATGACAACTATAACCATCCTTTCTCAATCCATCACCCACTAGTTGTAGAGCTGCAATCTTTCCGAAGTGACTACAATGGACGCCACTGTCCTCGCTTGTGGTTGGACAGCCTTGAGGGCGGCCGAGGTCTGTGCCAACGCTTTGTCTCACACGCTCCAAACAGGAGAGATTGACGTCAAGTGACTTGTTGCGAAATGTCCTTCGACTCCCTTGACCGCCCATGGTGTGGGCAAACATTATCACAGCTTGTACCAGCTCGTGGCGCACAGGCATCGCAAAACTTTGGTCTCGCTTGGCTGTATCGCTCGGAAGCAGCCGAAACTGGGCCGTCACCTATTAGGGTGTTTCAGCCCCTTGGGTTCGGGGTACTTCTGACCTTCCAGTGAAACCAAAGGCCATACAACCTCTGCCTCATATTGACATTGTTCAAACGGCCATCTCACTCGACTACGCTTTGATACACATGGAGCCAGCACATATTCCTGCTGAATCTGCACGTGGAGCCACCCAGCACCCCTTGCTGAGGTTCATTGACGCTGCTTGCATGGTTACTGTCCACTCCTGTTTCTGACCATCAGCGCCAACATCATACCCAGACCCAAGGCGGGAATATATCGGTCCATGCCAGACATTTTCGCCTTCAGACTACTACAAGTATCTGAGATTGGTTTTTTCGGGGTGTCGACATCCGGCCGGGCTGCGCTTGGGGTCATGGACAAAATCTTGATATAAGAAAGCAAGAGATCTCTCTTTCAAAAGCCCAAGGCCGGTCTATTCTACCATACACGATCGTCTCTCCGCCTTCTGATTCTACTGCCCGCCGCTGGTCGGTCCGCTCTTTTCTTGACGTTCACGAGCTAGTCTCTCTCTTTCCTTGACTCGTTCTCGCATTCCACTCTTTCACGACCAGTGAAGCAGGTTCTAAGTATCAGCATGCAATTCAAGACGACAACCACAGTTGCGCTAGTCGCTGTAATCGCTGTGGTCCAGGCCCGGTTTGGACAGGAACAGGTCCCTATACCGGCCATCGCAGCTGTTCAGGGCGGAGATCCCGGCGTGGCTCAAACCATTGCTGGCGCCGCCATCAGCGACCTCCTTGCGGGATCCAACGCATGTGACAAATTAAAGCGCGGCGATCAAATCATTTCCGAACTCGGAAATGGGGCGGATGCCGTCGCTGCTGCGATTGGCATTGTGGCGGCCGAGAAAAACTTCAACCCTTTCACCCAGTCGGTTCCTACAATCTGCGACGACCCAACTCTGCCAGCCACAGATGTTCTGCGTGGCATCACCCCTCTCATTGACCCGGATGTCGTTGGGGCGGACGTCGCCAATGCCTTGTCTGCCCAGACAGTCAAGACGCCCCTGGATGCCACGGGTAAGAGCGTAGCGGACCTGCTGGCCGAAAATGGCTTCACCAACTTCACCACCCAAGATCCTTCCGGCAACACGGGCAATGAGCCGGCGGCCAACAACGCTGCTACTGGTAGTGGTGGCAATGGCAAGGCCAGTGGGTCTACTTCCGCCGCGAGCTCGAATACAGCTGCGGCTAGCAGTGTCGCTGCCAACAGCTCCACTGGTAGTTCCGGCACCAACGCCAATGGATGTGCTGCTGCTGCAGACTCGTCCAGCGCCTCGTCCTCTACTTCTTCCACGGCTGCTGCCACAAGTTCTACCGACACAACGACCTCCCCAAACGGAAACGGCGCATCTACCGACACCAACAATTCAACAGGTTCAAGCTCAAGCTCAAGCTCAAGCTCAGTGGCAGGAGCCGACTTCGGCAAATGCGTGCCAACCATGAAATTCGAAGGCGGTCTCGGCGGCCGCCCAGCCACCGAGTTTACTTTCCTCCCCATCGACCCGTTATGTGCACAGGGCCAGCAGGAGGCATTGAATCCGAGTATGTGATGTGTTTCTCTTTATCCCGTTCGTAAGTTATGATTGTCGTTGATTGACTAACGACCATCATTATTATAGATATCATCACCAACCGTATCTGCGACCAATTGACCAATGTATGCGAGGCCAACGACGCAGCCAAGTCCCTATGCAAGGACGCCCAGTCTCAAATCCAGGCCCTTGGCACACGAGACAAATCTACCGCTGATACTTGGAATACGTTGTTGGGGTTCCAGGGCGCAGTGACGAATCCGGACGGGGGCCCGGCTGAACCACCGGCTAAGATGAGGATGGTGAGGTCGTATAGGGCATGAACCATGCATGTCACAGTTGTTCCGAAAAGCCGTCCTTTTTGCGTGTGTGCTGGTGTGGTCAGAAAGGGGCCTTGCGGGGAATCTTCTCGCCTACCTGATGCCAGACACTCAAAGAAGAAATTCGGACCAGACCGCGCATAAGTCGTCGAGCATGTTATTCCAAACCGCGCAAGATGGGTGCTCCGAGTCCCTACAACTATAAGCGTCCAGGACAGTCACAATAAGCCCTGCGTGGAATGGAACAAATCCGAGAGCTTACTTCGTACTAGCCATGTATTGTTATGAAATGAACATGGATGATTTTTGACAAACCATTCCAACTTTTGCAGTTGACAATAGCGCATACGCTTGTTTATCTGCCTGTGCAGCTTTGAACAGCCTTCCAACCTTCCACCTGGTACCTGTCTTTTTGTTTCGCAAACGATCACTAGGGTACCAACATCCCAGTTCCCTGATTAGTCTCTTTCCCTCTGTCAAACCCACCTCGGAAGCTTTCAACAAGGAAAGCCAACAATTGTTTTGCCCCTTTAGGACTTGCGGGTCTTTTGGACCCAATCGATCGCCTCCAGGAGATATGGGACCTAAATTGCCAAATCTTGTCAGTGACACTTCTCCATTTCACACAACGTCGAACCCATTGAGTGAGCCGCACGCATTCCCAGTCGATCGGGAGACATGAAGACCATTGTTTGCGGAATTGCTGTTGACGCCAGGGGCGAAGCTTCAGGACGGGGAGAAAACGAAACAAGGGTGAACCCACAAATTTTCTTGGATCCTCCGTTGCAGGGAAATGACCCAGGCCCTTCATAGACTGGAAATTCGCACCGCGAATCTTGTCGGCGGTGGCCTTGCTCATCTGCGGGGTTGTGCTCCAGTCGTACTCGCCGGTTAGGAAGTAGATGGGACACTTGTTGACGTCGATACTGGAGACGCGGTCTCGCGCGTCGAAGCCGCCGAAGTAGAAGTCCAGATCGCCGTGGAAAATGCCGTACGCTTGGCCGGAGTAGAGGTGCTGCACGGAAAATCAGTCTCCAAAGTATCGTTATGCAAGGTGGACAGACAGGGTACAAGACCCGAGAATGGGGCGGTGGCAGACCAAAAGGTAAGGGAGACCATACCCAGATCAGTTTCTTATTCACGTAGGGACTCTTGGGGGCCATCATGCCGTAGACTGTGGTTGAAGATGGATGGTTAGCAAAAGTTTCCTAGATGCTTGCGGGTGTATTTGATCATTCACACTTACTCCAGTCGGGATTGAACAAGGCTTGGTTAACCACCGGCGACTTGTCATTAAATTGACGATCCATAGTTAGATAATCGCAACCTTGCAGAGGGATGGTTCCACCGGCGCCAACCTCGTCGGCACGGATCGCGACTGCAACACAGACCTGGCCGGCCATTGAGGCGCCACATATGATAGGTTTGTTGAGTTTGAGGGCATTGACCATCTCGCGGATGGTGCCGACATATGCGTCCTCGTTATTAGTGTGGTTTCCTGGAATGTGGTTGCTGCCGGGAAACGAGCGACCATGGGCAGGTAAATCGAAGGCAATCATGGTGCACTTCTCGCGCATGCGCGGGTCATTCATGACTCCGTGGTATTGTCTGCTATCGCTACCTGCCGTGTGTAGGAACACAATTTGCTGGGCACCTGTGCCGGATGTCTCGTAGAAGACCTTGGTTCGGCCCCACACGGGCGCGTTGATGTAAATGTATTTGCCGGTGATATGGTCCTCATCTGTCTCGGGCTGTTCGTCTTCCTTGAGCGGGCCGTTCTGGCCTTCCCGGAGAAGCTCGAGCAATCGGGTTGCGAGATGGCCGTACTGGGCGAACTTGACCTGGTCACCCTGCACGCCTACGCCTTCCTGGACGATATTCATGCCCTATATGATGCAAAAGAGCGTTACAAGGGAGGGAAATATGATCTTCATGTGAGCCTACCTGTAACCCAACGAAGCTGGTGTAAGGAGCCACGGGATCGGCGTCAAAGAACTTCTCCCATTGCTGAGGCTGTGCGCGGAGGACGAAATCCGCCTTGTCAGCCGAACCTGTTGATGAAGACGTTTTGGCACCTGGTTGGATGGTAACCAGAATGGCTTCATTGCTGCCAGTCGATTGTACTCCCATCGTGACCGGCTCGATGATAGCTTTGGTGTCGACGAACGCCTGCCATTGAGCATCGCTATTCAAGCTTTTGTCAAGCGAAAAGACCGCCTTGGACATGGCTTGCGGCAGTGATGTCCATGAATGGCTGGTTCCATTGGCCGAAGACATTGTGACGACTGCTGTTCTCGTAGGAGGGCTATGAATAAATGTAGGGGATGCTTTCGGGGGAATGAACGAAATGGATAAGGTCCTCAGACGTCTTCAATGCATAAGCCTACCTCTTATACTGCTCGAATGGCTGTTCTCCGCATCTTGAACGTGTCGGTAGGCGTCATGTCTACCGTCAACGTCCGAAACGTCCAGCCAGGGGACCGTCACACAGCGGTTGAATCGGCACTCGCTTGGATGCATATCATGCATAACCCATGTCCAGAACCCCGTGCAACAGCATTGTGTCCCCGCTTTTAAAGCGAAATCAACGCGAGCAGGGGGAGCATAAGTGGCCGGATGAGGAGATCAGCTTGGTCATTGTTGGCGTCTCGAATCTGGCCCTCGGTAAAAGCAGCTGAGGACAACCCAGATGCCCCCTCGAGAGGAGGCAGCTCTCGAAGTCAGACTTCGTTGTTCGATTCGACATATTCTGACTCAGGTCGGCGCAACAGACGCGTTGGCTACTAGTATCATGGTTGTCTTCTCCATGGTCGGCGACATCTAAAGGCGGGGATCCCGCAAAGAGCTGCAGCTTTTCGAGAGGAGAAGCTTTCGAGAAACGAGGTTTCGAGAAAAGGCGCAAGGCCCAAAAGGGGTCCATTCAAGGGTGCCGTGCCGACGTCGGAGGCTCACAGGCGCCGTAGCAAACCGTCCTGTTCAAGGTCCCGAGTGCAAAATGTATGTCGGGATATTTCGTTGTGCTGTACCAGTATACAACCAATCCTAAGTGCTTTCACATCAAGTATGGCACGGTGGACAACCCAAAGAAGGCGAGCTTGCGGTCTCGTCTCCTTGAGTTCAAGTTTGTGAGTTGTAACTTTGTAAGTTGTAACAATCAGCCCCAAGGCTAACTCAAGGCTTAACATCCATCGTCGTCTTGAATGTCAGGTAGTATATCTTGTTGAGAAGGAATGCCTGCGCTCCTGCGCTCTTGGCGCTCCAACGCTCCTACCCCGCACCAACGTGTTACACCTTATGTTACTTAGTTCTATTATCTCTACTTACTCTCTCTCTCTTCTACTTAATATAATTATACGTTTCTACTAGGTTATAAGGCCCGGGTTTTCCCCTAGTACTAATATATATAACTTCTCTAACTAACTATATTAAGCTACTATTATTAAGTTATTACTTCTTATCTCGTCTAACTAGCCGATCTCTATAGAACTAGCTTAGCTAATCCTAGTAAAAGATCTAGAAAAGCTATAACGGACCTTTATTAGAGTCCTTACCTCGTCTTCTATCTCTTTAGTTTCGTTCTTCTATCTCCGTACCTTTTATCTAAGATAGCTAACGTCTTATTTAAGCTTAACTCTATATTTCTACTAAAACTAGCTCCTAGGGGTAATAACTATAGCGAATAGAGACTCTTATAGACTCTCGCTTTTAGATACGCTAAACTATAGAACGTAGTTAGCGAGAAAAAGATACGGACTATAGAAAATTAAGAGTAATAGAAAGAAGAGGATACTAAAGCCCTTATTATACTATTATCTACTATCTATATCGATCTTACCTTAATAGTAACTAGATATAATACTTTAACTAAAGCGTAGGTAGTACTTATAGAAAGATTTAATCGAGATACTAGAAACTTAACTATCTATCTATTTAGAAATATTATAATACTATACTATAAGGATAGTAATAATCTCTAGAAATATCTAGATAAGTTTTATAGTCTATAGTAGAAGATATAGAAGAGGTATTAATCGTTAAACTAGAAGATAGCGAAAGCTATAAGACTAGTCTTCGACTCCGACTAAGTTAAAGGCTTCTTTTTTCTAGCTATACTACTAAATACTATAGATAATATTATTAATAACCTAAATACTAAAGAGATTAATAAGTTTATCGATATTAAGTCTAAAATACTCGATATTATCGAAAAATATCTTTATATAGCTAAACCCTAGGCTATCTACTATACCTTTACTATTCGCTCTTATTTTAAAGAAAAATAAAATATCTAAGGGAAAGAATAGATTAAATATATATAGTATAGAAAGTATAATCTAATCTTTATCGAGTATATCTATACTAATTATAAATATCTTAAATAATATTAGGCTAATAAAAAGATAGAATAGCTATTATTAAATATACTACGACTATTATTAACTATAACTTAACTATCTAGACGGGCCTATAAAGCCTAAGCTATAGACGCTAAGAAAGAAAATAGAGAAGATAACGATATAGTAGTATTTAGTACTTTAGTATTAAATCCTATTATAGCCTATAGCTAATCTATTCTATTACTATAATAATCTATCTTATTATATACTAGGAAATAATCTCTAGAAGATAAAAACTATAATATCGATACTCTAGCGGTAAAGTTATATCTCTCTTTTCTTTAATCGTAATCTCGTTTATAGATTTTTAATACTAGCGCGATAAGATATATATTCGGGTATACGGAAGATTTTATAACTCTAGTACCCTAAAAGGGTACTATTATAATAGCCGAAGGTTATAAACTTCCTATCGAAGGTATAGGAACTATTTACTTACGAGTTTTATTACTATCTAGCGCTACTAAGGATATTAAGCTAACTAATATTATCTATAGTCGTTTTCTAAAGAGAACGCGTCTCTTTAGCTAGTTTTATATTTACTAGATAGATTTTACTATATTAGGAAAAGATAACGATATTTTCGTGAATTCTAAAGATAGAGAGTACGTACTCTAGGCGAGATATCGCTATAGTACTCTTAAAATCTAGACTAATAAATCTACTACTAACTTCGTATTCTACGATAAATTCTATTATATTATTAGCTACTTCTATATTAACTATACTACTATAGTTAAATTATATAAAGATAGCTATCTAGTTCTAAAATAACCCTAAAACTATTACTATAAACCCTACTCGTTAGCGAAATTAGTCTACTATCGGCTGAAACTCTTATAATAACTTCGTTTCGATACTACTTTTAATCTTATCTATTCGAACGTATCTAGAAAATTCTTATAGAAGTTACTTAATAGTTCTAGATACTTTATTATATTTATTAATAATTACTCTCGATACTACTAGATATACTTTCTTAAGATAAGAGATAAAGTAATTATAGTAACTAGCGACTTTATCTAGTTTATTAAAATATAATTCGATTAGACTATTAAAGTATTTAGATCTAATAATAGCGGCGAGTATAAGAACGATAAATTTAAATAACTCTTTAAATAGTATAGAATTTTCCCTTAGCTAATATTACTCTATAGCTACTAAAGTAACGGTATAGTAGAAAGATATAATAGAACTATCGTAACCGATATAAGGACTATAATAGAGAAAGATAAGTATCTACTATTATAGACGAAGACTATTACTATAGTATACTATCTTTGAAATCGAAAACTATATTTTACCTTACCTATTAAGGTTATACTATATAAAGCGTTACTCTATCGTAAGCTATCTATCGACTATTTTCGTCTATTTATATCCTTATACTATATTTATATACTAGTCGAAGTAAGGAAATCTAGGATAAAACTATTAGATAGAGCTAAAAAAGGTTTCCTAATTAGATACTATACCGATAGTATCTTAAGAATATTTATATTATAACGAAATACTATTATCTATTCTAAGGACGTACGTTTTCTACTATAATAGTATACTATCTTAAAACCCTAGTCGCTACTTACTATTTATAAGATAGATAATCTAATATCGACTACGAAGCCGATATCTACTACTATCGAATAGATACCTCGGTCTAATAGACTAAAATTAGAAATATTACCGTCTCTCTTAGTAAATAAAATTAATAGAATATCTACTACGCTAAAGGCGAAAAGTCTCTTAAGATTACCTATTCTATTCCCGGCTATACTAACTCTCTCGCTCTCTAAATCGCCTACTAAGACGAGAGCTAGAAGAATTATTAAACTAATAGCTAGAGCTATAGGCTAGATAATATAAGAGAAAATATTAGAAGCTAACGATAGCTAAGACGAGATTAATTATATTATACTACTAGTATAAGATACTAATATTCTATTCATGATTATCGTTTATAATCGCTTAGAAGTCTACTAAGTAGTTATTCTAGAAAAAGGCTATCGAGTATAAACTAGTATTCTATTATAATAATAGAATATAGAAATCTACTACGAAACGAGATATTAATCTATAATATATTATCGATTCTAGATAGATATTTACTAAAAAGTATAACGCTAATAGTAAACTTGTTAAGTATAAAGCTAGGCTTATTACTCGCGACTTTATCTAAATTTATAGTGTCACGAATGCCGAGGCCAACTGCCGTTGCCAACTGCCGACAACTTATACCCCTCGGCTACTCGGATAGAGCTAAGAGATATAAACTATACGCGACCCGTATAAGAGAGCTTTCCTTCTCTTATACTTTAAGTCGTATATAACTATAGAGTTAAGGAGTACTTAATACTAATTAAAGACTTATCGCTATACTCTATCTATTCCTATTAGGCGTTCCTAATATTCTCGAAGTATTACTCCGAATCGGTCGGAGTAAGCGATATAGAAGTAAACTACCTATATAACGATAGAGCTAAAGAGAGTAGATCTATCTACTAGAGCGACGTCTAATCTCGACGAGTTATCGTCGACTCTAGCCTAATATATAGAGAGGTCGATTAAGACTCTAGAGAATAGCTTATCTAGCGAAGAAGTTATAGACGATCTAGATACGACTTAGACCTAAGCGGAATCTTTCGAACTCGCTTCTACCTTATAAATAGCGGCTCTTCTTAAGAGATATACCTAACTTTAAGAGTAGTTAAAACGAAAACGCCTAGAAGAAGAGATTTAGATAATAGAAGAAGAAGCTACGAGATATATTTCGAAGTAATATATAGAGGTCGAAGATATAACGCTATCGATACGTAAGCGAGCTCGGAGCGTATCGCCTAGAGACTAAGATCGAAAGAAGTTATACTAGATTTTTAGAATTATTAAATCGAAAGGATTTAATAGTAAAAATATCTAAGAATTAAGAAACTTTAATAGTAGCTAGTAAATTATTTTCGAGACTATTTCGAGTAATATTATCTCGAACTAGAAGTATTATATTCGAATTATAGCTAACTACCTTAAAGATTAGACGATAATTAACTAGCGTCGAGATTATCGCGAAGAAGTACTAATATCTCTATTATAGAATATATTTCTCGTTTAGTATAAGAATACTATTAAGAATATAGATATTCGTAAGAGAGAAGCGCTTAAAGCGCTTACGACTTTTAAGTAAGAATCTACCTAATCGATATAAGATCTAGTCTATTAAATAGAACTTCTAGAAAAAGATATAGAATCTCTTACGAAGAATAAGTAAAGAGAGTAGACCCTTTATTACTTTCTAATATTTATACTTTATAAGATTATTAGACGCGATATACGAACGATTAATTTTCGGGCCTAGGTTCTAGTTTTAGTATAGCGACTAGAGAGAACGCTTTAAAAATCTAAAGTATTAAAGATACTCTAATCGAAACTCTTAAATAAGATAGATACGACTCTAACTAGAAGCTTAAATCTATAATAAGCCGGCCGTAGCTCGTACGCGCGCTTAAACTAACCCGCTACTACGGCCGCTAGAGAATTAGTCTAAAAAGACTTAAAGGAAAAAAAGTAAAGACCCGCGAGTAAAATCTCGGCGAGACCCTTTACGAGAAGGTACTTTATCTACGAGACTATAGACTATAAATAAGCTAACTATCTAAAGAAGAATAAGTCTAACGTAGACGAGTCGTAATTAAAATAAAGGAACGTTACGAAGAGGAGTTTAAAAAACTAATATCTAGTCTATTAAGTACCGTAGTAGCGCTAAAACTAAATAAAAATTAAGTAGTATAATCTAAAAATAAAATATAGCTAGAGAAAAGCTTACTTAC